TCATTCTATCCGGACAAAGAAGTGCACGTACAGATAACGACCAATCACTGGAACATAAGCGAGAAAAATTTTGTACATGATGCTACTGTGTCCTGGGTGGAAACTGTTAACTTCGAGAATTTTGAGGTGAATATTTTAAAAGGAAGTTTTCAATTCAAGTATTACTTCAAGTAGTAATTAGTGAGCCTCTGTTCATTTGTCTCCAAGAACTCTTGTTTACCTGTCATATTTCTGGCCAGTAAAATACTATTTGAACATATTTTATTTTCACAACGAGTTACTAGGGGAGACTTCGCCTCTTGCGCGCGCAGAGGAACACTATGGGTAAAAAAATTTGGTTATCTATGCATCCAAGAAATTTTGGTTACTAACAAAATCGTGCGTACGTACGTAGGACGGCGTCTTCATGTTAACGGATGTGAAATGTCTTACTAGCTGTAAGTCCAAAACATATACAAATTGTGTTTAACTCGATTTTGGACAACCATGTTATAATCAATTGACAGCTGTCAAAGTAGGGCATCCGCAGAGCAGTGTCACATGACTTGCGGCGGGCTCAGGTGTGCAACTTATTGAGATGACGGGTTTTTTAAAAGTTCTCCGCTGACCAGTAACAGAATTCAAGAGATCGCAGGCTTAGAAAACTTTAGTGCAGGAAGTAAGTTACCACGAGAGCTTCGCTTTTGGCCTTGGCTAAATCTATATATTATCTTACCATATAAAATGAACATTAGCCATTACATTTTATCTTTAGGTGTGCGTGACTGCAGCAGGAAGAAATGATCGCTTTGTCAAAGAATTTGCCACGGTGGACTGGATGGCCTACCAAGGTTCTCCTGATGGAGGTGTGGCGGGTAAAATGCGCATTCCAGAATGGTGGACTGGATCACAGTGCTCAAAAGTCAGCCTTCCTCAGGCAATACCACTTTATTGTTACCTCTCAGCTGCATCTTGATTCGTTGCATAAACCATAAAAAATAATGACCTTTAGTTTATAAGTTTTCAATAAGGTAAACATTTGCTATGCTGATGTCATAAGTACTAAACACTCCAGTTGTTATCCAATCAAAGATATCGTACCTGGACTTGAGCTGAGACATGAGCTGCAAAGAGACAGCCCAGTTCTGTCCGCGAAATTCTTTCTGACACATAGGCCATTTTTAAACCTTTTTCAATACTACACTAATACACTAATACACTAATCACACTAATACACTAATCAAACTTTTTGCACAATGAGCTTCAACAGAAAGTTAATAAAGATTTTTGGGGAAAAATTCCCGGGGGGGTACTCCTGCGAATTTTGGTTATGGGTGTGCCGCGAAGGTTCGTGAACCCTCTAACCCTATTTAAGGACTAAGAAAGCGAAAACTGATACCCTTTTTAAGGCCCAAAGCCGAAAAATGACACCCTATTGAAGGAAAAAACAAACATGTGGCTTGAAGAGGCGTTACGTGTATTACCCGCTTAACCGCTATTGTAAAATCATTTTGTTAACTTAAACGGATACATCAAGTTTAAAAAAAACCCGTTCGTTTAGGCGGGCGTTTTCACACTCCAGTATTAGATAATACAATTAAGCTAGCCTATCTAAGGACCAGACCAGGGACACAGAAACAAAAGGGTCAAAAAAGATACCCTATTTAAGGACCGAGAACCTCAAAAACCATACCCTATTCCGCGGCACGTACCTATATAGCCCATATATGGGAGTAACCCCCCCCCCCGGGGGGGGAAATTTCGAAACTGAGAGGCCATGTTTGTTTTAATTTTTGCGTGGACTTCGCGCGGATTTTAAAGCCATACTAGTGCTCAGGCTACGCACGGCCAATTTACTCTAGCGAGCCACCTTAAAAAGCAAAAGGAATTCTTTTTGGTAAAGCGGTGTTGTCTTTTCAGTGCTTTTGCCTTCATCTCCCTTATTCCTAGCACTTTAGAATAGAGCCTGCAGTGAGATTTCTGCCAAACATTGCGTGTTCTAAAGTTCAGTTGTTTAACTATACGTCACTGCGTTATTACTTCGTTTCCTATAACCTGAATATTGTTCTTCAAGGAATATCTTTGATCACCGGATATCTGTTTACATTGCATGTTTGCCATTCCTAGAACTGAGGCTCATCGATTTTGAAGCGAAAACATCACCGGTCAGCCAATAGATTACGAGCAATCTCCCCATTTGCACCAGCGAGTGAGGAAAGAGAGAACCAGGAGGGTTACAGGGAGATCACGATCGATAAGCAGGGAAGCCACAAAGGTAAAGGCCGAAGGAGACAGCGATGAGGAAGAAGAAGAATGTCTTGAGCTAGAGAAAGCTCGTGAAATTAAAAAAAGCAGCGAACTCGGATGGGTCAGCAAAGCCACAAGGAACCTGAAGACCAAGAGAGGCAGTAACGATAATAGGCTATTTCCGAGTTCCCCTGGGCCTCTGTTTCAAAACGAGGGTAGGTGATCAGCAATGCAAATAAAACTCATTTTCACAAGAAAGATTGCTGTGCATCTAACCTCATTTTGAAAGTGAGGGTTTTTGGAACTCGGACCTCGGAAGTGGCCTATTGGAGCACTTTCTCGAACTTTCAAAACATAGCCAGAAATTCTAGAGACGTAAATTTCGTTTTTCAATGTGGCGGACACCGGAAGAAGGGAAAGGCTCCTGACCATATCTTGAATTCCCTGAGTACTGCAGATTTCATAAGAATATGAGAATAATAGCATATGCTAACGATGTCTCTACTGAGCAAATTCTCCAAGGTTGAAAAGAATTTTCTGGGGCAATGTGATTGTCTGACATGGCATAAACTCCTATCCCTCCAAAATCCCGCTCTTTTTCGAATTTTAGCATTTTCTAGAATATATGAAGTACCTACTGTAGTAAAAGGAAATACCACTGACCACTATGACCTCTTGACCACGTTGAAAGAAAATGGCGGTCCCAGTGAAACCAACCAAAACAGAACGCTCGAAGGAGCATTTTTGCGTTGGTAATGGCTGCATCTTCTCGTTTCTCGTATTCCTGGAAAATACCTCTTTCCACATTGAAAAGGCACCGTGGAAAACAACTGCTTTGTGAAGTTTATTGTCTTATCTTTCGGATACGCTGATGGGGAAGCGATTCCTTGTAGCAGAATTAAGGAACCATGAAGGTAAGCCCTATTTTAGGGATATTGAGAGGAAAGTGTGGCTATTTTATGAGATAAATTGTCACCGAAAAGCACCGTCTAAAACAGGTTTTTCCCCGCATTGCTTTCGATTGACATACGGTTCGAACTTGACTTGAACTCTATTTTTGATGATAGTTTCTCGCGTTAATGCCACAAAATGCGAAATATAAAATATGTATAAATTTTTTCCCTCTTCTTCCTTTATACTTGGCAGCCCATTCTCGTTCCCAGAGACACTCTAGACGCAACGGCAAATACGAATTTTTTCATTGGCTGAAGGGAATTGAATGCGCAGAGCTAAATTAAAAGTATAATCTACTGCGCATAACAGTTTACTTCCTGCCCTCTCGAACTGCAAACATGAAATCCGTGTCTGGTTTATGTCGATCGCGACAATCCTGTTTTGTTAGGAATTGAATGCAATGCAATATCAGTGAAGAAGAGAATTGAAGGTCATGTTTGAGAAGTTTTTATGAGAACCACAAGCCTTGTCAAATAACGTTTGCCTTCGTCGTGGGCTAATTTTGCCTCTGTATTGACCATCGCATTTGGGGAAACTGAGTGTGGGAGTGAATGGTTAGCCCTTGCTCAGATAGCTTGGAAGATAAAAATTGATTAATCGACACTTGTGTGGCATTATTAAACCTAATCAGTCTGTCTAATTCCTCTGGATATTTGTCAGTGCTACAGTAAGAGAGGAAATCAAGCTCAAGGACTACATTACAGAAATGATATGTACGTGATAAGTTTATTACAATGTGCTTTTAATTTATTGTTTTTTCTGCTGAAAGTACATCTCCTTTGCTATACTAATAGGTCAAGATAATTTTCTGTGTCAAGCCTTATTCGTTAGAGTACTGATGTCAGTGCACAAAGCCAGAACTGAATGGCTTATGAATCTTTTGAGCTGCATGCATAAGGCACTTTTTAAGATTTTTGTGTAAAGATGATAGGGCAAGTACTCTTTCCAATCTACATTTTCTTCCTCTGAATTAATGCTTTAATCATGCTTACATGTAGATAATTCTGGAGGCCCTCTGATAGTGTTGATTTTAACAGTAAGAATTAGGCTGTGAAAGGAAAGGCTCTGTGGCTGACTTGTTACAAATGTGTTGCTAGAACATATTCTCTCATCCTAAGAGTCCTTGCTTGGCTTCCAGTGATGTGCCATATAGACAAAGACAAAGATGGGTCCCTAGAGTTGTTTATGATAAACAGTTAACAAAGAAGCAGCTATTGCACAATTTTTCTTAACAAATAATTATGTTATTTATCTGATCATTAAATAAGGAAGCACAATGTTCTCAACAATTTGGTGTTAAAAGTTTTAAAATACAAGAAAACTTTTAAGAAACTGTTTAAAATTAGGCATATATTATATGAAAACTGGTGTAATGTAGATTTATTGAGAATGTTATGGACAACTGAGGTGTTGATAAATAACATAAAAAATGACCAACAGCCTAGAGTAGTCTATTTTGCATCATACTGCAGGAGCAAGTGGTTGTTGATGACAACTGGGTTTTGCAGTATGTCACCTTCGATAGGGTGGGTAACATAATAGCTTGAGCAGCAGTAATATTCTAGTTTACTAGCTAATCCTAACCAGCTCTGCTATCCACCCCCTCCTTGAGCTTGCACATAGCCTTGGCTTACTGAAGCATATGGCATCTTAGTTTATTTTGTTATTGACATAATTAAAACTTGCTTCCACTGGTCATTGATTCAGTTTTGCTAAAACTCTTTCCTAGTTGGAAACCCTCATATTGTAACACAAAATAATCAATTGCACTCAACTTGCACTCAACTTCAAAACATGACGAGAGCAGCTACCCACGAAAATGCTTTTGGGTTGAATAATACTCCAAGTGTACTTCTTAAGGGGGTCTTCTAAAGCACACAGTCTGTATAAAGTGTATATCACACTACATTTCACCGTTCCAGATAAGAAAGTACAGCTATATAGCTTATGATAACCTGTTCTAGGCATTCAGATAGTGACAAGTAAACAAAGAAACAAGAAAAAATGGCCTTCCTGGTTATAAGCCCTCCCCTAAGCTTCCACTATTACATTTTGACGCTTAGTTAAACACCAGTAAATGCAAAAAGTATTTTGTTTCGAATCGCTTTTTCTATTTGAGTTATGTAGCCCCTTAGATATAAGCCCCTCCTTTTTCCAAAAAAAAAAAAAAAAAACCTTAAAGCCCCTTACCCTTTTGAGGTTAGCCTGTTCCAGGCGTTCAGATAGTGGGGAGCGGTGCGAAGTAAAAGGAGCGCGAAAAAATAAAAGCGAGGGAGGGGGAGAGGTGAGAGAGGGAACGCCTGTTAGATTTGTTTTAAATAGACTCATCCGCCCACTGAGACCTCATCAGCTGTAGGTGGTCTTCACTTGTCAATCAAGACTGATGTTACAGCCCCATACATTTATTATTTTTCTAACGAATAAATCAAAAATTAATATTATGTATACATAATCTTACTAAAAACCTGATGTAAGACTTTCAGACAATAGAGAGCGGAAGAAGTAATTTATTTACGGCTTTAAAACATGATTTCAGCGTGTACGTGACAAAAAAATTATGAATCAAGTGACAAACAAATATCGCTCATTTCGATAGAAAGCCGTTTCAATACAGATCGTTAACTCGAGCAATGAAAATGCCCAACAAACAAAGGGAAAATTTACAATTCGGTGATTGAGTGGACCTCGTCAATAGCGATAGCTGCAACTTGCTTTTCAAGCTTTCCTTTTGAAGTCCTTTTGTCCATTCCTTAGACAACCACGATTTGTGACTGCAGTTCGCCTTTGAGTGAATTTTTAAGGATCATACAATTTCACAACTTCCACTTTTAACGGCTTCATCCACATCTTCTCCCATCATTGCCGCCGCTACTCTGATTTTGTTCAAATGTTCCACTTGGTCTTTCATGATGGCAATCAACGGAGTTACCACAACAATCGTAAATGTTATTCTATCCTGCCTTCATTCCAACGCACGCTTTATTCGAGGAAAAAGCTGGAAAATAAGTCTTTTTCCACAGTCAGTCGGTGAAATTGTGAAGACATCTATCCTGCCGACTACGTGTTTTAAACAGTTCCTTTGCTCTTCGCGTTTATCCTCCACGTTTGGAAAGTCGCTCAGCGCTGTGTTTGTTGCGAGTTCGAATTCTGGACGGGACGTAGAGTCATTTCTCGCTGTGATCGAAGACGATCCACTGTTGACAAAAACTGTCAAAATCAACCAATCAGAGGGTATACCAGGATCTGGTATACCGGAACGCGCTTTTGTTAAAAATTCTTACAAGCGTTCCCGCACCTCTCTCCCCAGTTCCCCTCTACTTTTCATCGCTTTCTTTACTTCGCACCGCTCTCCACTATCTGAACGCTTGGAACAGGCTATTTTGAGGTTTGCTTATGTGTCCTGAACTTCATGGTGATTGGTCACTACACAATCAACACTCCTGAAAATTTTCAGGCGTTCACGATTTTCTCAGTTTGACGGAAAAATAATTGGCAAATCCGTCTTTGAGGTCCTGATGATGGTATTTAGTTAGGAGAAAATAACTGAAATCTTCAGGAGGATAAACCTCTAATAGATAAAGGTCCCCTTTTGCAAAACACTGAATGGCCACCATAAACACCAAATGACCCTCAAGTTTTATGATTAGCCAATAGGGTTAGGAAACTGAGCGAATAAAGTTTCACTTAGGTTTGTTGTACAGAAAGAACTGAACTGAACTTGACTCACTCAGTTTTCTTGTCGATGGAAGTGAAAGAGACATATATATATATATATATATATGAATATTGGAAGTAGGAAAAAACTACACTTTCATCCCAATATTTATATCACGCTCTACTTTAACGTATCGAGCACTCTACTACGGAAAAATCGAAACACAGACTTCCGAGGGGGAGGGGAGGGGGGGGGGGGAGAGGTGGTCTTATAATCGGAAGTTTATGGTATGCTGTCTCCGTGTCTTAAATGTGCGAAATTATGTCGGATGTTGTCATGGAAATGACAATGACATGGAAATATTGTTTTAGATATTAAAACTCGTATTTCACTTGAGGCTGAATTCCAATCCTTTTACTTTCAGCTCATTGCACGTGATTTAGGCATGTTCACACTATAAAGCATAGCTTTTGCACCGGCACCAAAACCATACCAGGCTTCTGTTCACACATAAGAACGGTGATTTTGGCGCGATTTCTGTAACGGAGCGCAGCAGCGCCGCACCGATCTCGGAAGTGGAGCGACACATATCTGACAGGTTTTGTGCCACAGTCTGGTGTAGTGTGGGAAGGTATTTGGTCCGTAGCGGAAGTGAATAATTCGGAAAGAGGAATAGAAATCACTGAGACGGAAGTGAATACATTATTGGTACCTAATTTCTCGGGTACTTAAATTTGGCGAGGATTAATATTCGAGGGTCTGTGATTTCACGATCTTTGTGCAATCGCGAAAATCGCAAAATTTTACCAATAGAGCGTTTTCACCCATGTGGCCTGCGTCTATGAAAATTTATTGGAACAGAAGAAACCGTTTGCATAAGAAAAGAGTCCAACTCCCACAGGACTGGTTTGGGACACCAACATGGCCACCGTTTCATTGATTTGGGACCTCAATATGGCCGCCGTGACGTCATGTGAAAACACTCGGCCAACCGCTCCGTTACGATGTTCGATGTGTGTGAAGGACTTGTTCCAGTTCTGTGCCGTTGCTGTTCAAGCTATACTTGATAGCTTTTCGTGCCGGCACGAAAAGCTCTCCTATGGGCATATTTGCCAGCTGGATATTCCTGATTTTTCGAAGATTGGTGTTACTATGGAAACGTATTGCTTGACCAGGAAATAACGCTCGCGTGCATTTATTTTCATTCACGAAAAGAGGCAAATGCACTATTTTTACGGCCGAATCACGCCACTTAGGAGACAAACAAAAAGTTCTAATCACTTCTTGAAGGGGTCAGCGGTTGTCATGCGGTTATGGCGATATTCTCCCTTTTTATACGTTGTGTGTCACAACCTTATGAAATGTAATTTAAATATTGTCTCTACTTAGTTCGTTTAGCTTTCATTTGCTATTCTGAGTAGCTTTTTTGCTTTATCTATTTTAATGTATGCTATTCTTTATAAACGTTTTTTAATTTGGCAAAATAAAATGGTTGGTTGTTGTTGTTGTAGTGACGGTAGGTGTTGGAAACTTCCAAGTAGGTGGACATCAAGTCCTCTGAACTCTACAAGCCTATCAGTTTGGCCTTAGTTCCGTTTGCAGTGAGACTTTCATTCTATCGCTTGAATATTGCTTTCTAGAACTGTAATAGCAACTTACGTACTTTGTTAAGGAAAATTGACTTGAAATCAATAGCATAGCTGTTTGTATTAAGAGGTGTACGTGTTAGTATGTTTTTAAGATAACAAACATCAACTTCCCTTTAATCACGTTTAAGCGGGAGAATGCGGAATCATGTACTCGAATGTCTTCCTTTTTTTCCAAGTCTGATAATTTTTAAGTGTCTTAATTTTGGCAACTGCAGAGCTTCCACGCATCGTTGTGTTGATTGAGGCTATTATTACTAATATATTCTATGCTCTAGGACCTCGAAATTACGTGACCTGTATTTTCAGGACAGAAAGTGTCCTTATTTTTAGCAAGACAATCTGTGATACCTACTGTACCTGTACCATCTTTATTCAATGTCGCATGAATAGTTGTTTATTTTCAGAAAGTGGTCAGCCAACGGATACTGAATAAAAGGTTGCTTGAAGTTTATCCCCATGGACTATTGTAGTAAGTAGTTCTCTAATCCCAGCCAATCATTTTTCAGAATGTCGACATCGCCAGCGGATTAAACGCTGAAACGCTCACATGGTCCGACGACCCTTTAACCCCGTTGCAGAGATAGGTGCTAAATAACTGGTGTAAGTCTTCCTCATTCCAAAACCGAGAAGGTTTAAATAGAGATGCCTAGTGTCCATATACGTATTTGCAACAGAGGAGAGGTAATATCAATACACAGCCGCAAAGAATTAAGGCAATGATGACGAAGCCACTCTCTGCTTTCCTTGCCGCTCAGGTGCTTTTTTTGCAGCTATATTTGACCAGTGGTAAGTTACTAATGACTATCGATTATTGTCCTGGTATATTACCAATTTCTGGTAATTTTCATCAAACAAGAATGGTTCTAGGCAAATTTTGTTGAGGGGGTTGAAAATCGACTGCAATCTGAACAATACAAATTTGGTGCAGACTGCACGCTTCATCGTTTTCTCGAGTACCCCAATAATATTTGTTTATCTACGAACTAAGATAATTTTTCATGCGCATCCTTGGAGGTACAAAGGCAGCAACTAGTGGCGCGGGATATTTATGGGTGAAACCCTCCAAGCAAACTGGGAACTGGGAGGCTTCTCTCCCCTACTTCTTGAAAGGCTTCTCGGCAATAATTTTACCTGTTTCGCGTCCAAATGTGCTTCCCCTGGGTCTCTGAAGACGTGCGTCAACGAAAACCTTACTCAGGATTACTTGTCTTGGATAAGCAAAAATATGAAGCTGAAAAAATACTCTCCAGGGCCCACCCAATAAGGAATTTATCGACGACGATCTCAAACTTAAAGCACGTTCTAAGAGACGTGAGGCCGTAGCTCAACCTTTGCTTTCAAGGAAGTAATTAAACCACTTATGGGGTGTAATCCAGATGGATTAGACCTATAGATTAATAATAGTAAATTGATCTGCATAACATAGCAAAATAATTCCAAATAAGAGGATCGCATCATTTTAGGGTGATATGAGAGGGATAGCAAAATGGGGAAAGGTAACCAAATATTCAGAAAAAATATATATGTTATATTGTCCCGAAATAGATATTGTTGCATTCAGAATTTATTTGAGTTCTTTTGCTTATTTATTAAGGTTTTTAACTTCCGTTAGTGACTGAAATGTAAAACGTTTTATTGAAACTGGTGTTAGGTCAACAAGTACATACTTAAACAAAACTTAACGATTAACATTTATCAATTTATTGCAGTTATTATTATTATTATTATTATTATTATTATCGTCATCATCATCATCATCATCATCATCATCATTATCCTTATCGTTATCGCTACCGTTATCGTTATCGTGTATATCACTATCATGTTTTTTTTTTTTTTCTATTTTTTTTTTTTTACATTCAAGGGGCGGTCTTTCAAGCTGGGAAGGTAAATATTACCGACACTTCCCAAAACAACCATGGTTGCCAAGCCGTTTCCTTCGAAACTCAATTCCAGGGTTCGGGAGATGTAAAGGTGTTGGCGACGCTCAGTCACGGAAACAAATATGTTAAAATCCACGACCCAGCGTCTCTTTGGGTGAAGTCGGTGTCAACAACAGGTTTTGAAGCCTGCGTGCGCGAAGCAGGAAGTGGCTCTGGTGGCACGTCTGTTATCAACTGGCTTGCATTTCAAGGTTCGCATCAAGGCATAAACTCAGGGATCGCGGAATTTAATGAATTCACGTCACGAACACAATGCAAGAAGATATCGCTAAGCATTCAGAATCAGGTAACTTCGCGATGTTATCCAATTCATTCATGACATTCATTTAGTTTTCCATTTTAGTTTTAAAGTCAATACTCATGAAAAACCCGTAACTCAACTTCGGCCTTAAGGGAAAAAATAACTAAAACGCGCGTGACTACTTCATATCAGTAAAATTCCAAAAAATAGCATTGTTTTGTAGATTGTTTAAATACTACGCCTGCAAAAATCACCAAAAAATATAATGGTTGTAGCCCTCCATGATGAAAGTTGTTTGATATCTTCTTCATGGCTCGGCAGGAACATTTAATGCATGGATAAATGGACACAGAGATTACTTCAGCACAGAATTTGCCCAAAGCAGCAATATCATCGTGTCATATCCCCATCGTGAATCGACCATTTTCCCTATTTCTTGTTTGCTGTTCAAGATCTCCTCCTCACTCTGGCAAATCGCCGTATGCAAAATCGAGTAACTCTTCAAAGCCGCAATGAAGTCGTTAACGTCAGTCCTTACCGTCAGTCACTGTTAATCAGGTCCTCTTCGGGACAAAGGACGAAAATCATATCTAAGCTCAGTACTTGTACTTATTGGGTGATTTTTCCTCTTCTTCTAGATAAAACCTCAAGTGTTTGTAACCGTTCAACATAAACATTCTAACCGTCCTTTTGATTCCATGAACATCTGGCTAGAAGAGGTCGAAGCAGACGGCTTCGTTGTTTGCTTGAGAGAGTTTATGAGTTTCGACGGTATCCATACCGGACTTAAAGTGGTGAGTTTTAAAAAATTTAGCCCAGTCTTCGACTATTACGTTTTTCTTCGTCCTTGCTTGTCATCAATTAAATTCAAAATTAAATCTGATTGTATGGAAGCTAATTAAAAACCTGGTGGTTAGTTTGGCCTCCCCTTATAAATTACGTAAAAATTATATTAGAAGAATTGATAAGCTATGGGTTCAGACAATAAATGCAACAAGGCGACATCTTAGTGACGTCAAATTACGTCACTGTGTCAATCACATTACAACTACTTGTTGGAATGATGATTACACTATTTCGTGTAAATTTAGTGGCGGTCTCATGAGTGGTTATAGAGTTCTCGAAGGGGCCTTCGAAGGCCCCTTCTCCCTCCAATTTCCAGGGAGCCCAAAAACGCTCAGTCAGAATAGTGTTAAATATAGGTCATGGTATTTTGCTTCTTTCTCAGACTCCAGATACAAATTTTTCTCAGGGTTCCCACCTTCATTTTAAGTTTTCTTAAAAACCATAAGGAAAGACACTTAATGCTGTGACTGTTACTTGCGTCCACCTTTTCAGAACTGGCTTGCTTATGATTTGCTACCTGAGGCTTGGAATTTTACTGAGCAAGGAAGGCTTCATTTTTCTGGACTTGGTGCACCAAAGAAAGAGAGCAATTACGCCTTTTGTCAGGTTGGAAATATGACGTTTTTTAATGATACATTCAATTTTTATTGACTTAACCCTTGGACGTACAAAAGGGGATGGATGCCACCCACCCATAAGGTTTTTCTGAGTTTTTTCCTAGAGGATAAAATATCAGTACCAGACGTTTTCAGTTCGTTCATCCGTCGCGCACATTTTGAGAGAAGTTTAATGATGGTCAGTTGCTATGGTTACGATATATGACGTCATAAGTAGCGGGTGGTCAAGCCAATTTTGGGTGAAAATACATGTTTTTTCAACTTCTTTCAACAATAAAAGTAAATATTGTGGCTAAAATCATACAAAGTGCTTGTTTATGTGTTATTTGTCATTTAAAGCACAAAAATTACCAGGTTTTCCACTAGAGGTAAAATGGTTTCAAAATACTGCAACATATCAAAAACTCCAGGGAGGGGTTCCATCCACCCCCCCCCACCCTTGTACCTGAATTTGCATGTACGTCAGAGGGTTAACTTACAAACTCAAGCCCTTAAACCAACGTGGTTAACAATCAACGTTTGTGTTGTTACAGTGACTGACGTTTCGACTACGTTCAATCAACCTTTGTGTTGTGTATTTCTCATTTCTTTGAGGGACACTGTAGCATCGGCGTATTGTGCATTTTTGAAATAAGAGTTTAAGGTGATTCCCTACTTTTGCACTGCGCATCTCTTACTGCGCAGAACAAGATGGCTGCCGTAAAAAAGAGCATGTGAAGTAATATTATTAAAATGAAGTTGACTGAAGAGAAACGCTATTGGAATTTTTGCTTGCTGTTGTTTCTTGCCGAGGTGAGACTCAATGTGTTGGGAATGTGCATAACGTAAGCAGTACGCGTGTTGCTGAGTTCGACCTCCTCTCGGAGAACCTCGATAGTGGGTGTTTAACTTATGCTTACTCACTTTGATTTTCATTTAAACACTTTCTTTATGACAGTGTGTCCTAAATGTGATATCTCGATGTAAATTCTGTAAAAACGGATTTTTTAATACTTTCTTCCCCCTTTCACATACATTCTATTTTCAAACTCGCCCCAGTCCTCTCTCAAAAATCGGAGAAAATGCGTTTGGTGCGCACTTTCTGCAGCTCGACCGCAAAAACGAGTACGGTGACCCCCATTTTTTATTTCATGATTTTAATAAGGACAGTGCTTCCTTTCGATGAGAAAAAAATTGGCACAAATCTATGTTCAGTTTTTTGGCAATTTTACTAAATTGTACGGATTGAGCTATCACTGGTCGAATAGCGCGTGTATAATTGAATTCTACTTTGGAGCGTAAAATAAAAACAGGAACATTAAAAGGTATTTTTCTGGTATGTAAGTGGATAAACAATACAATAAAGTTAAATTCTGTGCGATACCACATGCATCATCGAAAAAATCTCTCGTTTTAGTTTTGGGCTGCTCGCGGTTTTTGACATAGGGTCCAAAATAGCCGTATTTCTCAGCATTGTGACGTCAAAACGAGCACGGTGACCCCCACGTTTTATTACTTTTTTATCATCTTCTTGACTTGTTACATCAGTGTACCAAGTTTTAGCTACAATCTATGTTGGGTTCTTTTACTATGGAATCACCTTAACTCCAACAAGAGATACAACCTTCTTGATTCACAAGAGTTGTGTTTTAGATTTGTTGACTGCAACGTGTTCAGGAGGTGCATCCACTATTAGATATATTTTATAGACCTAGAGTTTGCCTAATCATTTTCTTAATGAACTGGGACAATATCACTTTCTTCAAAAGGATCAAAGCGACAATATTTCTTTAAACAGTCAGAGGGAAAATTGTTGTGTTTGCTAAATCATGATTTATAGGATTATATGTTTGAGAATCCATTCTACGAGCCGCCCAATATTCTGGCATCTGTCGGCCATGAAAATGGCACCAGGGAACTGTCAATGAAGGCAGATGGTCGCTATAGCAACGCTTTGGCTGTCTGGATTGAGGTGAGTAGCCTTGAGGAGACATAATAAATTGAAACTTTTTCAAAAATTTGCTGATTAAAATAGCTACCTTCGCTAAAGAGTAAAGCACTTATAACTAAAGAAGAAGTTCGAAGTGGCACTTAACACTTGACGGCAAATTCAAGCAATAACTTGAATCATGAAGCTGATTGTCACTTGCCGTACTCATTTTCACCTGACTTTCTTCTTAAGGGAGGCTCTATGGGTTCATGGTTTAAAAACGGTCATATCCGTAGATTGTGATTGGTTGATTACGATCCATTCTTTTTTCTATTATTATTTATTTCCGTGGTGATTATGACTGAAATCTAACTTTCTCGGAATGTATTGTTATTTTTATGTAATCCGATTGGTCATCTTTGTCTAGATGGCCTCGGTTATAGTAGTCGCACTGTAACAGACAGCAGCGTCCGTTATATAACCGTGAGAACTGTACGTCCGTTTAAACGATTCAAAGTTGCTCTTGTCCTTATTGCCCTAACTGGGCGCCCCTGTCTAAAAGCTAACAGGTCAATACAAGCCTTTTATTTATTGGTATATTTGATGTTATTTTCCAGGAGATGACTCGTTTGTCTTTCAAAGTGTGCATCAAAGACAGTCAGGGAATGAGCAAGTCTCACGATCCAGTTACAGTGAACTATGCAATAGTGGGAGGTACGTTACTCTTATATTTGCTTATTCTTTAATTTCAAAGATTTGTCTCTTCATACCGGTTCGTCCTATTATCAAGGCATTTCGACGTTGGGTCAAACGTCGAATTGAAGAAATGAATTCTAATACGAATAAAGTCAGGTAATTGGCACTGTAAAAACCTGTGATCAAATCTCGAAGAAAGAAGTTATAAAAAAAATGACGTTTAAATAAGGACAGCATCGTATTGTAAAAAAAGTAACTCCCCATTTCCTATCTTTTTTTGCCATCAATTGTCTTTACAGGAAAAACAAAGCAAAACTTAAAAAAATTAAAAAGCAGTTGCGCTGTCAAAGGATGTAGGACGTCAGGTCAATTTGCTATTCATACAAGTTCTGATTTTGTTCTTGTTGTTTTTTTTTTGCCCTAAAGATATAGACCCGTGCACAAACGTTACTTGCGATTACCATGCCATCTGCAAAGCTTTCTCTGCATTTGATGCCCGTTGTGTTTGTGATGACAACTGCCCGTCGTACGAGGAGCCAGTGTGTTCATCCAACTCAACAACATTTAAGAACAAGTGCTTTTGTCTGCTGGACATTTGCAGGCGCAAGAGTAACCACACTCTCTATCATCCCGGCAGTTGTACAGGTAAGAGAGCGGATTATAAGGATTTTTTAAACCACGTTAACCAGCGTATGCAGAGCTCTAGTGTTGTGAGATATGGTGCCGCTGATGACTTACGACATCACTCAATTTGGCGGCCATCTTTAGTACCACCTTGGAATCACCGTTTTAAGCACATGGCATTTTCTGTGCAGCTGTAGGTCCAAAATAAATCATGATTAAATATTATTTTGCTTATTTTGGTACTGTTTTGAACGCAACAAAGTGCCAATCATACAGTGCCACTATATGATTGTGTGATTGTACAATCAACTTTTAATTTAATTCCTCGCATATAGAAAGGATTTTATACGTTTTTTTTTCTCATCCTCATCAGGTATTTGTAGGATGCATCTTTGTTTTGTCTTTATGTTAACTTTATGGCTGTTGTTGTTTGTTTGTTTGTTTTTTTTATCGCTTTCGGCTCTAATTAGCTTTGTTTTTCTTTTATGTTGTATCTTCTTTTTCTTGTTGTTCCTCGACAGGTTTTCCTGTTCAGACTGGGCGAGTTTCACTGAGGAGACATGTACAGTGGGCAGAGACGGCCTGTGAAGTAGTGAAATTTCCACCGTTTTCATTCTATCCCGACAAAGAAGTGCACGTACAGATAACGACCAATCACTGGAACATAAGCGAGAAAAATTTTATACATGATGCTACTGTGTCCTGGGTGGAAACTGTTAACTTCGAGAATTTTGAGGTGAATATTTTAAAGGAAGTTTTCAATTCAAGTATTACTCCAAGTAGTAATTAGTGACCCTCTGCACATTTTTCTTACATCTCCAAGAGCTCTTGTTTACCTGTCATATTTCTGGCCAGTAAAATACTATTTGAACATATTTTATTTTCACAACGAGTTACTAGCGGAGATTTCGCGTCTTGCTAGCGCAGAGGGGCACTATGGGTAAGAAAATTTGGTTATCTATGCATCCAAGAAATTTTGGTTACTAACAAAATCGTGCGTACGTACGTAGGACCGCGTCTTCATGTTAACGGATGTTAAATGTCTTACTAGCCGTAAGTCCAAAACATATACAAATTGTGTTTAACTCGATTGTGGACATCCATGTTATAATCAATTGACAGCTGTCAAAGTAGGGCATCCCCAGACCAGTGTCACACGACTTTATTGCGGGCTCAGGTGTGCTACTTATTGAGGTGACGGTTTTTTAAGTTGTCAGCTGACCAGTTATAGAATCAAGTGATCGCAGGCTTGGAAAACCTTTTTTCAGCAAGTCAGTTACCACAAGAGCTCCGCTTTTGACCTTGGCTAAATATATATATCACCTTACCATATAAAATAAACATTAGCCATTACATTTAATATTTAGGTGTGCGTGACTGCAGCAGGAAGAAATGATCGCTTTATCAAAGAATTTGCCACGGTGGACTGGATGGCCTACCAAGGTGCTCCTGATGGAGGTGTGGCGGGTAAAATGCGTATTCCAGAATGGTGGACTGGATCACAGTGCTCAAAAGTCAGCCTTCCTCAGGCAATAACACTTTATTGTTACCTCTCAGCTGCATCTTGTTTCGTTACATAAACCACAAAAAATAATGACCTTTAATTAAGTTTTCAATAAGGTGAACATTTGCTATGCTGATGTCATAAGTACTAAACACTCCAGTTGTTATCCAATCAAAGATATTGTACTTGGACTTGGAGACATGAGCTGCAAAGAGGCAGCCCAGTTCTGTCCGCGAAATTCTTTCTGACACATAGGCCATTTTTAAACCTTTTTCAATTTTTACACTATTTGTCAGAGGGGGGAGATATTCTTAAAAAAAGCATTATTTGATACAAAAAAATATAGGAGAAAGAAACTTGTACGGTCTAGGGCTAAATTTGACAGTCGCGTTCAGACACCTGACCACGATCCAATGTCCTATGAGCGTCCCGATCAAGTGAAATGTTATTTTTTCCAAATTTTACATGCTATTCTCCCAATCAGCTTTGCTGTGTATACTTAATGATTACCAATTCAACTTTCTTACTGTTATGAATGGTTTTTTTAACAGGGAAAATTTGCGTCTACACCAACGGTCCTGGTTTCAGCAGAACATATAAGTGCAGACTTTAAGCATGATGCCGCAAGTTTGTGGGTGGAAAACGCAACCAGTTCCTCCTTTTACATTTGTCTTCGAGAACTACAGAATTATGATGGTCTACATGAAGATATCTTTGTGGTATATGTTTTCTCCTTTATAAATATATCTGTCTGGCATTTGCTAAATCGTGGCTAAAGAAATTTCAAGTGCATTTTAACAATTTGATATCTAAGTCGAATGGAAAGTAGTTACAAAATACTAGCTGACAACTTTATTGCTGGCAACAGACGGTGAATTTCTCTCTCAGAAGAAACAGGATTTTTGGATAAAGTAAACAACATCTGAAACGTCCAGAAATTATAACCTTTTAGTCAGCCAAACCATGAGGCCCCATAGGCAAGTGTCTGCCGAAAACAGATTAAGAAGCCACGATATTTGAGCACAGAATAAGCTTTCTAAGACAAAATCACCTAAACTAAATACTTGTGAAGCGTTTCTTTTTATGCTTGAAACCGTAGCCTGGTAACAAGAGCTCAACCACATACCTCAATTTTGTTTGTCAACGCTTTCGGTAAATCAATCGGAAAAACTGTCGCATTCTGCACATAAATCGTCGATAGAAACTTTTCTCGAGTCACACAGTCGATTTATTCAAGATCCTGGATGTAAACCAGCGGTTGAAAAGGAGACATGGAGCCCCCGCCTTCCAAACAATTTTTGACGAAGACGTCTTTGGCCTGGTCAGAGATCAGCTTTCAATTTCCATCTCGCCGAATAAATTGCACCCCTAGAACCTCTTTTGTGAGGCCAAAGACGTTTTGCTGCCAACAACAAAGTTCGCAATATCCAATCTTTCCTTCTCAAACCCGGGATCAGTCTTCATCCGAGTAGCTAAATGAGACGAAATACGAGAAGACGTAGCAGACTTTGCCAATCGTGAGACTTGTTCCTTCGTAAGGCTTAATGATGTCTTCCGGACAGCTTTGCTTAAGGCAACCACAAAAAAACTCTAAGAATGCCCACTAAGAGAGCCGTGTTCAGTCTAAAACGCGGGCTGACTTCAAAATGGCATACACAGAGAATTCTATAGGAAGTTATGACAGGCGTTTTTTAAGAGGGGGGGAGGTTGTAGGTTAATAGCCATTGAGAAACACATGACAGTCTATCTAATGCAGCGTATTATTCAGCCAACAAATTCAACAATATGACGTTCTAATGACGTCAAACGTCATTGTGTCAATCAAATTGTGCCTAGACGTTGGAAAATATTTTATTCTGTGTAATTTTGGTGGCCGTATCACGCGTAGTCTCCTTCGCAGCCGTTATTAGAGTCGTCACGCAACGCTCCTCCCCACTAGTGGGGAGGAGCGTTGCGTGAGGACCCTAATAACGGCTGCGAAGGAGACTATATCACGAGAGGTTTTAAAGTTATAGAGGGGAGCCTCCAAAGCCAACCCACCCAGGTCGCAGGGAGCAAAAAAAAAAAAAACGGGTCAATGATAAAATACGTGAGATGAGTTCTCGCTAGCATTGTGGATACAAGTTACAAATCGTCTTAGGGCACATAGCTCAATTATTTTTACACGGGATTTAGGTATGAGATAGCAATCCATTTTTTATTGCTATCACTCTTTTTAGAGTTGGATGGCCTTTGAAACAATCCACAGGCCCCTTTTCGCTGAGAGCAAACACGTAGATTTTCCAAACAACAATTCCGTTTCTACGAGCTACAACTTTACTTTTAAGTAGAAGAAAGCTCTTTATCTGTTTAGATGGAACAGTAGACTTGCTACAAGTCGACCTCTGGACGAAGTCGCGAGAGGTCGACCTTCATCCCGCGCCAAATTAAATCCGACGAAGGACTTTTTTGAAAGTCTAATGGGACAGCAGAGAAAAGCGGCTATCAAATAAGTACATTTAGGAATTTTAAATCATCTTTACGGCTGTAAAACTCCAGACTTTATCCCAACTTAATAAATGGGAGTAAAAATGAAGGAAGTTGACCATGACTGATCTCACATCTAGTTGCCAAATCATGTCATATGATCTTTCAAAAGAAATGAGATGAGGCCAAGAAATGAACGTATGTTTTGAAAGTTCATCAAAGCCGTCGGAAAAAAAAATCTTGAACAAAGAAATGTTTTTCTTACTCAAAAATTACCTGTTCCTTCGAGTCAGCGCAGATAAATTCCAGCCACCTATAGTATCACCATTCATTGATCAAAAATGGACGGTGATTCAAATGCTATATCAACAGCCTTATTTTTATGTCCTTAGGACGTTCCATTTGCAAAGAATTACGACAAAGAACCCATAGTATTAATAGCAGCCGGTCACAACTCAGAGGGCAACAATTTGAAGCCAATATACATGTCCGTGACCCCATGGATTGAGGTATTCTCAAGTTATTTAACTAATATACAACGCTCTTTCTTCAAAATAAGTAAGATCAAGCTGACAACCCTGTAGGAAATGTGCAAATGAGCTAAATTTCACCTTTCTCTGTTCATGCAGCCTGTTTATCAGTCATAGTCGCGCAGCGAAAAGTACTATCTATTTGTCCATCTGTTATTCGAGGTCAGTTTTTTTTTTGTTTAGATAGGAATTCAAAATGACTCAGTTACAGGCGTTTAAGCGAACGTCTCTAAAAGTTGAGCTATTACTGTTTGTTCTTGTAAGCGAAATATGTGATGCTAGATGATATGCTTATTTTACAGCACATCAAGACCAGCGAATTCCGCATTTGTCTTAAGGAGTTGTTCGCTGACCAGCATGATCCTGTGACTGTGTCCTATACAGTACTGGCAGGTGTGTTAGTAAATGATAAAAACAAATTTTCTTTGCGAAGACCTTCTCATGCCCAGCAGGCTTTGGTAGATGTCAAGTAAACTTAGAGGCTCCTTGTTTCATATCTCCTTTAAGTAATCACCAGTAAATGTATTTTCTTAGTTCCTACGTACTACAGGTAAAGGTTTCTATTTCCAAAAACTTCTCGGTCAGCTAAGGCCTAAGCCAAACGTATATAGAAGTTTTCATGGAACGAACCAAACTCTAATTTGAGTCGACCTAACTTAAGTTAATTAAGATCGGCTGCTGGATAACACGTCGATCTTTATAGGGCGCGTGGAACCAATCAACTGAATCAGATCAGTAATAAAATTATTTTCTCCCGAACGATTTTATATAGATTAACGAACAATTTTTTTAAAATTTATTAGTTTAGTTCCTCACATGTGAAGATCGACGTTTGTCCTGGAGACGATCTTCGGACGCTCTGTCCGTCGTAACGTGTTGGACGAACCAAACTCATTCAGCGAACTTAACTGAGCCAAACGTCGCTAAGAAGGTTTCATGAACTTAAATCACTAAGTTTGGTTTGTCTCATGAAAAGTGCGACGTTTGGCCCAGTCTTTGTTACGCACAATTTACTTCACACAAAATGTTTTGTATACTGCAGATGTTTGTAAGCCGGGCTGGTCATATTTTAATGGTATTTGCTACTCGACAAGCCATTCGTGCAAAAATTGGACCGAAGCTGAGAAAACCTGCCAAGCATATAGCGGCAACCTCATCACTGTGCGGAATCAAGAAGAAAACGTCTATATTCAGCATCGGCTGAATGGTGCCAGGGGCTGGATTGGGCTAAACGATAGGGTAATTGAGGGTACTTTCGACTGGGCAGATAATCAAACCAGTAACTTTTCATACTGGGCGAAGAACCAACCAAACAACTTCAACAATGAAGATTGCGTTCACACTTTGGGAGTCAGTCATAGTTTTATGTGGAATGATGTAAGCTGTGGTACTTGCCATAACTATACCTGTTCAGAAGGTTTGTGGGTGACTTACCTCTTTTATATACCAACTTTTGTACGCTATATACAGTTAAAATAGTGTGACGGGACGCGTGAGCGTAACCCGTTTACTATAGTGACAACTTAGTGTAAAAATTTAAAAATATACATGTACAATAATAAAAAAAAAAAGCACTTTAAATAATGCTCCAAAAGAAAATAAAACTATTCAAGATATCTAGGATCTAAAATGATAATTATAAAGTCTGATCTTTAAAGTTCTCTTAAGTAAATTACTTATTCGGCTGTAAAAAAATTTATTGACGACTACTTCATATCCACAAAAGTCCAAAAGATGTTGAAGGAAGAGAGTTAATAATTTCGAAAGCGATAATCATTGTTCATGTTGCAACTTTAAGTTTAAAGTTTCTAAAGTTGTTTAGTGTTCCCGAGAGTACAGAATTCTGCATGTTATATAAAAAAACTCCCTTACTCTTTACTTTCGACCAACTGCTTCAGCTGGACTTCTAAGTCTGGGCACCACCCCCCAAGTACGTCCATTATGATATTATATTGTTTCACTTCATATCCTTGGTACTTCTGCTTTAACTCCAGTCCCAACGGAGCGGTTCGTATTGCGTGGTTTTCTCCTCCTCCTTTTTCTCCCGGCTTGTAACCCATGAGCAGCTCATCTCAAGCGTTATAACTTGCTTTAACTTGCTTTAACTCGTGTTTCATAATGCGAGCATGAACTCTGTTGGCTTCAACTTCTTGGTGCTCCGCAAATAGGGGGACATCCCAGAACACTTGCGCATCGTTCGCCTCGTACACTGGCTTCGGTTTCAGTGGCGGGTACTAAGGTGGCACCGAGTCTCTGACAAGACCTAGGTCTTGCAAAGTCTCGAAGAAAAGTATCCTCAGGGCTGCATTATTATGTCGAGTAATGTACTTGTTCTGTGCAAGGGCAGTACAACAAGCCAGGACATGAGTGACACTTTCAGGGGCCTTATTACATAGCCTGCAGGTTACCTCATCCATCACATCCGTGTGCTTTTTCTGGCAGTCATACAACCTCGTAGGTATTATTATTATTAGTATTATTATTATTATTATTATTACTATTATTACAAGAGACTATAAAGGGGACAGAGAGGGCATCCCCCATATACACGCTATTCCATAGGTAATTCGTCTCGAGTTATTTTTAGAATCGGGATAAAGTTACCTCGCGCGAGGCGTGGATGTTTCGTGGAGGTTTCGCATGACAAAACGCCGTGCAAAACATGTCGGGCGAGAGGCAATGAAAGCGTAAAAAGATCGAGAACATTCCTGAATATTGAAGCAAAATGAGTCGGCGCTGACCTGGGAAAAAGGAATCGCTGGACTCTTTGACAACCCGTGAAATCAGTTTAACTCGAAGTTGTCGTAACCTCAGTGCTTTAATAAAATGAGAAATTTCGCCGGTCTATTGAAACCGGTCGTTTGTACAATTTAGGGAGTTTAAGATCCAACGACGCGGACGACAACTAGAACGTCAAAAAAACAATAGGTTTAATTAGCAAAACAACAACTTCGCACGTGCAACACAATTTTTTGTTCATTTCCTTTCCGTTTTTGCACGACTACGACGTGAAAATGCCTAATTTCGCTTTTTATGGAGGTCATAAATAAGCAACGACGAAATTTTATTTCTTTTTCTGAGCTTGAATATGGTCCCTTGAAATTCAGCTTTAGGAGGGTTCGCCTACAATTGACAAAGTAAGTGGGTAGGAATAATCGCTATAAAGACTGAAAAAAATAAACATCAAACCAGAAATTGCTCTCTTCAAACTGTAAATTATAAATGATCCTTAGAGAATATTCAGAGTGTTAAGGATTTCGCTGCTCTACTGTTAGCTCTATACAAGAGAGGAAGGGCGATTCTTTTTTAATTTCGGTTTCGCTGACACAGCTTTCGCAGAAATCTCGCTGTAGTCGTTTTCGTCGACAAAAGGAATAGCAAAATCGCTCTCCCCGTCTTCTCCCATTTTGTTCTGCGTCATTTCGTGAAGGACGCGTGGCTCTCAGCGTGGGTCATCCACGCGGAACACATTCGCGCTATGTGATTGGCTGTTGTCTAATCCCCCTTGAGATCTGTGGTGTTAAAAATAACTCGACACGAATTACCTATGGAATAGGGTGTATATGGGGGATGCCCTCTCTGTCCCCTTTATAGTCTCTTGTTATTATTATTACTATAAACGTTTTCAATGTTATCAGGAGCCGATATTATTAATTGCTTCCTACACTCTCCTAGAACCGGCGCCAATCCATGGTCCTGAGGTACCAGGGGAGTTTTTTATATGATGGACACTGAGAAACCTTCTCAGTATGTGCGCCGTTCCTAGCAGGATGATCTTTTGCAGCTCATTAATGTTACTGGCTCCAGGAATCTTACCTAAATTCTGGCCCATTCCCTCTCTAATAAGTCCCAGTGCACCAACAATAACCGGCACAGTCTCTGTCCTCATTCCCCACATTCTCGTGGTTTCAATCTCAAGATCTTTGTATTTTAGAAGCTTTTCAATGACTTTCGTGGCGGTGTTTCGGTCGGATGGTAGCGATACATCTATAAGTTTGCAACATTATTATTGTTATTGTTATTAATATTACTATTGTTATTATTCATTAGTTCGTATTCAAAAGCAATTTCCGATTTGCCCCAAGCCTGTTTCAAACAGACATTATAAAACTACTTCCTCATGAAAGGGTTTGCTCTTGACCTCATTTTGAAAGTGTGGGTTTTTAGAAATCGAAAATGGTCTATTTTAACGTTTCCAGGCGTTAAGAGTTATTTTTATTTATTTCATTTGTATTTTCAGAGAATATCCTAATTTACTTTCACCAATTTACACCTCAATAACCAATAGGCCATTTGCACGATGATGTCATTTACTACTACTTCCAGAATCCTTCAGGGTATTGCTTTCTTATGCAAATTACGGCTTTTGTTATGTAAACCTCACTGGGATTAGCAAATTTAAATATGAAAGAAAAAACGAAATGAATTCTGGTCCTAGTAGTAAAAAATCGTCATCGTGCAAGTGGCCCATTTCTTTGGCTTCTTAGGTGACAAAAAGTTTGAGTTTACTGTAAGGGGATGTTTACATGAGAAAACTCGCACCGGCGCGAGTTTCATACCAGGATGACTTTTTGATTTCGTATCGCGTTTACATGACGACTGGGCTTTTTCGTATCTCGTTAGTTGAAGGTACACGTCATGTTAATAAAATACACGTGTGATTCAAAATCGCAAACATAACGCATGCTCTACCCGTTTCAGTCTACCGGCAGAGCGATTTCACACCGAAACGGGTGGTCGTTTCGCGCTTACATGATACCGTTGCCAGATTTCGTACCGGAGCGAAATTCTCGCCCCGGTACAAGAACCGGGGTGAGCTCACGCCGGGGTGACTCGCGCCGGCATGTCATTTTGTGGTGGTATCATGTAAACAAATATAGAGCCATGAGAGGGAACCTGAGTGAACTCGCTCCGGGGCGAAAGTCGCCCCGGCTTCATGTAAACACCCCCCAAAATCTGTTTGTTGCAGAAATAGTATAAATTAAAGGATTAGTCTACAAAGAAAAATAGGCACTACTTTTGTGAAAAAGAAAATTAGACGTCACAAAAAGGATCCATAAGTAGGTGCTTTTAGCACTGCATCACCCCTTCATACACAACAGTTTTCGTGCTGATTAAATCATATGAGCAACGATTTTAATTTTTATTCTTTTGTTAAAAAAGTTGATTGACAATCGATCGTTTCATTAATTGTTTTGCCGGTTGATTGACTGAACGATTGTTTTATATTCGTTTTTAAAATTAGATTATGATGAATGTGGAGGAAACAATAACCGTTGTCATCAGAACGCCATCTGCACAAACATCATTGGCTCCTATAGCTGCCGGTGCTCCGTAGGATATGCCGGTGATGGCTTGCTTTGCAGAGGTATTATGTTCAAAGCCCCAAGTTTTAGTTTTTCGTTTAATTCATGAAGCATAATTATCAAAGGAAACTCATCCAATGGTAAACAGACATCTCTTGTGAGTTTAAGGCTAGCTACAACTCTGGTCAAAACGTCTTGGGACACTGGAGGAAATTTGGCACAAAGACACACTTTGCTAAATTAACTCATATTCTACCTCTTAAAAAAGCTTGGGGATGTTGTTATAAGGGGCTATTTCTGCTGTCCCCCTCTCCCCCAAGCAGTGTTGATTGTGTTGAATTAAAACTTGAATACATAACGTCAACACTGCACCGAGGGGGAAGGGTGGAGGGAAGATGCCTCAATTTGACGAGCTATTGCGTTAGTGTCCCAAGAGTTTTGACCGGGGTTGTAGAATAAAGTAGAATAAGCATGCTTTCACCGTAAAATTGCGTGAAAATGTATTTTCCAAAAAACTCTTTAGAGGGTTTTTAAATACTGAGCAGCGTATAATAGTAGTGAAATAAGCGTTTAAATATAGACTGGAATAAATTAGGAGGGAAGTCTTCTCAGCAACTTCTTTTTCCAATTTCAGAGATAATAAAATTTGCACATTATTTCCTAATCTCTATGAATAACAGCAATAAAGTTGATTAACTATCCTTATTTTATAGTTCATAGGTATACAAACCATCCTATAACTTTAAATGCAGCCCAAAAAGAGAACTAAAGTTCATAGAAAAAGAACATGTACGTACGGTTGTTGTATTTCCCTGCAATTTCAAAATCTAAGCTCTTGTAGACTTAGTAGCTTATCGCTCTGGTTTCAACGTTCTCGACAAACCCGAGTGGGGTTGCTTGTTCCGCAGGCTAAAGCTTTCGGGGATTCATTATGTGAGGCTTTTTTTTTTGTATACTAATGGGGCCACCATTCCAGAAGCTTCAAAATCCGACGGTACTTTCTAAAGAGAAATTTTTCTTGCTTCAGATGTCGACGAATGCTCTTCAGGTCACCAGTGTGACAGCAGTGCGACATGTTACAATACAGATGGCTCCTACACGTGCACATGTAACAGCGGCTTCACGGGGGATGGACGAACCTGTCAAGGTACGAGCCTTTGAATAAATACTGAATACTGTAAACGACAGTTCTCTAAAGCTTTTCGATAAATTAGGTTGGCTGCTAATAGGTGACATCATACGTATAAGGAAACTTCTCATACACAAAGTGGGTCAAGATCTTCGTCCTAATTATTTCACGTCCTTTTTGAAACATGTCCGTTCTTCACATGCTCATAGTACTAGATCCGCCGCCAATAAACACGTTCTGCCACCTCTCTGTTAAAGAAACTCAGGACTTAGCGTAGGAAGTTCGCAACTGTTTGTCGTTTATAGAATAAGTTAGGTCACTCATGTATAGAGACGTAGTTTCCGACGCAATGTTCAGAAAAACACTACAGGATAAGTTTACCAGTTAAGACAACGCCTCATTAGCACATTTTAAGGTTTTCAGATCCTTTCAGACATTTAAGGAAGTTGTAGAGTTTTTCATTTTTATGTCAAATTTTTTCATAACTAGTACCTGTTGTGTGGAGGTCCATTATAAAAGTACCCGGTAAACGGTTATGTTTCCACCCTCGTTTTTCTTGTTGTTCCTTCCTCTTCTTCTACTGATGTCGTTTAAGAAGAAACAAAAAGCAAACTGCGGTGATAAACATGAGGAAATATAAAAGGGAGAAAAAAGACTTTAACTTGACTTTTCGTGTGTTCCAAACATATATTTCATACATTTTCAGCCGCGGCCCGTCCCCCTTCTTATTTTTAGGCTGAACTGAAGCCCCTAGCGTTAAGTAAAATCAATTTCTCAGCCGAGCTCTCTTCTTACTTGCAGATCTGAATTTGCCACTGTTTACATGCACAGAATTGAAATGCATCTCTTCTCAGTGGTCTACTACTGTTCTTGTTAGGTCTTGAAAAGTCAGTCACTCCTATGACTAAGACATTCTTTGACAAAAAAGAAGATCCAGCTTGAAATAAATAAAAATCTTCTTATCTTCCAGATGTTGATGAATGCTCGCTCAACACCCATGACTGTCACTCCCATGCAATCTGCACTAACACAGAAGGGTCATTTACTTGCAAGTGCGACGTGAATGCACATTACATTGGTGACGGGAAAACATGCACTCCTCATCGTAAGCCGAATTATATGTTTTACTTCATTTTGTTCTCTTCGTTTTACCACTCTGCCAATTGTTAACTTCTACTCTGTGGGAAAAGGTATCCACCAATATTTATGTCGCCAAAGAGCGACCCCTCACCTGCCTGTCGATTATCTTGATTATGCTTTGTCCCAGAATATACTCTTAATGAAATTTCAAATGCACCGCAAGCGAGATTTTCGTGCTTATTTTTTTGGTTGCTTCTGACTTTCGTGGGTACTTTAATTTTGAGTGTATTTTACGCTAACCTCGCCTATATTTTTAATAAGTCAATAGTTTTTGGTTTGTTTTGTTTTGTTTTTTTCAGGTATAGCAAATACTTGAGTCGGTGTCAGTTTTCGAAATACAGCATCTTTATCAGGATGAATTTCTGATTTACCTTCTTTTTACCAGGTGATCTCGATGACTCCGTTATTTTAGCGAATGATGCCAGCAAGATATCGCAGTTAAATACCTGGCTTCTTCCGCACTTGCAAAATCCAGAAAGAAGTTATTGGAAACTGTGTTATAGGGCCTCTAATCATGGCTGGAGATCACGGACCTTTCACAGCTATTGCGATAACAAAGGACCCACTGTAACAATTGTTAGGGTCGGGATCTATATTTTTGGAGGCTACAACGACAATTCATGGCAGTGTAAGTCTTTGAAATAGCTAAGATAAGAAGAAGGTATCGATTATTTGAACTGAATTAAAACCGGGCGTTATTAACCCCAAATGCGAAAGGAAGGAGAGACTGGGCCTTTACAATTTTCGCAAATAGTTCAAAACAAGTCTAGTCTTGACTAGATTGTCATTAATCACTAGCAATACTGCCAATTGGAGAGGATTGTATAGTAAGAGTTTAATCAAATACTCGCAACCTGACAATCTAATCCAAAGTCACAACATTGCTGAAGCATGAACTGCATTCTAAAAATTTGCCATTGTTATTATTGAGAAAAAAAAATGACAACCAGTAGCTTTGATTGGCACAATCTGGCACATTTTCCATGCATTATCGGTGATGACAACTGTTATAGCCACTGGTTCCTCCTTGTACAACGGCTTGGCCGTGCGTTTTCTTGTACGATCGGGGATTAGACGTATCCAGATCTAGAAAAATAAATGTTTGTCCGGCTTAAAACGCGTCAAACATGCCACCAAAAAACTGTGCTGAGTCCTCGGGCTGCTTTATTTATAATTTATTTATTTATTGTTATTATTATTATTATTATTATTATTATTATTATTATTATTATTATTATTATTATTACTATTTTTAACAAGCGCGTTTGAGGCTGCGGGGGTATGGGGCTTAGTGGAGAAGGTCTGGCTTAGTGCTGCTGTACTGCAGCTGGTTCTACCAGGTCTTTTTCTTGAAAACTGATAAGGGTGGGCCGCCGTTTCTTTTAAATGTTCTAAGGGAAAAGCCCTGGGGACGAAATTTGTGGTAACTTGTGATGCTCCAATTCATGAGGATTTGAGCGTGATTTATGTGGTCTTTCACGCATCGTATACTACGTCCCTGCTCTCGGTATTTACTAACCCGCCACCGTTTCCTAAAAATACACCATTTAACAGCTGTGGGCTTAGTATCCTAGACTTCGAGTGAGTGCAAGACTGAGGTTGACCATGATAGATAGATAGTTAGATAGTTTGTTACCAATACTTTGCTGCCCAAAGGCTGAATTGCGTATTTACAAAAGATGCAATTGATAAAATGTGTATATAAAACTAATTACCGTAAATAAAAAAGTGTGAAAAATGTGATAAAAAGTCTAAAAATCTACGTACAGGATCAAATAATAAAAGTATTCCTAAAACGACCTGTCTTGCATTTAGGCACAATGAAGCGCCTATTGCACCTTAGAGCATAACAATGATTTCATACAAACCTCCTTTGTTTTCTTATGGAAATTATACTTAAAAAGTACTTGTTGGAATGAAAAAAACCACGATTTACATATTAAGAAAGCAGAAATTGTTGTATCAAAGCAAGGTCCACTCCAGCCTCGTTTCCATCCATAATTGTAAAATGGTCTATTGAACTCGACTGGGTTACATTGTTCGTGTTCTGTTTTTTGTCTCTTCAGGGTCTGCTGGTTATCAATATTCGACAAATACCTTCTTGTACTCACTGGAAAACTACAAAGGGTATGGATACTTCAAACAGGACATAACCAACGGCTACTATGGCGAGGCCACTTACAGCTCTTATAATTATGGTCCAACCTTTGGTGGGGGCCATGATATGTATATTGCGGACAATGCGGGAGGAAATACCCATTCTGACTTTAATTGTCACTCGTACCGCAGCGGTCCCTATTGTGACAATTACCTCTGGGTTGGAACACGATACGGGAATAATTTCCGCCCAGATGAGTTAGAGGTTTATTATGAAGTGCTTGCTTAAAAACGGGGCGGCAACATAAAACAAAGAGAGCATAAAAAACAAACAAACAAACAGCGACAACAACAATCACAACAAAAACATCAACAGACCAACAAAAATAAGTCACAGCAAAAAATAAATAAATAAATAAATAAATAATCAACTCTCCGCCTTTTACTATACCTTTGCTGAGAAAGAAAGCTACCATCTCTTTCATGATATTTTCAAAGTAACTCCACTTATGACAAAAACGGTGATTAGCGGCTAACGTGTACAAATTATTGTATTTGGAGCTTTCGCAGTATCAATTGCGGAAGTTTCAACAACAAAATGAGGTGTTAAAGGACCAACAGCGGTGAACCATAGGACGACTGGTTTTGTCGTTATGATGGACCAGAAGGAATTTTTTGTTGGTAGCCTAGTTCCATGTTAGGAATTTGCTATAAGGGAGTGTTTTCGGTAGTTAGAACTTATCCCTGTAGGAATTCTTAGGAATCTCGAAGGCCACCTTGTATAGCAGTAGCGAGTAGAGCCCTTTATTGTTCTGGCGTTCCTATATTTTATGACTCTCCTTAGGGACCAATTTCACTGCAGCGGGGCCGTTTAACAAATAACGGCAGCTTAACTGGAGTTTTTGGTAAGTAGTTCGACAGAAAATTCAAATGTGACAAATTCATGTGGGTATTGCGTTGTTTTCTATTATATGCCGTTTGCAGCCACCCTCGTCCTCTTCACATGAATAATAGCGTGTCTGCTTTAGGAAAGATATTTGCCCCGGCCCCATCTTCAACTTCCTTTACCAACTGTTTCTGCGGATTCAAACTGTTAAGATATTCGTTAAATTCATGGAAACAATATTGGTCGTTCTCAGGTCCCAACGCGTCTGAAGTGATTTTGTTTTGAACTGATCAAACGGAGAAACCTTATTCGCGATAGTGGAAATCTCTTCGAAAACGATTAAACATGGATAGATAGGCACAGCTAAGCTGGTAGATAGCTGTAAAGAGTTTGCATTCCCTGTAAAATATCCTTGTTTTCTCTTACTGAGCACAGATCAGTATTTTTCTCAGTATGACGCTCTCTACTATTTGTCTCTTTAATAATATAGATCCTCTTGTTTGCAAGCTTGGCCACTTTATCGTTCTATGAGATTGAAGCTACTCAGTTATACTATTTTATGCTATTATGGTTTTTTTGTTTTTACCTTTTTAAAGCAGCCAATGTTGTTATGGGCAATGTCATTTATTCTTAATTAATTTAAATGCCAAGAAATAGAACTGAATTGTCTTAGCAGAGTAAAGAGCCTCTTTGAGTGATAGATGAGTATGGTCTTCAATTCCCGCTAAAAATCAACTTGAGTAGCTAACATTAAGTTATAACCACCAACTTTCAACTTCACGTTTCAACATTCAAAGTTGATAATTCAACTAACTACCAACATTTAACATGATCACTCGTTCTTGAAAATTAAGCGCGCAGCATTCTACTTCTATACCCAACATGCATGTAAGTTGACGGCAACCAACATTCAACTTGAGAAACCAAAAACCAACAACTTTGCAATTCAGTTCAGTATTCAGTACTCGGCGTTATATATAAGTCAAAGGCTGACGTAACAGGCCAACCACAGGGGTTTGTTGTTTCCAGTCTCCGGTCTCCCTATTCCCTCCTTTTGCACAACCTAGATAGCGGCGTCTGTTGCCAGCCACTGTGGAAAAGATATTTAGAGGAACATTTTCATTAAGTTCTCCTAAATCAATATGGGCAACAAGGAGCTCAACAACGTTAAAGACTGTTTATAGTGTCATAAAAAAAGCTAATTCAAAAGTTATAATCAAGGGAGGAACTACGAGCTCCAGACCAACAGGCAGAACAGGTCCAAAGCCTCACATTATCCTTAGAGAACAAGCTGAAGTTTTAAAATCATTGCTTTAAGAGCAATCAAGAGTGAGACACATCGCAATTCTCCATAGTTGATGTAGTTTTAGTTTCAGCTGCAATCCATTCTTCGAGATCTGATCACTCTTCGTGACAATTTTTCATCCTGCTAAAGACGCTAACGATCGAGCTGGGACCAGCATGACAAAACATTGCAGGAAACCGTCACATTTAGGGACAAAAATAAAATCGCTTATAATTATTCAGATCCAGCTGAGGCACTTTGGAGAAACTTAAATAACCTAAAACTATCATTTCGCCGCATAAAGAGCTTTACATTTCAAAGGGAGGTCAAAGAGAACGCTCTTGCATCAGAGGGCAAATAATGCCGACCAGAAACAATAATAAACCGCAGAAAACCAACATGCGTGCAAAGACCTCTCAGTATGAAATACAAGTGGCAAAAATCACATTTGCTCAGTCAAAACCTTTACATTTCTTTTCTAATATATCAAATTCTTTATTATCGATTGTCAATATTAAGCTTATTTCTGAGGGACGACAATTGCTATTCTTTACATAATGTTTCGAAACGGAGTGACGAAGCCCTGCCCAAATTAGGTAGTTAATCTTGCTAATTTTATTCGAAATAATAGTAAAAGAATTTGTAGTGTCTAATTCCAACAAAAGATCATTTGCGAAAATGAAATCTTGTTTAAAAAGTTTATATATATATATATATATAAATGTTGCATAAAAAAACGGTCCTTGTAAAAAAGCGTCATTTTTATGTAAAAAAGCTGCTTTTTTACAAATTGAGCGGTTATAAAAATACTGCTTTTTTACAAAAATATATTTTTGTAAAAAAGCTGCTTTTTTACAAGTTACCTGGTTGTAAAAATACTGCTTTTTTACAAAAATATATTTTTGTAAAAAAGCAGCTTTTTTTATGTAAAAAAGCTGCTTTTTTACAAATTAGGCGGTTGTAAAAATACTGCTTTTTTATTTAAAAAAGCTGCTTTTTTACAAATATATTTTTGTAAAGAAGCAGCTTTTTTACGTAAAAAAGCTGCTTTTTTACAAGTTACTTGGTTGTAAAAATACTGCTTTTTTACAAAAATATATTTTGTAAAAAAGCTGGTTTTTTACAAAATATGTTTTTGTAAAAAAGCTGTTTTTTTACAAAAATATATGTTGTAAAAAAGCTGTTTTTTTACAAAAATATATTTTTTGTTAGAAAGTTGATTTTTTATGTAAAAAAGATGTTTTTTTACACAAAACATTTTTGTAACAAAGCTGCTTTTTATGTAAAAATGCCGATTTCTGTAAATTATGTCTTATTTGTAATATTGTGCTTATTTACACACACATAAATAGGCAGCTTCTTGGTTTTTACTGAACCACATAGATGTGCTTCTCAATGATTCTTAAATCAAGTTCGCGCTCCTATTTTACAACAGCCTGTAGGTTGGTTGTAGAAGTTCTTTCGTTTACTATTATTATTGTGCGAGCCGAAAACTGTACTGTTATGCATCCTTTTTTCCCAAGGTTATCAGGTGCAATAATCGGTTGAGCTGTCAACAAAACACTTGGCTATATTATAAATGAAGTCACTCGTGATTACATACATTGATAAGGGGCAGGATGTAAGATATCGAGGTACCGATCCCACGCGTGCACGCGTGGTCCAAATTGTTAAGAAATTCTGTTACTCATTCATTTTAGCATTGAAAGTCCAAGGAACAAAATAATTGAAATCGATTAGTGTCATCTCACCCCTTGGGGGTAGGGCCTGATTTAACCCATATAGGTATGTGCCGCCCCAAAGGGTAGGTAATTTTGCGCCGTGTTGGCCTGTAAACGGGTCCCATTAACTAAGGCTGTGTATCAATGTGTTCGTCTTTTCAATTCCAAAAAAGAAGAAAGTGTAATATGTGGATTCGAAATGACTTTTAAGAAATCTGTTTGTTGCGGTTTTGGTCTTATCAATGATAACATAATTTCTGTTTGCAAACACGTAATGTTGTGTTTTGTTACCACCTCCAGAACTGAAAAAGGATGTGGGAAATGACATTTTTTTGGGTCCGAAATACTGCCAGGATTTGGAGAACCGCGCGGCGGCACACCCCTACCAAGAATTCCCTTTATTCCTTTCATGCCTTTTATTCCCCAGAATTGTAACAATTCTATTTATAACAATGCTTCTGCTCATCCATTTTTTATTTCTTTTTTAAAATTCATTTTTTAAATCTCAGAAAGTATAACATTGCAACCTTCTTTTCGAGAACACCAATGAAATGAAACAACAACAGACATTTGATAATGCGGAGAAAAAAATTGTGCTGACTGCCGGACATACAACAAAAGACTTAAAGGGGTGCCCGGGTCTAATTTGAAAAACCCAACTATGAGAAATTCATGCCAATGGCCTTTTGGATGTCTTCTTTTGATATGTTCGAGAGCTCTGATTCATCATCCTTCACCTCTCCAAAGGAGTCAGAGCATAGCCTTTCGTCGAGGCTTTCCTTCGCTAGCTCAAATAAACGATCACAAAACCCCGCATTCCACGCCTTTCTAAAATCCTCTGTGGTGTGCAGAGCGATCACTTTACCCAATTCCTGTACTGTTATGTCGGTATTGAAACCACGCGTTTGAAGCTTCCGCATGAAAATCTCAGCAAGTTCTTCGCACGTGAAGTCATCAAATATGAAGATTGCTCTTATTCTACGCTTAAAACCGGGGTTCAATTTCATGAACTCTTCCATCTGAGCTGGGTATCCAGCAAATATCATCACTGGATGGCCTCGGAGCATGGCTTCCATCAAGGTATCCAGTGCTTCTTTTCCGTAATCCTTCTCGGAGTCCACCTTCAGACGATACGCCTCATCTACGAAAAGTACGCCGCCCTCTGCCCGCTCGATACACGCTTTCGTCTGAGAGGCAGTCTGCCCGAGAAACGAAGCAACAAGATCGGGTCGTTGAACTTCGACCAACTTTGATGATTTGGTAATTCCCAGGTCTTTCAAGATACCTAGAAAAATATAAATACATTTTAACCTTCATTAAGCAGCTACCCTCCGGGTACCTGTAAGTGATCACTTAGTAGAGGTTAGCCGGTCGATAGAGGTTCATCAGCAGAAACTTCGCTTTATTTTGAAACAAGTGCGCGAGGGAAGGTGTGTTACGGGTCCACAATTGGCCGTCACCTTCTATAACGACGATACTCTCCTTAATCATACAGTAATAGCCCGCGTATAAGAACCTGGGTTTTAAGAACCTGTTAGGCTAAAATTTTCATTTTAAGCCCCCTCCACATAAGAACCTATTTAGGCTAAAATTTTAAGTTAGGTTCTTATCAGTGGGGTTGCTGTAAAAGTGTATTGGTAGAAACTGCTGAATTAAGATCATCATCTAGGACATATGCTGTACCTGCACTGAACTGCCTATAGGCATTGCTCTATGGTACAAATAAATGATTTATACTGTATTATCAGATGATATTTATAATATATATAGTATATTCAGATGAAATTCGTATGAAAATATAAGAACCTATTTTAAGAACCTGGGTAGCCTAAATTTGCTTTAAGTACCATTTATATAAGAACCTATTTAGGCTAAATTGAACAATTCAAGTTCTTATACGCGGGCTATTACTGTATTCGTAACTAGACGTACGACTGGTTAATTGAGGTGACAACAATGGAAGAACCCGTTGTCGGTTGCCGCTGTATACTTCAGAAAAGTCTGCCGGAAAGCCTTTCCACTTTCTTTTGGAGCGAAGTTTCGTTTCATCTGTAAACGCATATTTATCGATTTAGTATAAGTACAATATATATATAAGTTCTCACCGTCCGTTAAAATCATGATAGTCCGATGTCCCTATGGGTTGATATTTACCTTTTTCTTACGGCTCGTTGTTGACTGCTTCCTGTTACTTGAATCTGACCTACAGTCAGTAAACAAACCGAATCAGAAAGGCATGATGACTAAATATCCCTTCGGCGAGGTATGCAATAATTTGCTCTTGTAAACTTTTGCTCTGACACTGTATATTTTCTTTTTTTAAAAAAAAGGAGTTAATTAATCTTAGTCGTAGTTTGCAACACAAGCGTAAAACGCTGTAATTTTATAGGACGCCCGCTACGAAATACAGATAGCGAGGTGAAAAAATAAAGTCAAGACGTTAACATTGCTACCGTTGGGTGGGTAATAGATAATGAACAGAATTAGCACCTGCTGCATGTGCTGTTATATGCTACGTACCCACTATGATCACTTATGGTGTCGTCGTATGCATTCGAGTAGTCGGTGGATAGGTGCGGGCCCAATTTTACCTGTGGGTTTAAGTGAAACATATACCTGTTAGTGGTCATTTCATGATTACTATGATTCAAACATCATTCGCTCAACATTGCAATGAATAACATAATATATTTTTTTTGCGTATCGAAACGTTCGAATTAGATTATAGCTATCCCCAATGCCTGGAAGTGTACTTGCTCCAGGGTGTGTATGACACTTTTTCCATATACCTGTCCAAAAAGCTCAGCTAAAATATTTTGTTGAAATAGATACCTCAGAATCGTCGGGTGAGCAGCAATTCGGCGTAGGATCGTTTGCAGAGGATAGGGGAGTAGAATGTCTGAAGAACAGAAAATATCAATTGGCACTTTTACTTGCCCTAAAGCAGAGAGAATTTTCAACTTTCTATTGAAGGGATAACATGAGGTTTACTTACCTGGCGAAAGAATTTTCGTGTTCACTTTCTTCGCTCTCTCCAGTGTCACTTGCAATTCTTCGACGCTTACTTCTAAAAAACAGGAAAATGAGAAAAATAACTGAAATCCAGCAATGATTGTAATGAACCCAGAATCCTCATTGAGTTTAACCAATAAATGGCTAATTACACAGTACCTTCCTTTGGTAACGGTAGCTTCAGTTCTCTTGTCTGCTTTTCTTTTTCTGAGCTTCAGTTTCGTTTGAGAGCTATCTGACTTTTTGCCTCGTTCTGGCCTGTAAGGGAAAAATTAAGTCCGTTAGTCCATAGATCACTTAACAGTTACTGCTCGACATGCACTCCGATAAAAATGCCAAAAAGCCGTTTATTAGTTTATCCAACTAACAGCATCGGTTGCGTTCTATTGTGATCTACAGAACTGACTTTAATAAATATATCTATATATATGTACATATATATCTGTGGGGATATAATGCCTACCTTGACTCCACCGTTTGACCAGGAAGTTTAAGCACACGTCCTATCTCGTTTTCAGGGCTGTAGAAGAGGACGTCTTTGACGATCAGTTAAGGAATCGTTTACCGCATTTCCAGAACGGTTTGAGCTAGTAAACTTTCTTTTTTTCCTCGATATATATCGCAGAGTTATTTTTTATTACCGCACTACGTCAAGGAAAAGGATACAAGACTTACAATTCAGCAACTCTTTAACAGCACTTTCGTATTGTAGAACAACTGGCTTTCGGTCCCCGTCAAACTGTAACCTATTCAAATTTCAAATTTGTTATTGGTAGTCGGGAATGGGAAAATAATGATATTGAAAGAAACGACAGGTAGATGTACGATGAATTAAACGTATGTGTGACACTAACCATTCGCGGGAAGTCGCTGTAATCCTCACAATACTGGTGTAATGCCCCAATTCATGGCTTATTGCTCCTCACAATATCACGTTATTGGCACTGGACCCGTAAAGGGGCATTAATTCACCAGGATTAGAAAGGGAAAACTCCGATAACGTCAATGGAATGCCAACTTTAGCCTACAAGAAAATTAAAAATAAAGCGCACCTTAATGGTTGGTTTTTACAAATCTTTTAAGTCAGGTTTGGTAACCCAAACATCATGTGCTGACGCATGTCAAAATTTAACTACAACTTCACGTTTTCTTACGTTAACTGTACGGTTCAGGCAAATAGCAAATACGTTTGCAAGTCTTCTATACTTGATCACTCTTCGTGGTGCCGTTGATAGCTCTATATCCTATGCCGCAGAAAAGAACAACAGAAATTAAAACGTGAATTAATAGGCTATGTCGCAAAAAGGTCAGGTATAAACACATGAAAAACTACTCAGATCATCGAGTTTCATTGGCTACATTTCAAATAGGATGAATATCGGAATATCTTTTGCTTACCTTGGTGACTCCTGTCTGCACGACCTCCAATAAACGAGTAAGTGAGTCTCCTTCTTCCCAATCGGCCGGCACGATTAGATAGTTACACGGAGACACTGGACACTGAGTTAAGAAAATCATTTAATGCTGGTATTTGAACAATAATTTCTCTTTTTTGTTTCCATGTATCTTGGACGGGAATGAACAAATTTACAGTGCCCGGATGCTTTAAGTTAATTCTCCCAAAAAAGAACACGCAATAATATCCGCATGCTGCGTTGTTTTGCCTACTCAAGAGACATTTATAATAAAAACCGGATACTGAATTTTTCATTCCAAAACCGAAACAACAGTACGTTACCAACTTTGAAGCCATCCAAAAGCCGCCTTTAGATGACCAAGCGTAGCGACAGGATTTTGTAAACAGTTTTATTTCTTGATTAATATTTGTCAGTTGAGAAAAAGGATACTGTAGATAAAGACGTTCCCATTTTCATTATCTGCATCTGAGTCATGCACACGACTATAAAACGTTTCTTTGAAAGACTTGCACATCCCCTCAAACAGCCCATCCTGGTCCTTTAATTAAAAGTGGTAATGCATCACTGTTCAGCCATTGTCAACGTTTGTCAAGTCGCCCCACCCTTCCAATGCCCCATTTTGATAGTGAACTTAACCGGAGGCGTATTTTCAGCCACGGGCTGCAACTGAAAGTGGCTCTGCCCATGTTTCCAAACGATCTCCCCTACAGGATTAATAACAGTTAGCAATACTACTTTGCTACGTCGAAAAATGTTTGAGGTCCGGCAAAGGCCTCACTTCCTGACGGAGTGCGTTGCTAAACAAATCACCTTTCCTTAAGCTCCCCTTTTTTGGGGATACAGCTTCAAGAATTACTTTGATTCTGTAAAAAGGGCCAAGGAGCCGAAGAAATGGGTTGGGAAGGGAAAGCCTTAATTTCCAACACTTTGATCTATGATTCTATTTACAGTCAATTAGTAGAAAACGTAACTACAGTTCGTTTACATTAACGGTCACCTCCATTTCTACTTCCAACTTTTCCAGAAGCACTTGATAAAACTCCATTGTGTCGTTCCAAAACCCAACACCGCGATCTTTTTTATCCCAGTCAATGGCTGTCAGAAGCTCTGCTACGCTACATTCATATTCTTGCCGCTGCAAAAGAGAACAAGTTGAGAACCCTACCTAAACGATAAACGACTGTAAAAAGCAAAGATAAAGTTAACCCATACGATGAAATACTTACCTGGAATTCCTTTGTGTGCACTTTCGAAGCAATGTCGTAGATCTTAACAGTGGCTGTCATTGTTGGACATCCCTCGGGTATAACTTTGGATGCCTGTCTGAGATCAGGTATAAAGCGAACATGTTGGAGAACTGATAAAAGGCAATTCATATAACAGTTGCTACCGACATCGGGGAAGCCTGCAAGGATTAAGCAAGAAGAACATGGTTAGCATGATTTTACTGAGAGCGTGAAAGACACAAATTCTAACCACGTCCTCGAGAAACCATTTAGGTCCCAAAAGTGACCAACATCCATTTTCTCCTAACAACATCAGCTGATTATGAAGAGTAGAGGATGTGACAATTACTAAGTTGGTTACTAAAGGGAGAACGGTTTGATGTGAAACCAAATTCCCTCCACCATTCTCATGAGAAGTATATGGAGAACAGTCTGGAGAATGTAGAAGTGGATCTCCGGGCTTAAAGGGGTAAGTACAAGACAATGCATACCAACAAAACATCTGAGGGAGGGGTAGACGGTTATTTTCTCTCACGCGCATCCGACACAAGGTAGCTTACGGCGGGCTGACTTGTTTATGTAACAGCGGCAGAGGAAGGGACCATTTCCCGAAAACAATTCTTTTTGTGTGTCTTTTTTTTTTAAAAAAAAAATCTCACCTTTCCATTTTCCTTGCATAAGCACTTCTTTCACAGTCGAATCCTGGCCAGGAAGGCGGGCATGAATATTACTGGAATTTGCAGAGGACTCCTTTTGTTGCTGTTGAGTAAAATGTACTGTTAGTTTCGATCTGGAGAAAAAACTATCACAAAGACATTTTTCCTATTGCAAGGCTCTGTACATTACTATTTTCCCCACACTGTTCTAAATATTCTTATTCATTTGAAAAATCATGAAGTTCTAGCAAAAAAAAGTTACAACAATAAATTCAAATGCGTTAATGACATTACGTAATAATTTTCTGTGAAAATATTCGTTTGTACGATGTGATCCCATATTTTAAAGGCTTTCAAACACCGGAAAAACATGCCTTCTTTAGCAGCACATGCGCCTTCTTACCCCGCCCCCTCTAAAACAGACCGCATTTTGTTACCTCGATTGTAAGAGTGGTTAACCTGTATCGCTCACAAGACTCACCAATTCTTTATTAAAGAAGCAAACGTGATTGTAACATTTGCAGTCCACAGTGCAGGGCTGGTTAGCTTGGCGGCATCGGCACTTAAAGCTGTTACAAGGCTTGCTTTTGTGACAACCGCAAGGCCCGCCAACTGTCCTACCCGCTGCTTTCTTCCCCGTCGCTGACTGCAGTTGTACAGCACCTCTCATAGTTAACTGTGGTTTTTTGACATCAGGCTAAATTAGAAAAAATAAATGAAACAAAAATCCAGAAAGCGACCACATTTATATCATAAAATTTTCGCTGCCCCGGGCGAGCGTGGTTCCTCCTTCTTCAAATAAAAATTTTTACTGGAAGTGAATTGAAAAATTACATTTATACTATCAGGCCAGATTAATTGTCCATATCTGATAACAACTCTCTGTATCATAACCTACCTTAAGCGGAGAGACATTGTCTTTACGAGTTTTTTCCGTACAACCACGTTGGTGGTCATCTTCTGCTTGACAGTCTTGGTAATCTATGAACGTGAAATAAATCAAGCTGCTTCTTCTATTCACAGGGCTTGATAGGTTTTCTCGAAATAGAAACTGATACACTATATACTTACCATCGCAGTCTTTGTGGCACTCCGAGAGAGTTGACGAATTGGAAGAATCAATCTTCTGATAAGGCTGATATTCTGTGCATACAAGATGGGTGAGAGCAACATTACAGGATTCATCAAGCTTGCTCGATTTCGCTTGTATAGTTTTTTTCTTGTTACGTCTAGGTAGATGGAGGGACTACAATTTGTTATTTAATTAGCTTGTAAAATTTTCTTATTATTTCAACGAACATGCTGAACGGTTAATTGGCTTCAATAAAGAGATACTTTTTTTTGCGACACAAAAATATTGGGACAATGGAAGGATGAACTTCTACAACTTTATAAATGGCTATATACCTTTCTCAAAGTTGATTTGGTCATAATTTACTTCGCCTCCACTGCAATGGTGCTTAACTGTACCGCACATAATGGCATGATAGCATTCGTAGCATAGTAAATTGGTACAAATTTTACACCTCTATGTAATCCACATCATGACCGTTCGTCTGCATCCACTACAAATGCCATGCTGATTTTGAGGTTTCCAGACTACAATAAAATGAATCAGAAATTCGGTCTTTAAAACAGTTGCGTTAACAATGAGCTCCTGCACGCGCACTGGGTACACAGCATTGAGGAAAGAAGAATGCAAACATGATGATCATCAAAACAAGGTCTTACTAAATTAACTTTACGACCACTAATTCCACCAAAATAAAGAAATCAGCCACATTCCCAGTGGTCAAAGTAGGTCGTTAAAGAAATATTATATTGTGAATGCATCATGTTAAAGTACATGTAGGTCATCAAACACTCACATTTACTCAACTGCGAGAGTCTACTGTCTGTGTGTCTTTTCATGATCTCTGCGAAAGCAATCCTAGGGGCCAGTTTGTCAGAAAGATCCTCCGTGATACCTTTGATTCCGGGCAAAGACGTTTGACCAATAACAGAGAGAAACGTCTTTAAAGAAGGATCAATGGACCTACAGGTTGAAATGTCCAGCTGCCTACCATCGACCTTAGCTGCTTGAACCAGTAGAAGAAGAACACCTAGTATGCATTCCGCCCGCTCGCCGTCATCTGTTTTCGAAAGGCAGTGGTTCATAGCTTCGTTCGTCCACTTGGACAAGTCGGAAGTCGCTTCTGTAGGCGAAACATCACGGGAGGGAAAGAGGCTCTGATCTACAGTGTAGTTGCTTTCAGCAGCTGTAAAAAAAAGGAAAAGGAAGTGACATGAAAATACGCAATGAGCACCTGCCACCTATTACATTTAGTGAACTAAAAGGTGAATTAACCTCAATGAGTCGCAAATAAAGGAAGAGAGAACATTTTTAACAATACAGAATGGAAGGGAGATTTGAAAGGAATTTGAAATCATCCTAAGTATACTGATTCCTCTAAACGTCGACAATGTTTATAAAGTAATCTACAGTAAAACATTACCGCTGAGATAAAACATCAAATTGTAGTCTTCCACACAACGCGCGTAGATTTCCGCGGCTAAAATACGACGCCTAACAAACTCCTGTCTCCAATGGGTAATCTTAGAAGTCTCAGGTCCAAAGAGGCATCTCAGAGCTTCGGATTTGTCTTGCTCTTGAATTTTGGAATCTTCAACTGTGAAAAGGAAAATAGTGGGGGTTCAAAGTTAAGTGTGAAATTAACACTCGGACGTACAAGGGTGGGGGAGGTGGTTCCCCCCACCCCCTGATTTTGTTTTATCTTTTTCGTTGGCGATAAAGCATGACCACGTTAAGTTTTAAGTAGCTGTTCGATAATTCCTAGCGAGCAATTTGAGAGACGTTTAACTATGGGCAGTTACTGTGGTTATGAGGTATTGCACCACACGTAGCAGGTCAAGCCATTTGTTAGTGAAAGTGCATGATCTTTCTTGTTTTTTAAACTATACAAGTAAACCTTGTAGATGAAATGAGACAAAGTGCTTTTTTATGTTATTTTACATGTCAAGCACTAAAAGGATACCATGTATCGCGATTTTAACCAGAATTCTAATAGTCTTGGTAAAATGCAATATTTCGGCGAAGATGGCGACCATTGTTGGTGACGTCAATAACATTGGTCTTCTCGACCATCTTGTGCTTTCCACTAAAGGCCGCCAAACACGGTGGGTGTATGAATTTTCTCATACGTCCGTGGGTTAAACTAGCAATCAACCTAGCCAAAAAAGCCAAAGGTATAGCCAGAAAAGAGATGGCTTATCATAACAAGAAACCAGAAAGCTCACCCTTAACAAACTCTGTCACAGAATAACGTACAGTTAAGTCGGGTCCTACAGCATCCTCTATAACAGGCGCTAGTAGAAGCTGGTCACTATCAATGCCCATTACTTGCACAAGGAGGTTTCTCTGACCGGATTTTGGTCTGTCCTCTTTGGGTATTGCAACAAGGCCAATGTCACCGACGTTTATTTTCTGTGTTATATCCTATGAATTTCCAGAAGTAGTCAACAGAATTACGAATATTTTCAAATATATATAGTCAAAGAATTTATGTTTCTAAATAATTTTGATCAGAGGTCTTACAGAAAAAGTAAGTGGAATGCAATTTCATTGGTAAATAATATTAGGTCAGAAGTATTTGTATTCTGGAACCATAATCACTTCGAAATCACAATTTGATTCTGCACGTTGGACAAGAAAAGAAAAATAATGAGAGCCTTGAGTTATCCACACTGCTCAGAGCTAATCAGACTGCCAGACTCTTCTTTGACTTAACACTGGATATGGTAGAAGCTGTTAGGAGGAATGTCTATAGTAGAGTTAGCTAAAATTGGTCTTTTTAGCCAGCTTGTAACCTTCCTGTTTAAAGAACGGTTGTGGCAATTCTTGTTTCTTGACCGCGTTCTCTCGGTCATTATGGTAAATCGTACGTAATATTTGATAATCATTGAACCTATCCTTGAAGTGCTCGCGGAAACGTACCTCTCCCGAGGTGATAATTCTCTCCTCAGAAATCATGGATCCCTTCGTGGCTTGAATTCTAACAGTTTCTGCATTACCGAATAATAACTCTGCAGTTTCCCTGTGGAGAGAAATATTTTAAAACAAAAGTCAACGATATGTACAATTGTGACGTCTTATATGTGTCTTCAAGATATCATTTCAAAAGTCAAATTTATCAAACAACGTTGTAAGAGTAATTACAAACTAAAATATCCAATCATGAAATTAACGTACTGCGTGAATTCGGGGCCGTCTGCGTCTGTTTCCTCGGGCATCAGGGTTGAATTGTCACCAGCAATGACATTACGGATGTCCATGTCTATCTTCTGCTGCAATCTTCGTTGCCTATTTCCTGCAGTCCATACATCGACAGGCGCAAGAGTCTGACCAAAAGACGACAACGCCTCGTGTCTACGGCTGTTTTGTTTTTTAGAACAAAGTGGAAATGTTTAGTTCAGTTCAGTTTATTTACACTTGGATATAATATTTACGCTGTATATGGTAAAGTAGGAATGCAAAAAAATAATAATAACAACAAAATAAGAGAGAAAAAAGCTTGAAATTAATGGCTTTGCTATAACTGTACGGTAGTGGGAGGGGAGTTAATCATGTAGGGGTGGATGTATGTAAAAAACTAGAAACAAAATATTAGAAAACTAACACTAAAGGTCAACACTGGTGCTTAAAATGCTTAACAGCTGAAAACAAGAAAATCTTGTACTTACGTATTATAGTCGAATAGACAAATCTTTAGGGCCAACTCTACTGAATAGTCTGGAAATTCGTCTAACTTAGCCATTAGCATCTGCTTCAGGGACTGAATTACCTTTTCGAACCGACCACCTGTCCAGGGACTTCGAGGCTTGGCCAGTTTGACTTGTACTTGAAATTTTTCCATTAGATTTCTGACGAAAAAACACACAAACACACTTTCCAGTGTCGTATCCATATGTTGCATAAAAAAACGGTCCTTGTAAAAAAGCGTCATTTTTATGTAAAAAAGCTGCTTTTTTACAAATTGAGCGGTTGTAAAAATACTGCTTTTTTACAAAAATATATTTTTGTAAAAAAGCAGCTTTTTTACGTAAAAAAGCTGCTTTTTTACAAGTTACCTGGTTGTAAAAATACTGCTTTTTTACAAAAATATATTTTTGTAAAAAAGCTGCTTTTTAACAAATTAGCCGCTTGTAAAAATACTGCTTTTTTATGTAAAAAAGCTGCTTTTTTACAAAATATATTTTTGTAAAAAAGCAGCTTTTTTACGTAAAAAAGCTGCTTTTTTACAAGTTACTTGGTCGTAAAAATACTGCTTTTTTACAAAAATATATTTTTGTAAAAAAGCAAAAAAGCTGCTTTTTTACAAAATATATTTTTGTAAAAAAGCTGCTTTTTTATGTAAAAAATCTGTTTTGTTACAAAAGGTATTTTTGTAAGAAAGCTGCCTTTTTTATGTAAAAATCCTGCTATTTTACACGTATAGACCATTTGACAAACTCATTTATCGAAGACAGGCTGTTTTCCATAGCATGGTTCGAAATTTATTGAACTGTAGTTTTCGTACCGCTAGTCACGTTCACGTTCCCGTGTCCCCTTTATTGGGCATTTAAATTCCCTTGTTAACTCGCTGACAGCGTTAAAAATTTACGTTCTTTTTATTCTTTTGATTATTTCCTCTTGTTTCCTTTGTCATTCAATTTTCCAGGACCTTCTAATTGTTGGATGCGAAGAAGGAACAGGCAGTAATTTCAATTGTTATGCTTATCGGCTGAGGTCACGCACGGCAGTAACTGCATGTTAGGCAATAATAGAATAGCTGGGTTATTCACTGTCTTATTTATAAGCAATGCCTGTCACAATCTCTTGCAGCAACCAAAGACTTCTGTTCTCTCCTTCATTGCTACTTTTGTTCAAGCCGAAAACTGTACAGAATATTGTTCTGTATTATTTATCTATTTTCCCAAGGTTATCAGCTGCAATAATCGGTTTAACTGTCAACAAAATACTTGGCTATAATGCTTTGGTGCTCTTAGCAGTGGATAAATAAATTATAACTCCATTTCTAGCATAAAATCTCCAGCAAGAATCAACGACAGCAATTGTTAGGCAATTTCCTGTATTATGTATGATGCGCTAATCTTCTATCACGGGATTCATGCTATGTTGAAATCCATGTTGATGCATGCAAGATTGTCATGTCTGCGTTACAACTTTAAGCTTTCAACATGATGTAGGAACATGTTCAGTCGGCTAATCAAGCAAAAGGAAACGCTAGCCTATAGCTACAAGCGTACATACACTCGCTTGTTAGTCTAATTTTTGCAATACACAGAGCAACTTTATAAGGCCATAAAAACAGCAGCCGATTTGTTTATAACAATTAGGGACTATAAAGGCGGTCTGTAACGTACGGCAATGCGTGTTTTATTTTAGAGATCGAGAAATAAGCCCGAAAACACTTGTAAAGGCTAAACAACTTTAATATGAACACAAGCTGAATTCGCCAGCAGCATTTAGTGTAGGACCGTTTTTTTAGAAAATATATTTTTGTAAAAAAGCTGTTTTTTTACAAATATATCAGTGTAAAAAAACAGCTTTCTTAGGGTACCGTTTTTTTACACAACATATGTTATATATATATATATATATATATAGAAAACAGGCTTATTATCAACGCTTATCAGACCACCATTGAAGTAACTCCGAATAGAATTTAGAGGAAATATGTATCTCTTTAATGTCGTAATTACAATGAAATAAAAAAAGGCCCCCAAAATGAATACTGAAATTGCAAAGATGGTTTTTGGTTTTTCAAGTTGAATGTTGGTTACTCAGCTTACATATGTTGTGTGTACAATTAGAATGCTGCGCGCTCAATTTTCAAGAACGAGTGATCCTGTTACACTGTAATAGTGCAGCTCATAAACACAACGTATTTCCTATGCATTTTTTAAAGAAATGAACTTGAGCCTGTTTGAAAACTGGTAACTTGTCAGCGGATAACTTCAAAAAGTACTCGACCTTGGTGGGTCAAACCTGAGCCCGCGATACGATTAGGTGATACTGGTCAGGATACCCTGTTTTGACAGCTGTCAATTGTTCACAACAAACAGCAAGTGGTAACCTTTGCGCATGCGTCAAGCTTGCTGGGAAGCACTTGTTGACGGGAAATCGTAATGGCCGAAAGCCGTTCTGAAGCACTTTCAAGGGAGATTTTTTTGCATACCCAATCGACAACAGACATGCCTTATAGATTGGATACTTTGGCTAAGCCATGTTGAAGTGTCATGTATGGGAGAAGGACCATTTAGGTGGTTAATTTTCATTCATTTGGCTCCTCTGATGAAGCAGATAAAGCGTTCACAAGGTCGTTTGTTGTGATATGTTGATTTGTTGACATTCAAACGGTCACGGATTTCTGGGTTATCGTCCACGATCTGCAGAGCTGCCTAACATTTAGGTAAGATATACCCCTTGATTTACTTTGTGAAATGTGGAGCAGCATCATCGAATGTTATGTGTTAAAATTATAGCAGCCTGAATTCAACATAATTTATGTGTTCCCGGTATTTTTGTAGTATTTGACCCTGACCGTACAGCGAGATCCAGTTGTATATCCCACACAAGCGACTAAACAGGTTAAACTTGTCTTTCGGTCACTCCGTATTTTCACTTTTAATGGTTAATTCAAAGGGGGGAACTTTGAGTATTTTGATACTATTTAGCGGCATGAAATCAACAAGCAAATTTGCTACTCTTACAAGAAAGGCCATAGTCGGATGTTTCCTTCCATTTTCGAAAATTTGCTTTTCTGGTTTACATTGGTGCTCTATGGCGATTACTTATTCTCAGAGATTAAGAGATCGAGGCGGTGGATTGTGAAATATTATTTGCTAAAACTTCGTTAAAGATGGACAAATTTTTCTTGTCCTTTTCAACCTTGTTTTTAGATTTTTTGTTAACATGTAAAAGTATATCCCAACAAAACTTATTTGTAAGAGCATTGTTTCGGAACACTCTTTCATTCTTGAATGTTTGATTTTGCATCCAAGGGAGGAACACTGATGAATTTGCGTTTTAATAATCATGCACTGTAAGCTCTCAGATTCACTGACAACAACCCTCACCATTTGGAAGATGGTTTTATTCTGATAATTATTCAATGATGATTTGTTTATACATACAAAATTGGCGCCTAAAAGAATTGTAATGTATATGCTTAAAATGTTTACATAATGTCTTGAAACATAACTGAAATCAATATAAAATATGAAAATACACATATGTGCATTCTTTTCTCAGTGCTACTATAAAAGTGATTTAATAAGTGTGATTTAATGCATTTTCATATGACCATTACAATATTACTCCCACTTTGACACTAGCACAAGTTCAAGCGCAAAACAATTCTTGCCGTTGTTCACCTTTGCACTTGCTGGACTGCCATTCTTGTTTGAAGTACAGACAACACTGGACATGAAATCCCTGTATTTGATTCCTTACATTGGCATCCACATAAGAATTAGCTTCATCACATACAATGTATTGGTACGCTTACAAAAATCATGAATGTTATTATTCCTTTTCTATCCAAAAGATTTCTTTCCTTCTTGAATATAAATTCGTATCCATGACACTTTAGAAATCCTGAAATATCTAAAGGGGTATCGCTAGTTGTGGGCAACAACTAAATGCCACAGGGGTAACTTTTCACTCTCTGATAAAAATAGATCTTTTGATACTCTGGGTCTCATATATTCAGTGTTTGTGCACATGAATTTAGGAGCACTTGGCTTGCCAATGTCAGTTTGGCTGTGTATACACTGTAGTGGTGTATATAGTCATATATCATGGGCTGCACAAGTTGCAATTTATGTAAAATTGCCCCTGAAACAAGCTCATTGATGCTCCTGGTGTCGCAAGATAACAAGTTATGAAAAATTTCATTTGCCTTTTTCCTGTTGCAGGAGCTCCCTATGAGATGCTCAGCACTAAACCTTGTTGATTCAGGTGATAGTCATTGAGGACGACTGCATTGTCACATTTAAACCAGTCGCACTTTTCACTCAAGCCATAGCAGAGCTGGTACAAAATGGCGGCTATCCATTTTTTATTTTACCCTATGCTGTCTGCAGAATGTGAAGGGTCTGTCACTCCATCCTGAACTGCATCAAATAGCCTTGGTGCCCCAGAAGACACACAGACAAGCTTTAATTTTAATGAGTCATACATTGGCTCACTTGAAGCTACCATAAACTCAGACTTTATAAATATCAGGCTTTAAGATCCTTAAGTTCTCCTCATGTTGAAATTGAGTGAAAAGGAAAAGTTAGAGCTAATTTTCTCTCATTTTCAATTTTTTAATCTTAGCCCAGATATGGGCTAGTCAAGGGAGCTAGACCTTATTAGTTATATCTTAAATAATTAGCACATGTGCAGTAGAAAATACCAAAAACAAAATTTATGAAAAGCAAAAATGAGTGCAAGCATGGAAGTATCAGAAGCAGAAAATTCACTTCAATGTCTCAGAGAGAAAAAGCAGTTTTAGATATGACTATGATCTTTACTATTTTAAGTATTTTCACTGTTGTGTGCATATTTACAATTTTCTAGTATGTAGAAGTGTGGGCAGTAAAGGGAAGGATTTTTCATGGTTAGGGTTCCCTCAATAAAACACATCTGTAATATGAAACATCTTATACCACACTCCTGTTTTGGCTCATCTAATTCTTTATTTTAGAAGTATAAGGGGCATCTTGGAGTCAAGAGCCTCCATATTACAAAATTCTGCCTACACCCCTGAATAAGTTAAGGCACCACATAGATTTAATAGATGTCATTTCTTGAGTTTGGGTCTTCAGTTTTATATCATCTAGTCAAAAAAGGAAACTTACAATTTCATAGCCCTGGGTGGGATATCTTTGAAATTTTATCAGTCGCAGAATTAGGGCACTGCACCTGCTTTGGCCACTGGTGGTTAGGATGGGGTATCTCAGAAAAGTAATCACTGGCAGAATCACTGCACTAAGGTTGCACATCTCTGAAAAACAGGGCGTTCCTGAACCATAACTGACGTGAAATCGTATTATTGCAAGGGAATTGTCGCAAGAACTGCAGTTATGACTATATAAACAGACTAGCATTTAGACTTTTTTTCACAGCGTTTTATTCAAATCGTAAGCGTCGGACGTTTTGTACTCGGTCACAACTTACATGAAGAGATTTTTTCCCAGTTATCCAGTGTTTAACACAGGAGTTTTGCAGCTGTTACACAGAACCCCATCGACGTGTCCGCGCGCAAGCCAAAACACGAAACAATAATCCCTCATGGACCACAAACCGCTCAAAATTGTGAGTGATCTGCGACTTATTAGCCTTGAGACCAATCTCGCATATTACAAAGAAGACTTTGCCTTATCTGCACTCCACAAAGATAGAACAGATGACTAAGACGATGGTAATTTTTAAAAGAGGCGCCATTTTTCTTTGCTGCATTCGCTGCGATCCAATACCACCACAAACTTCCGTCCAGCGGCTCGCGCATACTCGCAACGTTACCACTTGCTGTTTTCACAACATGGATGTGCAATATCAGGTTGCACCCGGATAGAAAGTGTGAGATTAAACATTGGTTGCCTTGCGGTGCGGACCGACGCTCGGTCGGTCGGTCGGTGTACGGTCACGTGATTACCCATTCCTCTGAATAATATTTGGAGACACGTAATAGGCCATTTGCACGATGGCGTTATTTTACTACTACGACCAGAATCCTTTTCGTTTCTCCTTTCATATTTAAATTTGGTTATCCCAGTGAGGTTTGAATAACAAAGCCCTCATTTGCACAAGAAAGCAAAATCCTGAAGGATTCTGGTCGTAATAGTAAAATGATGTCATAGTGCAAATGGCCTATTGGAACATTTTTTTCAATGTACCATGGACCTTAGGTTTTCAATGATTTGTAATCCAATAAAGCCTTGTTTTGAAGTCTACGGTTGTAAAGCGTGGTTTTCTTCTCTTTCTTCGGTGGAGATTTGCTGTTACTGGGTCTAATCGGTGGGCAGATATAGTTGCACACTCGTTAGAGCTCTCTTATTCAGCTTTTCCAGTTTATCAAAGTCGCTTGTAAGACAAAAGTGGCATGGAAAAATGAGCAGCTAAAGTTGTCCGACGCAAAGAGATATGAGAGGGGAAAACAGGCTTAAGATGAAGTCAAAGACTGGTCATTGCGATTTGGCACGACCCTAGACCAGTCGCAACAAAAATGCAGTGCTATTTTCTTAAGCCGAAATTCGTATCCGCTGAAATTCTTTCAGCTCCAGCCTAGTCCCCTCATTATGTCCCTTTCAAGCATCATTACTTCCCTTTCGAATCGGTTAATTTATTCCGGACTTTGAACAGAGCGACAATTGGGCACTTACACGAAGGGGGAAGAACAAAATTTCCCACCCCCGGTGCACACCCATTGGTCTTACTGCCTAGTCTTTCCCTCGGTTTCCGAGTAACGCCTGCACGATATTTTGTAAAATGGCGACCAACGATGATCAAGTGTGTGCGTATTTAAAGCAAGAAATTCATCGCAGGCTCCACAGTCATCCTCTTTTCGCCTCTTTAGAGAGTTTTAATATCTGGCCATGTGAATTGGAAAACCGAACGAGGATTTTATCGCCTGAACGGGCTGCGCGTCAACATTTTGGAGAGAAACAGTGGAATGTGCCAACTAGATAGGTAAGTGGTCATATTTTGGCGTAAAGAGAAGAAAATTCTGCCTCGATCTCTTTCTCTCTTATAGCATATTGTTTACTACTAAATGAGTTTAAGTATGTACGTTGTCGAAAATTTCGATAAAGCGAACTGAATTTCAAGGTCGGTCAGGATAAAAATGTAGACCGCAAACTTTAGGCAGGATAAAAAAAGGCAGTTGTATTGAAGGTAGTACCCTGGTCCCAGAGGTTTTCCTTGAAATGTTCTTCGTGAAAGAGAGAGCGAGCCGTGAAGCGTCGACAACGTGTCGCGAAGCAGCGAGGAGGGACAGTAAAACCTCTTGTTGCCTTACCTTCCTTTCATGCAGATGACAGGGTCAGGATCTGACCCTCTGGTGCTGATTGGTTGATATTTTTAGAAACATGCAAATCAATTTGATTGGTTCGTTTGACTGTAACTACTGAGGGGATGCTGAGGATATTTCTCACCTCCTTTCTTTTGGTAAATTTTGCCTCCCTCTACCAGGGAAGAAAATTGTTTGTAAAATAAGTGGAAACTGCAAGGGGTGAGAGGCCGCACATCTTCACTGGCGTAAAACCTTTGAAAACCTTTTACATATCGCCTCAGTGAGGAGAACTCTTTCAGGGATTTTACACTTTAAACATTGAATGATGATATGGCTGGGGAGCAATGGTGGTGTAGTGGTGAGAGCACTCCCCTCCCACCAATGTGGCCCGGGTTCAATTCCCAGGTCTGATGCCATATGTCGGTTGAGTTTGTTGTTGGTTCTCTCCCTTGCTCCAAGAGGTTTTTCTCCGGGTACTCTGGTTTTCCCCTCTCCTCAAAACCAACATTTCCAAATTCCAATTCGACCAGGAATCAGGTAGGCGAAGAACCACTATGTGGATGTGCTACCTCCAAATCGTTATTTATTTATTTTTATTATTTTATATTTTGAGGTTTACACGATCTCAGAGTAAAATGAGCAATGAGTAGCTCTGCTCAGCATGCATCCTTTAAATATATCCAGAACTGACACTGGTTTTGGGTATTTATCACATCTTTGGTAGAAAAATGATTTAAATACCTTATGATGCTGTGTCCTTTGAATGTCAGTTTATAACCCAATCGCTTCAGTGTAAATGTTACTTCTGCTTTCTTCTGAAAGGCCTTAGCCTCTCAGACAAAGCATTTGAGGCACAACATCCGGAGAATCTTTCATGCAGCACTTCTGTCATTTCCTGTGCACCTCTCTGCCAACTGAATTCTTAGGGCCTTGTTACATTTTTCCCAGAATTTTTCCAATTGCTCTAACACCCTCAAAAATTGCAAAACTTCTCGTTGGCACCTCTGGCAGATTATCTGCAATACTCCCATCATATTCTGTTGTATAACATCGGACAACAGAACTGATGATAATGTTTTGAAAAACTCCTTGTTATTTTTTCCAAAAACGTTGATCTTAGATCGGCCAATGGTTTTAAAATAAATTCTGCAAATCCTGCAAAAGTCATTGGGAACAATGCTGGTTTCTTTTAGCGAAGTTTTTATTCCTGGACTCTTGCTGCAAATTACCTGGCAAATTCCATGCTTGACCCCGATTAATGTTATCAACAAGATCAAGTGACATCTTATCACTCTTCACCACCTGAGTGGAGATGGATTGTTGATACAATATTAATTTCCCAGGGTCAACTTCTGCTCACATGTTTGCTAAATTGCCATATTTGGTCACTTTTTTATTAGCAGTTTGATGCGTTTGACAGCTGTCATCTGCATGTCATCTGCATGAAAGTGAGATTTGAGGCCAAGCCAAGAACCAGAGGTTTTCTCTCTCTCTCCTCTCCTCTTCACAACTCATTGTTGCCATTTCACGGCTCGCTCTCTCTTTGGCCAAGAAAAATTTCAAGAAAACCTCTAGGATCAGGGTATGAACTAAGGTAGGTGTTAAAATTCCTCTTCCTTTCTCTTTCTGTTTTTAGGTGATAAATTTTCAACTATGGTTTGCCCCTAAGCACAGCTGATTAGCTGAGTTGCGCATCTCAGTGAATAGTAGTAGCCTGTTAGTAGTAACAGGCCTCTGTCTTCCATTTCCTACACTAACACTGATAATTCAACAGTCTGCACATTAATGCACAAGGGCTTGGAGTGTACAGTGAAAACTATTTTATGCATCGGTCAATTCCAATTTTATTGAGTTAATTAATGAATGTCTTTGTGAGGATGTTGAGACACTAGGAAAAAGGTTATTATTTTTGTAAAATCTTATGCTTGATATATTCATTTTTCTGTGTGGACAAAGATGCTTAAGGTAACTTTGCATTTGCTGACTTCTGTGTTCACATCAAATGTATGTATACTGTACACATGTAGTTAAGAAATATTAAAACAATGGCCTCAGTTGCTTGGTTTGACTCTGACAGTGGAGTAAAACCAGTAGATTTTATTTTTTTAGAGAAAAGACAATGCAATGCTGACTTCATGTAACAAACCGTGCTTTGAGCACAAAGGCAATTCTTTCTAGAAAAATGATTTTAGCAGGACGTGAAGAGCATGTTAAAATTAGGTTCCCTGTAAAGCTTCAGCTGTGTGTTTCAAAAGTATGTAGTGACTGCGGCACAGTGAAAGTTAGAAGGATTTGCCTGTATGGGGACATGGGGACAACTGTTGCTCCTCAGTCACAGTGGAGTGTTTTTCCATACAAATCCTTGTACACATTGTACGTTTTTAAATTTTTTAACTGTCATAAAACCTTTCCCTTATGCATTATAGGCCTAAAATTTTCGTATGTCCGTGAGAGAAAAGCCCTCTAAAGCCTCTAATTTTCTTTTTGTTTTTTTTTAAAAAGCCGTTTCATAAAATAATCTCAGGAAGTGATGGCAGCAGTATTTTTTTATATTTGGGGTGAAACTTCTAACAAATACCAGGGCTTCCGATAGGTCGGGGAAGAAAAAGTCAAATTTCGCCGGATTTTTGGAGACCAAGTCGCGGAAAAATCGGCCGATTTAGCGGGAATTTCGCGGGAGTTTTTGGGGCAAACCTCAACAAAAAGCAATCGTTAAAATAGGGCCGATTTTGTGGTTATTTTCATGGCAAATTTCGCTAGAAATCGATCAGTTTTGCGCTGATCAGACCAGCACTTTTAACGTTTTTCTAACAGAGGTCATCATTTGCTCTTTCAACAATACGCTCCCGAAATGCACCAATGGCAAGGCCTTTAAGATCATGGCTAGTGCCCAGTTTTTCGCAACATACTTGCGCCTGGTAGTTTCGGGACGTTGTTTGCAGTGACGAATTCCAAGATAAATTTGCAAGTTTGCGGCAAGTAAATAGCCCCTATAGCTGAAATAAGTTTCAAATATGTTGTACAGACATATATTTGATAAGATTTTTACCGAATTTCGCGGTATTTTTCGTGTTTTTGTGAATTTCGCGGGATTTCGCGGATTTACCTGAATTTGGCGGCTCCGCGACCGCGCGAAATATCAGAAGCCCTGAAATTATACCCACCTTTTCTTGGGTTGGTGGAGGTGGGGTTTACATTACCTCCTGTGTAACAGGTTATCAATAACAATGACTTTGTTTTTTTTAATCGAATTTGAAGATGCAAGAGAATACAACCTAAGTCACATTCTTTACTCTTGTGTGACTGCAGCTGAAAGTTGGTTTGAGGACAATAGTCTGGTTTTACCCAATTCTATTTTTGTGTTTTACCCAATTCTATTTTTGTGTTTTTTTAATGTACTTCACTCTCAGTCTGTTGCCATAGCATGTGTTTAAGTGAAAGCCAACTACAAAAATGAATGTATTTCACTCTCAGTCTGTTGCCATAACATGATAAATTTAAGAAATCAGTTGGCTCACATACAAATCCCCAAGCAAAATCCCTACCCCAAGGACTGATAAACAAAACATGAAAACTTAAGCGAAAAACTAAATAGCAAAGCACTAAGGAAAAAAAACATTGGAGACCGATTATTTTCTTCAGGAGGATTTGCGTAGAAAGCTTAAGAGGTGAATGGTCCTTAAACTCGCTTCAGCGCGAAAATATGCACAGACATTATGGACTCCTTCAAATACCAAGAGAAGGTCATGTTATCTTTCATAATGTGCCCTCGATTATGTAAAGGGGTTCTAATGCACCTAAACAAAAAGATAACCCGAAGAAAGTTTCCAAGCTTTGATTTACTTTTGAATCCTGGTTACGGTGTGTCCATTTTCTTAACAAACAGTAGTCGTGCGCCATATATTAGCATGTAACTCGAATAGCGCCGTGACGTCAGTTTGAGGTCCTTGAGCCTTGGTAGATAAATCGTAGAGGAAGGAATTTTAAGTATTGTTAGCTCCGCAAGTATAGTTATTTAAATCAAAGATAGTGGAGGAATACTTTCACTAAAAAGTGGCGGTACGTTCAGATTGTTAAGAAGAATCAATTTATAGGGAATGCGCATTTAGTAAAACAACACTTTATCTGGGACTGATTTTTCTTCTTGTTTTTGTAAGGTTTGCATACATGCAAGCACATAAGCTATAATGGGAGTTTTAAGAGGTGACTGTCCCTTAACCTCGCTTTAGCGTTGAAATGTTCCGCTGCCAAGAAAAGATTAACTTTTCACGAAATCTGTCCTCGATTTTGTAAAGAGATTTAATGTGCCTAAACAAAAAAGGATGGTCAGAGAAAGTTTTCCACTTCTTTCTCTTTTGAATCCTGGTTTAAAAATGTGTCTATTTCCTTAGCAAGAAATTGTCGTGCGCCATGATATTTACATAAAATCCTAAAAACAAACCTGACATCAACTTACTTTTTTAAAACATCTTTAGGCATAACTTTCAATTTTACGTATTTGGAACTCCCAGCAGGTCTAGCATTTTTAATTAAAACTGTTTAGGTTCGCTAAAAAGTGACAAGGCATTCAGTAGAACCAGTTTATGGTTGTCTATATACTATAGCTGAGACAGATCGTTCTCTCTCGGAAGATTTGCGTGAGGCTGAGAAGCTGTATTGAGATTTTTAGAGGTGACTCTCTCTTGACCTCGTTTGAGCAAAGAAATGCCGATGTCTATAGAAGATTTTTATTTTTCACGACACTTCTGGATTATCTTAAGGGTTTAAATAATCTGAAACAAATTAAAATGATTGTTAGACGAAGTGATCCACATTTTATCTGTTATTGTGATGTTGAATTTTTGTTACGCAGCGTCTACTTTCTTAACAAGAAGTTGTCGTTATGCACCGTTATTTTTACATGTAACTCAAATAATACCAACGTGACGTCAGTTTTGAAGTCGTAATGAACCTAGTCAAAAAAGTGCTAACAATTTTACGTATTGTGACCTTCCGGCAAGTGTAGTAATTTAAAACAAACCTAAGCACTTTCCCTAAAAAGTGAAAGTGCACTGTTCAGTAGCACCAATTTATAGTGTGATCCGGCTGCGTTCAAAAAATGAAACTGTAGCTGAGACTGATTGTTTTCTTTCGGAAGATAGAACTTTATTGTAAGTTTTAAGAGGCCGGACTGGCCCTTAACCTCGCTTTAGTGCGGAAATACATGTATGCAGGTGCATAGAACCCGAGAAGATCATCCTTTCACGAAAACTGTCCTCTCGATTATTTAAATGGGTTTAAGTGTTACTGAACAATAAACGATTTTGAGAGGACGTTTTCCATGTGTTTTCTTTCTTTTCTTTTTTTCCCTTTTACTTTCTTTTTTCTCTTGTTTTTTTTTTCTGTCTTTATTTGACTCCTGGTTACGCTGGGCCAGCTTTCATCACAAGAAGTTGTCATACACTGTTATATAATTCCAACACAATATAGTAACAATGTGACGTCAGTTTACTGTTCTTGAACTTCGCTAGACAAATCTTGATAGTTAAAATTTAACGTACTGTGAGCAGGCAGGTATAATAATTTAAATCAAAACTAGTGTGGGAAGGTATAGGGTCCCTGAAAAGTGCCAGTGCATTCGGTGGCTATAGCACAAATTTACAGTGTATACGCAATATAAAGACACTGTGGATCAATTGTTTCGTGAGGGAGATTTGCGTTAAGCACAGAAGCTGATTGAATGTTTAAAGAGGCTGGACTGGCCTTTAACCTCGCTTGAGCGCGGAAATGTGCTGTTCCAAGGGAGGATCATATTTTCTCGAAATCTGATTTTAAAGATTTGTGTGCTTGAAAGAAAAAAGAAAGAAAGAAACAAAATAGTCTTACATATTATGATTTTATTTATTTGTTATTTATGTTTTCAATCACCCTTTTTTTTTTGCAGATCAGCAATTTTGTTCATTGCTTTTCTTGTTTTTGGTACGCGATCGTACGCAATGTACCAAGTTGAAAAATTTGTGTCATTGGTTAGGAAGAGTTCACGTTCGTTGTATTATTTTAAAGAAGATGTATTGGAATCCTTGTTAGACTTGTGCGATGCGGTAAGAATTGTAAATCGTGTTCGATTGTTTCCTTTACTGAGAAGCTTGTTGTGGTAAATAGTGCGGTGGTCTTACGACGGGGAACACTCTCTTTTAATTCAATTGTTACTCTCTCCGCTAAATCATAAAATAACATAGTAAGGAGCTAATCTCACTGTTCAGCGCTGAAACGTCTGATTTGAATCTGATTAACATATTTTCAAACCAGTCATGAAAAGAGGTTTCAAATGTAGAAAATCTTCCTCATTCCAAAACCAGACGACTTTAAATAGAGCTGAAAAACACACCCACCAAGTATTTGCCGGAGAGGTAAGATACAGCAAGTAAAGCACAGTCAAGAGTGAAGACAATGGTGGCGAAGCAAGTCTTCGGTTACTTCGCTTTTCAGGTGTTATTTTTGCCGCTCACTACAGGTAGGTGTCTAAGCTATTGAATGATTCTTGACTACTGATTTCTTACAGTTTCTGCAAGAGAAGAAACATTTTGTAAAACAACTTGATTATTTATTCACGTTGCATTTAGAAAATGTTAAGGGAGGTTCCACCTTTTTGAACTGTCAGAAATGACCGCGAACCCACAAATTTAAGAAAGTCGATGATAGTGAAAAATGTCTTAACTTTATGTGTGTATCCGTTCTTAAATACCAATGATTCCTCGGTAAAGGTTTGTGTTAAGGTCCATTTCATTTCATTTATGAACTGGGACATGAAGCAATCCCTTGGAGTCAATATGGAGTGGTTACAATTAGGTTTATTTGTCTGTGCAATGACTGTATACAAGGTCGATGAAAGGGAACGCATACAGATGACAGGGTATTACTTCAATGCAATTAAATAATATTTAACTTTAAAATACTTTTAACTTTTTTTTGCATGTATTTTATTCAAGCGTATGTCTTTCAAACTGGGAAGGTGAATATTTCCGACACATCCCAAAACAACCATGGCTGCCAGACCGTTTCTTTCAATACTCAGTTCCAGGGTTCTGGAGATGTAAAGGTGTTTGCAACGCTTAGCCACGGAAGCGAACATGTCAAAATCCACGACCCAGCGTCTGTTTGGGTGAAGTCACTCTCCACATCTGGTTTCGATGCCTGCGTTCGTGAAGCAGGCACTGGTTCTAGAGGCGCGTCTGTGATCAACTGGCTTGCTTTTCAAGGTTCGCACCAAGGTCTTGATTCAGGAATCGTTGAATTTGATGAATTCACCTCAAGAACCCAGTGCAAGAAGATATCGCTTAGTATTCAGAATAAGGTGAGATGGTAAAGTAGGTGAATTCAATCAGTCATTTTAACATACTTACAGGTGACAAACAATACATCCTTACTTGGACAAAATCGATCAGGCATGGAAGAAGGGGCCTTAAGCCTAAAGCTACATGTAGAATCGAGAATTCGGAAGTCCCATGCTTTACTGTCATAATTAGTCACTTAGAAGGAACTTTGAAAATGTCACATCAGGGTTATGTAGAATCCGAGACCTTACATTTTCATTCTTCTTTTTTTTTCTGTGTCATAGATAATTGTTCTTTTGTTATACTCTGTCTTAGGCGAGACCCCAAGTGTTTGTGACTGTTCTACATAAACATTCCGACCGACCATTTGACTCCATGAACATTTGGCTAGAAGACGTCAAAAAGGATGGTTTTGTGGTTTGCTTGAGGGAGTTTATGAGCTTTGACGGCATCCATTCAGGTCTCAAAGTGGTAAGTTGAAATTAGAGAAGTCTGAGGTGACTAGTCTTTATTGCTCTATTCACGAAATTACCACGCAGAGTTTGTGTGGCAAAGAAGTCCACCTTGGGGTAACTAAAGGGTGCGTTCCAGTCAGGTGGCATCGCACACTACACTTCTAGGTACAATAAATTCAATATCGTGCTTCTTCTCCAACTTGTATTACTAAAATTAATATATCAAAAACAACAGTGAAAACAAGAAAATCGATTCAGTTAACGTCTTAAGTGCTAGTTTATTTAGGTTACATATACCTGTTCCCAATGCTTTTTGCAGCACTTCTGTCTCTCGGAGCTCCCCATCTCAGGACGACGAATGATGATAATAATCGTCCGCAAATCTGCAAATAAATTTGTGCATATTCTCTTTTTTTTAAAGAACTGGCTTGCGTATGATGTGCTCCCGGGGTCTTGGAATATTACTGAAAGAGGAAAGCTTCATTTTTCTGGACTTGGTGCACCAAAGAAAGAAAACAACTATGCTTTTTGTCAGGTAGGAAAGACTAACAGTCTTCTATATGTCTTTGATGAGTCTCTGTTTAGTTTAGTTCAGCTCAAGGGAAAACGTGTATCGCCCATTTCCAAGAGACACTATAGCGGTCTGTTTCTATAATGAATGTACGGTTATCAGTGACAAAATAGGGTTTACCGTATCGTTGATCTTGATTTCCGTTGCACACTATATTTGAATTGTACAATAGTGCATCCACTAGCAGTCTTTATAAACCTTGATGTTGCACTATAATCTCTGTTATTTATTTCTTTTGGAAAACTTGCAAGACTTTAAGAGGAAAAACACTTTTACCCATTATTATAGGCAAGTTAATTAGGAACTGTCTTACATAACAATAACAACAAACAAAAACGTTATTGACAGCAATGAAACCGATAACACATACACACTACCTACATTTAGCAAAAGCTATGGGAGGCAGGCAGTGTACATGGACTGATGCATTTTTAAATGTCTTAACTGTTAAAACAAGAAAAATACAGAAAGGCCTATGAACTTCAATACTTTTTCTTAAACCGAGGTCGGAATAATAAGGTGATAAGCTTTGAATAAGGCTTTAACTATGCACTTTTGTGTAATAATGGTTTTCAGGATTATAAATTCGAAAATCCATTTTACGAGCCTCCTAGTGTCCTCGCGTCTGCTAGACATGACAACGACACCAGTGCTCTGTGGATGAAGGCTGATGGTCGTTTTAGCAACGCTTTAAATGTTTGGATCGAGGTAAGTAATTTTCTAGACCATATACATCCATTTATATTTCCTCATTTATTGAAACTGATTTTAGGGTGCTGTTTTCAATTGCTTCCACACTCCAAGTAACTGAGTAAAAATAAATTAAGCGCTCGAAATGGCTGCACCGCTTTTATATTTGACTTGTGTCAAATTCCTCAGTCATTACTGTCGTTTCAACCACGGTTTTGTACCAAGCAATTTTTCAATATTTTTTATTTAATTTTAAATGTGGGCTGGAAAAAAACTGGCGAATAAAAGAACCTCATTCAATTTCAGTAAAATTGAGTCAGTCGAAAAAATTGATTTAGATAATTCTAAAAATTTATTTTCTGCACACACTTTTCTTGCGTTTGGATTTCTCACCCCACAAAAGACATACCCCCTCTTTACAAATCTAGGAACTACGAACCTACTTAAGACGCAGAAAGCTCCACTTTTTTTCTCATTTTACTTGGATAGACTAGGGAAATTCTGAACTGCCAGGTACTTAATTATAAATTTAATATTTAGTTCATTGTTTAGGAATTCTATAAATTTTTTGTAACTTAGTTTGACCGGAGTAGTAAATTGATCGAACTGAACAGGATTTCTTGCTAAATTTGTAGCAGTAATACCTGAATGAATTTGTTGTCTTCTAGGAAATCACTCGTTTGTCTTTTAAATTGTGCATCAAGGACAGCCAGGGAATAAGCAAGTCGCACGATCCAGTTACAGTGGACTATGCAGTTGTGGGAGGTAATTTGTTGTTTTCATTGCATCCAAAAGAAGAAACTTTAGTTAAGATATAAACAGTTTTAAAATCGAAAAAAGAAAAGAAAAACAAAAAAGGACAAGTTTTTTCAGTTGGACATATACACATGTAGTGAGGCCTTACAAAATGTATTGTCTTTTATAATTCTTCTGACTTAGGTCTAGCCCCGCATGCCGAATGGGGTAATAGGTTTCCGAAAAATGTATTATTTTAAGCACTTCATGCTTCAGGAAGATTTCCGATAGGAGTTGAGGAAAAAAATTGGTCAAATTCCTGTCGTAAGAAGTGATTTTGTATTTTGTCTCAAAGATATTGACCCGTGCACAAATGTTACTTGCGATTACCATGCCATCTGCAAAGCTTTCTCTGCATTTGATGCCCGCTGTGTTTGTGATGACAACTGCCCGTCATATGAGGAGCCAGTGTGTTCATCCAACTCGACAACATTCAAGAACAGGTGCTTTTGTCTGCTGGACATTTGCCAACGCAAAAGCAACCACACGCTTTATCATCCTGGCAGCTGTACAGGTAGAATTCTTAGGCTTTTTTACATTACTTCTTTTTTGCCTACTACAAAGCATGAGAGGATCCACTAGGCCTGGGTCAGGATTAAGTATTGCTTTTGTTTCCGCCTTCTCAACGCATGTCCCTCTTACTCCCTCCACACACATACTCCCCATCACCATAGATGAGTTGATAGAGAAATCCATACCGGCCCTCTCTTTGTTAATCTAATTTGCTGGATGGGAACTACCTGGATGTGGAATAGAATAGAATAGAATAAAATAGAATAGAATAATTCTTTATTTGAACACGATAAAATTCATCAGGAGTATAAAAAATTTTAAATAAACCTATAACTACCCTAAACAATATGCAAAACTATCTACAACTAACCTAACCAAGTCCTGTTTGTTATGACTTGTCGTGTACACAGTACTTAAAAAATCAGAAATTCAGATGAGCCAATCCTATAAATTGACTTAAAGATTTAGCCTCTCTCATATCACAGGGCAGGCTGTTCCAGAGAATTGCTCCGCTGTGACTGAAACTGTTCATTATGAAGTTAGTTCGCTGGAACGGGACAAATAGTAAACAGAGTCCCTTAAGGAATAGTACGTTTCATATCGTTTAACACATTTAGAGGATAAATATCGTGGAACAAGATCATTTAAAGTCTTGTACACCATTAGGGCTTTTTGTATTTGAAACTGAGTGCTCAAGTCTTTCCACTCGTACTCTTAGTTCTCTCAATCAGTTTAAATCTCACGTACTCCAACGCTATTCGGCTACTTTTCGTACAAACTCTGACGTCACTAACTTCAACACCTGGTAGTCGATCTGCTGCAAATGCAGTAGGTCACGTAATCTTCCATTAGCTGGTAACTGCTGCTACTAAGACTTTTTATCGGCTGCGGGAGGGATTCATTCTTATCGTTTTTACAAATGGCATTTTTATAGTTTTTACAATGTTTAATGTTTACATAGTTAGTATTTGTGTATTTTCCGTACGGGCACACTTAATTTGGAGCCTCGCTTTGTTGTGTGTCCCGCACCTTCGTCCCCCGTTTTTGTGTCTTGTTCAAATGTATTTTTTTCCTTAGTCTTTTTTAGCATTGTAATCATGGTGAAAGCGATTAAATAAATAATAAATTAATTAATTAACTTGTCTAAATAAGCGGTTGACATCAGCAGCATATCTAGGAAAGGTTAGAACACGAGCAGCTCGGTTCTAAAGCTTCTGTAACCTGTCAAACAACGTTTTTCCACAATTATCCCAGGCAATATTACAATAATCGAATTGAGATTGAATGAGAGCGTTGTATACACAGTGGAGAGCAGGCAATGGATTAACACCTCTATTGCTTTTAATTGCTCCTATCCCGGAAGCGATCTTTTTAGATAATTTATCGAAGTGCGTTTGCCACCGTAGATTTTCATCAATATATATTCCAAGTGATTTTACAGAGGTATATTTTACTATCGGAACATTATCAGTCGAGAGCTCGGGTTGGCTCGACAAAGTACTCAATTTTTGTGTTGATCCAATTAGCATAAGTTCAGTTGTAGCAGTGTTCGATGTAAGTTTGATAGAATAAGCCATTTGTTTAGGTTAGCTAAATGGTGATCCAAATTTAACTGTATTGAATTCACATCAACATCTGCGTAAGTGATGTGTGTGTCATCAGCATACATCCTAGGCTGGCATGAAGGCAGTTTGGCAAATCGTTGATGTAAATATGAAATAAAAGGAGACCAAGGATTGTTCCCTGTGGTACCCCGCATTTAGGTGAACAGATTCTAGAAAGGGAACCATTAACGAGACATCGTTGTGTACGACTTGTCAAGAACAATTCCTTGTATTCCATAAAGGTTCATTTTAGATAAAAGGATATCATGATCAACAGTGTCAAATGCCTTTTTTAAATCAAGAAAAGCCACAGCATTAACATCACCACTATCGATATTGAAGGCCTAGTTATCAGTAGCTTCATTGGCAAGGTGGAGCCCAATTATTGAAAAATGGTCATTAAAAACATGAGAAAGCTCACTAGAATTAGAAATAATGGAACCATTTAACTTCAATTCTTCCACTGTTGTATTGTTGGTGCGACGGGGAGTAAGTTCGTTAATGGTTTGCCACGTTTTTGGAGAATTACCTTTAGATTGACTAAAAGCATTAGAATAATAAGAGGCTTTAGAAGTCTTGATGTTATTATTTATTGTATGTAGTACTTTGCCCAGTCGCGTGGATCATTCGATGCCATAGCGATCTTTTGGGAGCATCACGATCGCGCATGCCTTTCTTTAATTTTGAATTGATCCAGGGTACTTTTTTTATTCTAGCGCGTCTACTTTGGAGTGGAGCGTGAAAGTTAACAACATCGAAAAGATTCGTTTTCCAGTCAGCCCACCAAAACATTAGGATCATCAGAGCCGTTACAAGTCCAGCCCTGCTGGTCGATATCGTTACGAAAACGCTCTCGATTAAGATTCTTAAAATTTCTGTAAGAAATGGTTGAATGCTCTTTCGAGGGAAAAGCAGGAGATAATTTCCTATAAACGTATATAAGGCTGTGATCGCTGATGCCAATATGAGAGACTCCGGAACAGACTATCCTGTCGACATAGTTTGTAAAAATTAAATCAATTAAAGTTGATGAGGATTCTCTTCTGCTAGTAGGTTCAGTTATAAGTTGTTGAAGCCCAAATAAATCAGAAATTTCATATAAGCGACGAGTATTTGAATCATTATTGTAAAGAGGCCAGGTTACAATTTTAATCACCTAAAAGATATATTCAAGACCAAGGGAATCTAATTGTTCAAGAAATGATTCATAAAATAAACTAAATCAATCGAAGAGCAAGGAGGTCTATACCATGTAGCTATCAGAAATGGCTTTGAGTTAGGTTTACGAATTTCAATACATAAATTTTCAAGATTAGGTACATTTAGATTAGAACAAACCACAGTTAATCGAGGTTTTTATATAAAAGTCTACTCCTCCGCCTTGTGTGTTACTTTTAAAAAACTATTAACCCTGGTCTTGAAGCAAAAACTATTTCTTGTTTTTCTACTCTTCTGTTTTAACTCTTTGCATTTGTATGCATCTCCGTTTAGGCTTTCCAGTTCAGACCGGGCGAGTTTCGCTTGTAAGGCAAGTAAAATCAGCTGAGACAGCCTGTAAAGTGGTGAAATTTCGGCCGTTCTCCTTCTATCCTGACAAAGAAGTACACGTGCAAATAACGACTAATCACTGGAACATAAGTAGGAAAAATTTTGTACATGATGCGACGGTTTCATGGGTGCACACCGTTAACTACGAAAATTTTGAGGTGAATATTATTGAAAACAATTTTTCAGTTTATCGTAAAGGACAGTGGTCTATCAAGGAGTAATAGTTTGTAACTCGATAGGATTTCAACATTTCCATACTCGTCTAAAACCATGTGTCGAAAGATTGGATGTTAACTCTAGGAATAGAATTGAGTGCAATTAACAGCTACACCTTTTAATTTTTATTATTATTATTATTTTTTTGTCAGTATTATTATTTCTCTTACCTTTTTTATGAATATTTGTAAAAAACAATCTTTAACTGTTCTTTAATTCCTGACCTGCTTGAGGGGCCCTTTTTTCAGGGACTCTGTTATTTATATTTATTTATTATTTATTTATTTATTTATATTTATTTATTTATTTATTTATTTATTTTTACATCTATAGGAGTATATGTTATTCATATGCTTTCACTTGGTATTAAGGTGCCGCATTTTTATTATGTAATGTTTCTTCCGTTGATTTATATATTCAGAGGCCCTGAAACTGTTGCGCCTCGTCAATTTCTTAATTTCATAACAATTTCTTAGTTCCACTTTTACTCTTTAAATTTTGCTTCATGTGTCCTTTTTTCACAATATTATGTAACATACTTACATAACTCGTTATCAGAATTTTTCATCTCATGTGTATATAAATTATAATTTATATAACCCGTAGCTTGTACAAAGGTTATCCAGATTTTGATTGTGATTTTAAGTAAAAAGTACACTGAGGAAGCCCGAAGGGCTTAACATTTGTATTCTCAGCTCACCAGAAAAAAAAATGCACATACGATATAAAATAGAAATTTACCTAATAACTTTTGAATATTATCTTTAGGTCTGCGTGACAGCAGCAGGAAGAAATGACCGCTCTACTAAGGAGTTTGCCACTGTGGACTGGATGGCTTACCAAGGGGCACCTGATGGTGGTGTGGCGGGAAAATCACACATTTCACAGTGGTGGACTGGATCACAGTGTAAAGAAGTTATCCTTCCCCAGGCAATCATCTATTTTATTTCCATTTTCTGGAAGTGCACTAGCCTGAGAAAACATCCGACATTTGGCGACGCTACCACTGGTTTCTCCGCCAAATGACGTCTGAGAAACGAGCGCAGAAATCCCATACTGATGACGCGTCACTACCCAGATCTGGATATTGACGCGTCATCAGTATGGAATTTCTGCGCTCGTTTCTCCGACATCATTTGGTGGGGAAACCAGTGGCAGCGTCGCTAAATGTTGGCTGTTTTCTCAGGCTAGAAGTACACTTAAGGCAATTGTTTTGAGACCTAGAGGTGGCGAGAGTCCATGTCACCCTCCCATTGTCAATATCTTTGATTACGAATCTTACAGTGTTGGTATCAAGTCTCGCAATTTCAATGCAGCAGTAAGAAATTACGTCATTGTTTCACTGGCTGCCATACTGGATTTTCATTGTGTTAGGAACGGATTTTCATTGTGTTGGGACGAAATCAAGATATTCAGATAATTTGAATGTTGAAAATCATAAAATTTATTTTATGCATTACATAAGTAATAACTGATTTAGTAAAAATCCGAGATATCCTATCAATGTCGACCACTTTCAAATGCCCTGTTCCCCAATCTGCAAATATTTAATATTCCACCTTTCGATCTAAAACGGGTTTGAGGGATGGGGGGGGGGGGGGGTCATTTAATATTTTGGGGCAAAGGGAGAAAAAGTAAGGTTATAAGATGTTTAAAAAATGAGGTTTGAAGTGAATAATTAATAGAAAAATACTGCCCACTAGCAGGCTAGATCCGTCAAGACTGAGAAAAAATTCACTCATGCTCTAAATTTTATAAACATGGCAAACGTTTGTCTTCGAATTCTGCCAAGGTGTGTATAAAGTATAAACGAACAGCAACTGAGCAGAAAATATTCAAGCAAACGATGAAATAAAACGGACAAAACCGTGTACAACTTAAGGCGGTTAGACACTTAACCACCATATCAAAAAGCCATGCTTTGATCGAAAAAAGTTGTGTACTGCGACTACATGCGGATCATATTTCATTTTTATCCTAAGCTCTGTATTTTTGCGATGTTCTTAAAAAATTACTAAATGGAAATATTAATTAGTCTGTTTATTAATCTGGAGGTACAACTCACATTTCTTGATTGTCATCAATGATTGCTTCACAGGGAAAGTTTGCTGCTGCACCAACAGTCCTGGTTACAGCACAGCATATTAGTGCAGCCTTTAAGCACGATGCCGCAAGTTTGTGGGTAGAGAACGCAACCAGTTCCTCCTTTTACATTTGTCTTCGAGAACTACAGAATTATGATGGTCTACATGAAGATATCTTTGTGGTAATTTTACTATCTTAATTTTTCTAAGAGAAACACATTCTAAACACTAAAGAAAAAAGCACAGAAAGCAAGGTTTAAATGAAAATTGTGCGAAAGAGAAGACGTGCAAAAAGATGATATAAAAGCGCCAACTCTTGTATAACTAACAGCCATTAAACAGTACCCACTATTCAGAACCTTTGATGATTTTAGCCATGCCTTAAGCGTGGTTATACCCTTAACCCTTTAGTGAGACCATCCAGTAGCGAAAAACACGCATTTGTTTGTTTGTTTGTTTGTTTTTTAACAAATCTTCCTTTTTGGACCTGTTTTTGGCCAATTAGCATGGGAATGGCTGATTACGAGGTTCATGTGTGCAACTCTGTCAGGATTTGCAACACTAAGGGCATGTTTCGTTTCTAATTGTATGATGTAATGGAATCTATTTCGATATTTTTGTTGCTCTCTTTTCCCCCTTTACTTGTCTTTTCACTAACCGGCGGTTTTTTTCGTCCCTCTTTCGCGTTGAATTTTGGAAGACCAAACTTTCCAGAAATGGCAAAATTTCTAATGTGCAAAGGAGAGAAGGCCAATAGCACAATTTGCTGTGGATTCTCTCCCAAAATGTTGCTTGGTTTTATTTTGTGTGTAACTCTTTCAGGATTGGTCCAACTTTGAAAAATAAGGTACCTCTGAAAAGATCTATCCTTACTAATTCTGTTGCTAACCATCTTAATAGCTTAAACAGCAAACTATATGGGTCCAGGAAGGAAAACATGCATAGTTTCAATCATATGGCACCGAAACAACCAAAGCGATCGCTAAAGGGTTCTAGTCAGTTCGCGAACGATCGTATTTAATCTGTCACTTGTCTTAATCTGTTTCCCAATGCCTGTTTTTAAAGGGTTATCTTATAAGGATTTACCTGTTCGCAAACGGTTGTATTTAATCTTTCAGTTTTATTAATTTTATTTCCGAACGCTTATTTTTGAAGAATTAACGAGAATGCTTCTACCAGAATGAGATAAGAACAGCATTTGGAAACCCACTGTTGACTGCTGTTACTTTTTTTCAGAATTGGATGGTCTTTGAAACAATCCACCGGCCCCTTTTTGCCGAGAGCAAACAAGTGAATTTTCCAAACAGCAGCCCTGTTTCTGCAAACTACAACGGTGCGTTTTGTAAGGTAGGGATCGAGCATTTCTGATAAGCGAAAGCGAGATCATTCTGTAACAGTTTACCTTGTGCAGAGCATATTTAGGAGCTGATTAGTTCGAAATGTTTTGTTGTTGTTGTTGTTGTTGCTGTTGCTTTTTTGCGCTTTTTTTACGTTTTCGACCATAATCCGTTGGAACGTTTTGTGTTCTTTGGGAATTTTACAGACATGTAAGCCATGAAACCGAGCATCTTTAAGTTTACCTTGTTTCACGTGCTATGTTGTACAGCGATGTTTTCAGTTCAGAGAAAATGTTGTACCGGAGCTAGGCTCCGCCGCTGTTGTTCCCTCGAACACCCCAGTCGCACAAATGAGCCTTCTTGCCGGCTACACTCCGCTAAGAACACTATGGGTAGTTTTCGACACCTATCACTTGGTATCAAAGGAGAAATGGTAAGGGTAACTTGCGGACTGACTGCGGACAATTGTTTTTAGGGTAAGAATTGGTAAGACAACGATTAGACTATTGTTGTCACCTTCTCATTTGCATGGTGAAAACAATATTCTGCAGTCTGCGTTTTACACTGGCCTTATTTCAATATAATTTTTGGCACAATATTAACAGCCAAAGTTTTCTATCCTCAGGATTTGCAATTTGCAAGGAATTACGACAAGGAGCCCATAGTAATAATAGCAGCCAGTCACAACTCAGAAGGCAACAATCTTAAACCGATACATATGTCTGTTACTGCATGGATTGAGGTATTGAAGGATGCAGTTGTTGTATGACGTAATAATTGGTTCGGAATTTAAAAAAGGGAAGACTGAAAATATCTCTTAGAAGTTGCCATTTGAAGCAATCTACGTGTGCCAACATACTCCAATGCTCATTCCGTCGAACGTTCAGTTTATCAACCACCGTTATTCAAATCTTAATTCCCTATTTTGCGTCTGAAGTTAGTTTCTCCTGCTGCTTGCAAATGTCAAGAATTTTAGTAACCTTGTGTAAAAAGGAAAGCAACCTAATGACAGGCACGCGAAAGGACTAAAAAAATTCTTGCTCAGTTGTTACGAAACTTGAATTGTTTGTAGATAAATTTATGAAAGGTCCTCAGATTTGTTTTGTTTGTTTGTTTTTGTATGCTGCTGTTGTTGTTGTTTTTTGTTTTCGTTTAGCAGGCTCAAATCAAAGTTATAAAATAGTCAGAGTTAGCGCAGGAACTCTCTCCATAACATAGGTTACAAAGACTCCATATGCCCTCCTCAAAGACAAAACACTAATGTTTTGTTTATTACATACTAATTACAGTACAATCAAATATCGATACCTTTTGTTCTGAAGAAGAGTTTAGCGTTTGAAGCGAAATGAACAAGTTATAAGTAGAGGGTCTCAATGGAGTGGTAGCTTTGACGTGGACGGTTGTTTTTTTTAATTTTGACGGTTGACGGCTAAATTTTAGGGCTTTTGACGGTTGACGGTTATTTAGGAAAAATTTAGTCCAAAAATAAAGTAAATATTAACTTTTGTATAACGATAATATTAACTGTTGTGTTTTGGAAGTTGCCTTGGCCTTTCACATATAAAATTTTGAAATATTTTATGACATATGAAAGTGGTGGGATATTGTAATGTTTAGAAAGAGTGTTTTTGAGAACTTGACCCGTGGTGTTTCCAATTTAGAGTTTCTTCATCAGCCAAAAGTCCGTGAAGATCAGCTGAAATAATGAGATTTGAGATACCTTGAAACGTTTTCACGGTTAATATCACTCCGAATTTTTTACGGTTGACTGTAAAAATAACCTTTTCTGCCGACGGTTGATGGTTAAATTTTAGGCCGTTTGACGGCTGACAGTTAACCCCATTGAGACCGTCTGAGACCGTCTGAATAGGATATTATCATTTTCACAGCACATTAAAACTGGCGAATTCCGCATTTGTCTCAAGGAGTTGTACGCTGACCAACACGATCCTGTGAATGTGTCCTACGCAGTACTAGCAGGTAGGTTAGACAGCAAAAAAGAAAAAAAGACTTTCTTTGCAATTGCAGTAACCAGGGACACGCGAATTAACTAAATTATATTATTGTTTTGTATTTGCTGGGGTTTGGGGGAACCTAGGGTGGATTTGTACTGTCTGGTAATACAGGCAAAGTATGAAAGGTCGCGCTTAAACGTAAAAAGTTGAACATCGCTCAACTTTTACGTTTACCCCCCAACACTTTATACATTGCCCTTTATTTAAGCACATAAAATTTACGTACGTCCGCAAGTAAAAATCACGTGACAGTGGAAATCCACCTTAAGCGTGAAGGTTACCATACGTCTATGTAGTTTCCACATTTTCTCCAGTTTTTATAGGGTCAACTTATTCACATAAGTTTTGTACTATGCATTAAAATATGTACTGAACCTCGTTTACATTTCATTGCTTGGCTCCTGCAGATGTTTGTAAACCCGGCTGGTCATATTTTGGTGGTATTTGCTACTCAACCAGTCAAAGCTGTATGAACTGGACCAAGGCCCAGAAAACGTGCCAATCATACAGCGCTAATCTCATCAGTGTACGAAACCAAGAAGAGAACGTCTACATTCAGCATAGGCTGAATGGTGCCAGGGGCTGGATTGGACTAAGCGATAGGGACACGGAGGGAACTTTTGTCTGGGCAGATAATCAAACAAACAATTTCACTTACTGGGCTAAGAATCAACCCAACAACTTCAACAATGAAGACTGCGTTCACACCCTGGGAGTAAAACATAGTTTTAAGTGGAATGACGTGGGCTGCGGTAGCTGCCATAACTACACTTGTTCAGAAGGTATGTAGAAGCCTTAGCAATGTTCCTGCAAGGTCGTTTGCTTTCCTTCCCCATTCGTCTGTTTATTATTCAAAAGCTATTGGTTTCCTTTTCGTTATTTGAGGCTACGTATGTCCTGTTCGTGTCCAAGTATAAACACGTTTAAAAGATTTTTATTGATACACTGCTTAGAATAGTCTCTTCATTGTCGTTTTCCTTTTATCATTCGTTTATTTACCTAACAAAAGTTACGGTTACAAAAGTCAAACTTAAAGAAAGGTACAAATATCACAACTGGATCAAAATATAAGAAAAAGGAGCAGAGTAGACCCATTTATAGACTGATTTTTTAAGTAAATCGAATTCTTTCTAACTCATTGAAGAGTTGGGTTCTTCGTAATCGTACCTCGAACTGATCTTAACCTTAAACTCATCAAAAGATAATTCATCTGGTGCTAACCACACCCCGGTTGTTCAAAGCTGGATAGCGCTATCCAGCGGATAAATCACTATCCAGTGGATAAGTATTTGGGAAACCAATTGCGTTATCCACTGGATAGAGATTAATCTATCGGATAGCGATATCCACCTTTTGAACAATTTAGGCCAGAAGCATAAATGCTTTTGGTGCTAACTTATTCGTTCTTGTCATCCCTACCATCACACCAAAAAATAGTTCACGAAATAAATTCGATATTTTATGATTTCCCCTGGGATAGCAAAGGCGACAAAAATAAACGAACAGAAATCATTAATGACTACGATAAGAGCGGACTAAAGATGATTGACATAAAAAGTTTTAAAGCATCATTGAAAATGAAATGGGTTCAAAGCTACCTATACACAGAGAACAAAGGTAAATGGAAATTTTTTTTTTGATTCCTACTTGGAGAAATACGGCAGGAAATTGGTGTTCTTGTGCAATTTAAGACAAAAAGATGCATCACAGCTGAAAATAAAAGACCGTTTTTTCAAAGAAATTGTAGAATACTGGTCCAACTCAAATTATAGTTACAGTTTTCCAGTCAACATATGCATGTATCTTGCATAACTCACTGATTACGATCGAGAAGAAACCTTTTTGTAACAAATCATGGTTTAAAACAGGTGTGGAGAATGTCAAAGACGACCTTGATGAGGCTTCCAGATTTATTAGCTTTGATGATTTCGTAAGGAAATTTAAAGTTAAAACCAGCTATTTTGAGTACTATAAAGTTGTATCTACTCTAACAAGGTATACAAAAATTATGTTCACCCGTCAACGGGAACGACCAAACCAAAGATGCGACTGAAAGTGTCCTATCTCACACAAAATTCAGTAAAAAAAGCTAACTTCGTGACAGACAAGCCACGCGCGTAAGCGCCAAAAGCGCCACGTAAGCGCCAAAAGCCATGCAAGAGAGAAACCTATGCTCGCAGGGTATCCCTTTCCCTTTCAGGCTGGCGGTCATTTCATGTTGATCTTTTTTTTTTAGTCTCTATTTTTTCAGTTGAAGCGAATCTAATGAAAGGTCTAGTGAAAGCTGGAAAGAGTGTACTATGTTGGAAATTAACCCCGTTGGTGCGTTCCGTGTGCGTTCCCTTTATTAATAGGCATATGGGTCGAGTCTATGACGTCACCCACTGTTATAACCTAGGGAAAAAATGCTTTCCTTCATTTTAATTAAGTGTCTAGTCAGTGCCTAGTCTATGACGTCACTCATTGTTATAACCTAGGGAAAAAAAAGGGGGCCCCGTCACTGCCTTCCTCCATATTAATTATGTGCCTAGTCAGTGTCTAGCTAGCTGGGTAAAAATGCCTTCCTGCATATTAATTCGGTATAGGTTTACTAATAAGCGTCACTCTACAACAATAGGAACAATAGGATTGCCTAGACTAACCCGTGAAGTAACTTGAGCCCGGTTTTCGGACCGTCTATTAAAAGAAAAATAGGGATAAGAGAAGCCATCACCTAGCAACGCGAGAAACGGCTTCCTATATCTTATTTAGCGCTAAAACTCAGATATATAAGCAAAACACATACAGAACGTGGAGTTGAAAAGTCTTCATTTCAATAAAGTTTACGTCTTCTTATTTAGCGCTAAAACTCGGATACATAAACAAAACACACGCACATGTACACAAATTGTGGCTGAAAACTCTCTATTTCAATTTTGTCTGACTATTACAGAACTGTTTTCTCCGTTTTATCTCGAGGAATTCGAAATGAAAAACTATTGAAGTCTCAACGTTTCACGCGCCGTTAGTTAGGTAATTATGCGAGTTCACAAGCCCAAAGTTGAATACAAATTAGCTCTACAAGAAAAACCTCAAGGGAGCATTTTGACGTATTATTATGAAACAAATAACTTAACGAGGATCAATTGGTTAAACACGCGTCTAATAATTGCTAGCAATAAAATCAGACACGAGATACCGTTTAAAACAAAAAGAGTCAAATACACAGCGATTTGAAAGAAAGCCATTAAAATAGTCAAAGAAAGCAAACCATCCTTTTATTTTTTTACACTCCGCACAATGTTTTATCTACCCCTCTCCCTTTTCAATGTTATTTCCCTCCTCTTTTTTTTCTTTTTCCCTTCTCCACAATTTTATTTTCCCTCCTCAATGTTTTTATTCCCTCCTCCACAATTTTTTTATTATTTTCCCTCGTCAATGATTTTAATTCCCCTCCTCCACCTCCACCTCCTCATTTATTCTATATATTTTTCCATCCACAAATAGGTTTTCCCTCCACCACCACCACCACCGCCGCCACATTTCTATTGTTTTCTCTCCACCACCACCACCGCCACATTTCTATTGTTTTCCCTCCACCACCACCACCGCCACATTTCTATTGTTTTCCCTCCTCCTCCTCCTACTCCTCCACCCCCTCCTCATTTCTATTGTTTTCCCTCCAAGTTTGGCCTTTTAGGCCTTTTAGGCCTGATTTTGGCCTCTTTGGCCTTTTGAGGGAAAACAATAGAAATGTGGCGGTGGTGGTGGTGGAGAGAAAACAATAGAAATGTGGCGATGGTGGTGGTGGAGAGAAAACAATAGAAATGTGGCGGTGGTGGTGGTGGTGGAGAGAAAACAATAGAAATGTGGCGGCGGTGGTGGTGGTGGAGGGAAAAGGTATTTGTGGATGGAAAAATATATAGAATAAGTGAGGAGGTGGGGGAGGGGAATTAAAAACATTGAGGAGGGAAAATAATAAAAAAAATTGTGGAGGAGGAAATAAAAACATTGAGGAGGGAAAATAATAAAATTGTGGAGAGGGGAAAAAGAAAAAATTGAGGAGGGAAATAAAATTGAAAAGGGAGAGGGGTAGGTAAAACATTGTGCGGAGTGTAAAAAAAGAAAAGGATGTGTTTGCTTTCTTTGACTATTTTAACGGATTTCTTTCCAATCGCTGTATGTTTGACTCTTTTTGTTTTAAACGGTATCTCGTGTCTGATTTTATTGCCAGCAATTATTAGTCGCGTGTTTAATCAATTGATCCTTGTTAAGTTATTTGTTTTATAATAATACGTCAAAATGCTCCCTTGAGGTTTTTCTTGTAGAGCTAATTTGTGTTCAACTTGGGGCTTGTGAACCCGCATAATTACCTAACTAACGGCGTGTGAAACGTTGAGACTTCAATAGTTTTTCATTTCCTCGAGATAAAACGGAGAAAACAGTTCTGTAATAGTCCGACAAAATTGAAATAGAGAGTTTTCAGCCCCACTTTGTGTATATGTGCGTGTGTTTTGTTTATGTGTCCGAGTTTTAGCGCTAAATAAGAAGACGTAAACTTTATTGAAATAAAGACTTTTCAACTCCACTTTCTGTATGTGTTTTGCTTATATATCTGCGTTTTGGCGCTAAATAAGATATAGGAAGCCGTTTCTCGCGTTGCTACAGGTGATCGCTTCTCTTATTCTTATTTTCCTTTTAATAGACGGTCCGAAAACCGGGCTCAAGTTACTTCACGGGCAACTCTAGGCAATCCTATTGTTCCTATTGTAGTAGAGTGACGCTTATTAGTAAACCTATACTGAATTAATATGCAGGAAGGCATTTTTACCCAGCTATGGAGAAAGGCAGTGACTAGGCACTTAATTAGTATGGAGGAAGGCACTTTTTTTTCCCCTAGGTTATAACAATGGGTGACGTCATAGACTAGGCACTGACTAGGCACCTAATTAATATGAAGGAACGCATTTTTCTCCCTAGGTTATAACAATGGGTGACGTCATAGACTCGACCCATATGCCTATTAATAAAGGGAACGCACACGGAACGCAAAGGGAACGCACCAACGGGGTTAATTTCCAACATAGTATACTACTCATGCATCATCGAGGAGATCCTTAGCAATCGCAGAAACAATGTGCATGTAATATAAGAAATTACCCGTTAGTTGAAATTTCCTTTGAAGTAAGAAAGTACCTTAAGCATCATCTCCTTAAGAGATCCTCAATAAGAAAGATATTTTTATTCAACCAGCTCCTTTAAAAAATTGGTCGACCGCCAATTAAAATATCTTTATTGTTGAATAGTACAAACCAGCAAAATTGCGTGTTATAAGAAGTTTTAATTTCTACGAAATGTAGTAAAACAAACTTATAGAGGTAAGGGAGACAAATCTTGTCAATAAAATACTTATCATAATTACAACATAGCAGGAAGTCCAAGCCACCATATTTACCGTGGAAGTAGTAGGGAATGACCTTCCATGATTCGTCATGCTCTGGTCATAGTACTTTGTAAAAACCTGGATACCCAACAACAACAACAACAATGTATTTAATATTAACAAAACGATAAAATTTTATAATACTGTGTGTTTTTTGTTTTTTTTTTTCTGAGAAAGTTCTAGCGTGCCTTTTTGTCACATTAGATCTAGATGAATGCCGAGGAAACAATAACCATTGTCACCAGAATGCCGTCTGTACAAATACTCTTGGCTCCTATAAATGTCAGTGCGCTACAGGATATACCGGTGATGGTTTTTCATGTTCAGGTAAGAAAACCTGGCATTTTTTACATTTATTCTCTTGCAAGGAGAAAACGCGTTCATGAACTGTATTTAGCCAGTCTAGCGCTTGAAATGTCATGTTCATTGTCGGACGAATTATAGAGTTTACTTCTTGATTCGATTTATACAATCGGAACAAAAATATGGAATGAAATGCCTGTAACTTTAAGAAATCTTACAAAAAATGCCTTCAGTTTAAGAGGAAAGTTGAATTTGTTTTCGTCTTAGTAACTTATATTGATCTCCCAGAAATCGTTCAAAAAGTTAAGTTGAATTTATTTTCCTTTTAATAACTGGTGGTTGTAAAAATGATTATCGATATCGTTGAGTGTATCAGTAGTCTCTAGTTATAACTGTGTTGTCATTATTAATATTGCATTAGTTTATCAGTAGTCTCTAGTCATTATGTCAACTCTAGCTTTTTTTAGCTCTCGTGTTACTTTTAGTTGTATTTATTTCCTGAAAATATGACCTACCTGCAATCCTGGATAAAAGTCCTTGGGACAATACTGCAATATCCATGTTTTTCTTTCATTTCTCGGTTCCCTATTAAACCGGTGTACTGTTGTATTCACTTTACGGGATGGTCTTTTTGAAGCATATTATTTCAAATGCAATGAATTTGTGGTTGAAATATACCTTAGACTTGTTTCTTTAGTTAATTTGTAGCGAATATTGATAATACACTGTGTTTTTGCGATCGAGTACTTTGCGCGATACTCGAAACAACGTGCATGACCAACTTCCGCTGTACTCGGCTCCAGTTTAGGGAAATGGGCCCGATATAGCAAATGAGGGAATTGTCTCGTAAAAACATGCCACGTTGCGAAAATAATTTCAGACGTCATTATTATTGCATGTGATCACCTACTTAGCTAAAAGTACCAAAATGCCTGACAAGCGTAGGAAAAATGAAAAGACAGACTTTTTTCCCAAAACTAGGATTCATACAATCCTGGACAAAAGTCTTTGGGACAGTACTGTAATATTCATATTTTTCTGTCATTTCTCGGTTCCGTCTTAAAGCAGTTCTTCCTCCCCCCACCCCATACAAAGTTGAAACTCGGAAAAAATTCTGCATACGCGCGTCCAACATTGTTTGTGGGGTGAGGGAAGGGGTTGGACCTGTGTGAATTGGAAACGCCCCAGAAATGCAAGTGTCTCAAGACTTTTGTCCATGATTGTAGATTAGCATAGCTACCCGCGGGCATGCACTTCAATCTTAAAATACAAATAAAATGTGTGTATGTATGTTTGTAGATATCGACGAGTGTTCTTCAGGTCACCAGTGTGACAGTAGTGCAACATGTTATAACACAGATGGGTCTTACACTTGCACTTGTGACAGCGGCTACACAGGAGATGGACGAACCTGTAAAGGTAAAATAAGATCTTGATAAAATTTAGGGGTTACATAATTGACCATTAAAACTCGCTAACATTCAAGAAAATTTTTTACAGTTACTCATTACATCGAATTCAACAAAAACAGGTAGATTCGTTGCTAGCAAAGAAACAAAAGATGGGGATGCCAGGGTGACAAAGACTGCAGTTTAAGGTTTCGTTCAAAACCGATGCTTCCGCGGTTTGCTTCCAGCGATTTTTCTGTCTGGGAACTCAGTCGTTAATATTTTCTGTCTAGCAGGTGATCTCTCAAAACCTCCTCAGCAGTCTGGGCCGTATGAAGTCATATTAAATCGAGTCGGTTTGCGCGTTGATGTAACTTGACCTGATGTTTAGTTAATAGGGAAGGAGGGAGACTTTTAGGTCAAGTAAAAAAAAAAAAAAAATATATATATATATATATATATATATATATATATATATATATATATATATATATATATATATATATATATATATATATATATATATATATATAGATCAGACTTAAAACCTATGCAAGTCTTGTCTGGCAGTACAACCAGGAATTAATATTCTTCCAAGATACCTTTAGAAACTAACACAACAGTCAGCTGCTACAGTTTTTAATTATCAGCAAGAGTAATCTCAAGTATGGTATAAGTTTGCCTTCCCGGGACAAATAATATCATTTAATACCGGCTCTGAAAAAACTGCAGCATCTTCTAGACTTTCATGTAGGATTGAACTGAAGAGACTGAAGAGAAGGGACAGCTCCAGAGTTCTGACAGAGATGGTAGAATCTATCTTCTTACCCGTTTTCGTTCCCAAGTAAACTTAAAAATTGGTCAATTCACGTCCTAGTTATGCAGGTACTTTAAAGAAATGTACAAAAAAGCGTGATGCACGTGCAGAATTCTTGTTTTGCTCATTGAACCTATTGCTTTTCTGACGTTTCCGTTGCCGTCGCCGTCGTAGTTTCGTAAGGTCCCTAACATCCCACGGGGTCGGCAGTCCAAAAACGCGCGAATTAGGGAAACCGTAAGTAAATTTCCACTTGCATAGCAACGCGATACCATGATGGGCTCTTAAGAGATATCAAGAGAAGTCACGCACAAGTAGCACGCGAAAGAAGACGAGAGAGCAAGTTGAGGGGAAAGAAAGGGAGAGCTCTTCTTCAACGCTCACTCGCGCGATCACTTGCCACTCGAAATGGAGAGGTTGCTCTCAGTCCATAACATTTCGTAGTGGTCGTGCGCGTTCGCTATTTGGTGAGCCAGTTTATGTTAGGATCTAAAGGGGAAAATTCGACCTATTTACATACACCGTAATTTTTAGGGAGTTATGATAACTCCAAAAATGGAGTAAAAATTTTGCGTATAGGATAACCCCTTTTTTGGGGTTATCTTAACTCCTATTTTAAATCCGAATTTGGGGTCATTTTTGCTCCTGAAAAAGAGTTCTTTTCACTCCCAGTCTGGAGTTGTTAAAATAACTCCGAAATGGGATTACTCTTTTTGGAGTTAATTTAACTCTTAAAGTGGAGTAAAAATTTTAGGTACAGGATAACTCCTTTTTGGGGGTTATTTTAACTCCTCAATATCTGGATCACTTTTACTCCTGAAAAAGAGTTCTTTAAACTCCTTTTTGGAGTTAAAATAACTCCTCAAAAAATAACGCCATTGTAAGGAGTTAAATTAGCCCCACTAGAGGAGTTATTATAACTCCTTGAAAATTACTATGTACCAAGTAACGTCCTCTATGACTCCAAGTTTCCTTTTTCACCCATCTCAACCAACCTTTAACAATTAACACCACTACGGCACTCACACGTGCCTGACATACAAAAACTGAAAATCCTCACATACGCGTGATACAACGACGCCCAAGTGTTCGCTCGGATAGTGTCTTGTTATCAAGATTATTATTTTAAAAACTTTCTTTTGTCATTTTTCAGATTTAGACGAATGCTCACTCAACACTCATGACTGTAATGCGAATGCTATTTGCACCAATACAGAAGGGTCATTTACTTGCAAGTGCGATGGAAATTCGCATTACTACGGCGACGGAAAAACATGCACCCTTCACCGTAAGCTTTCCTTTTAATTTTTTTTACTCCATATGGTTAAAAGAGCTTGCATCTCACTTGAGTCCTTGAAAAATCCTTGAACTTTGTCTTACATCTTCAAAAAAGGCTTGTAAATTTGAGATATTTAATTCTCATATTTCGCGTCCAATTTGCTTTGATCATCGATACCTTATCAAAATTCATAGGTACTGTACGACTACTTCATTTGAAAAGCGGATTTTGGCCCTGGTTCCTTGTAAATTAAGGTGGGGTCAGGCAAGCATATGTCGCTGGCAGTTCAAGCCGTGAAATTAAGTGCTTGTAAAAATGTGCTTGTAAAAATGACGTTGCCGAAGACCTTTAGCTTCAATTTTGTTTTCCCTTTTTTCTGTAGTCTATCTGTATTTGTTTTACATTTTTTTTCAGGCGGCCTTGATGATTCAGTCATTTTAGCGAATGACGTCGGCAAGATATCCCAGTTAAACACCTGGCTCCTTCCCCACCTGCAAAGTTCGGACAGAAGTTACTGGAAGTTGTGTTACAGAGCTACTAGTCACGGTTGGGGCTCGCGGACCTTTCACAGTTATTGCGACAACAAGGGACCCACCGTTACAATTGTTAGGGATGGAAGTTACATTTTCGGAGGCTACAACGACAACTCATGGCAAGGTAAGTCTCTGAAATATGGTGAGCACGTCGCTATGACCATTTATTTAGCTGGTTCAAAATCATGCATTTAAACCTAAGGTGAAGGATGAGGGTCCGTTGTACCACCATCCTGTCTTCTGCAACAGTGCATTTGTAAAGTAATAGGTCCATGAAAACCTGTTACTATGATCTCATGTGAATAGTAAAACACAAAACATTTTTCTGTTAATATTATTACGTCTTTTAAAGTGAACAAAAAGCAGTAAAATGTAGCATTTATGGCCCCTTTTAATTCACGGCAAAATGGTAACCTTCCGTAGTTATCGGACTACTCAATAATTTTAAGTTACTTATTTTATAATTTCTCGCTTAAACAAAACAAGATGAGATTGAAGTAGTTTGCAGCAGCTACTCCAATCTTGAACCAAGGCTTAATTAAAAGTTTGCATTGACGAATAATGTGCGATCTGATTTTGGGAGTGGGCACTTTGACGCGAGAGGCATTCCCCAGGATGATAAGTGAGATGGGGAGTTTTAACCAGAAGAGTCAAGTTTAACTTCTTTGTACGATGCGGTGTCTGACAACGTGGTTCGATATATAGAGATGCGTTTTTTCTCGTAGTGAGATGGAGGAGTTAAAGTACTGTTTACCGATGAGGAGCGTATTATCAGGTTTAAAACTCAAGGTGAAGCCGAGAGTTTTTAAACCTGATAATACGCTCCTGCTCGTTTTTTGAACGGCTTCAAAATCTCTGATATAGATCAACTCATTCTTGCACTTTATATCTAGATTTGGGGTTATTTTGGTCTAAAAAATTGGACTTAAAGTTTAGCCGTGTCTTTATCGGATACAAAGACACTCATTAAATATTAAATTCTTTTGTTTTTTCTTTATGAATTATTAATGAGTTATGAATTATTAATGAGACGTAGCTTTGTAAGCAAATGGCTTGTATGATAAGGACTTCAAAAGCAATGCAACATTTTTGAAGGGAATTTATGAAAACGAGAGTGTTTAATTTTTGTAGTCCGGTTGCCAATCAATTTGGTGTGGATTTTGTCAGTCAAGGTGGCTGTCATAATACACACAGGTAGCCCAAGCTCGAAATCTATAGTTTCTGTATCCTGCGAAAATGAAAGGGTTTCAATAGCAGAACGGCTAACCCCACTTAAAATGTGTGTTAGCTCTTTCCTGTGTGGTCCGCGAGCCGCGAGTGTTACCGCTTTTCTCTCCATATATAGGGTGTTTCAAAAGTTCGTTCCGACTTTTTTTTAAAATTTCACTGATTATTAAAAATACGCTTTGTAAAACTAAGCAGTGTTATTCATTATTCATTTAACATTGACTAACTAAAATATTAGTAAACAGAATGTCTTCCTTTATGTTTTCTGAGCGGTGAGGTATAGAATGTACGAGTTTCCAAAGCGTGTCTAAATTCGTCCAGTGTTTTTGGGGCTGGATCTTTGTATGTTGTCTCATCAACAATAATCCAGAAGGTCTCTAGAGTGTTCACATCACGTGAGTTTGCCGGCCCGGTCGTCCTTTAGTACAAAGTTTGCAAATTCTTTTGATACCATGCCTACATGAAGTGTGCACCGCCTTTTTTCTCTTCAAGGCTTTCCAACCTTTTTTTTTTTTTTTTCATTTTCCTGAAAGAGTAAAAAAAATAAAAGAAAACGGCAAAAATACGAAAGTAGAAAACCTACAAAATGGGCAGGAAAAATATGGCGGCAAAAAAAACTCGTGTACGTGCACATTTGGGGCAAAAATGAAAAAATATTACATTTTCTTCAAATTTTAGTTTGAAATTACTTTGAACGGTCATTTAGATAAATTTTTTACCTGAATCGGTTTACATTTGCCTAAAGAAGCATTAAATGCTTTGCGCGATTTACAATCGGAACGAACTTTTGAAACACCCTGTACAGTAGAACGTCCGCTAGCGGCCGCCTCTCTACAACGGCCACTTTTTTTGCCCCAGCGGACAAATAATCCATACATCGAATCCTGTTTAAAACCTCTCTACAACGGCCACCTCTTTTCAACGGCCACTTTCTTCTGTCCCCAAAGTGGCCATTGTAGAGAGGTTTAACTGTATACCGTATTTTCGCGAATAATAGCCGGTGGCGATTATTTCAAATATTGCTCACTAGAAGTCGTGCCCTAAATATTTCGTTCTATGTAAATCAATAAATAATCACATCAAATAAAATGAACATTGGCATTTAAAGTGTTCCAAATTTGGTTCCTTGATTAATTTTCACTGTCAATGTCCTCGGCGTCAGAGCTTGAATCGTCACTGATCGGTTTTTCTGGATCATACAGACTCCACTTTAATTTGCTTCATCCTCTAAGGAGGCTATTATTTTAAACATTTCCGTCAAAGGCAGGCGATTAATCGAGGGACGGCTATTATTTGAGAAAATCCGGTATCCTTTCCTTTTTAGAGAGAAAACCGGTTACATTAAAACCCATAAAAATGGACATAAATCGGCTCGCGGATCACACGGGAAAGACCTAACACACATTTTAAGTAAGGTAAGCCGTTGTTTTTTTTTTTTCTTTTCTTTTCTTTTTTCAGTTGAAATCCTCTCATATTGGTAGGTTACAGAAACGATAGGTTTTTCTCCCCCTACAAATCGTTATAATTCGAATGTTACGCAACAATGCCGATGCTCATATTTCGAGCTTGGGCTACCTGTGATAATACCAGGTTTTTCAAAATAGTCACCTGCATTAAATAGAGAAAGAAATAGATAAGATGTAAGTGAGAAACAAGATATATCAAACAAACGAAAGTCATGCGGAGGTACCTTTCGCAGTCAAATAGCCTCGTCAAGAAACGACCGGTCACTGCTTTTTTGTAAAACAAAGTATAAATCATTGGAAAATACAAACCAAATTTACTTCCAGGCGGCCCGTGTAACATTCAGAGAAACTTAAACGAGACATGATAATAAATGCAAAGTTTATTTTGTCAAATTTACAATCTGCACAACATTTCTTCTCTGTTAGGGGCATTTGATTGTCAAATCCGGTATTATGGTAGTACATTTGACCACCACAATAACCTATAACGTAACGGGAATTAAAACAGGCCTGTCTTTCAAAGTTCAGATAGCCAGTGGGTTGCCCGGGGTGGATGTTGATGTTTCGAATTGATCGTCGGCATAATTTGGAAGGTAAACCGTTACTAGGAAAAGAAAATGATTTTGCTTATTAGAAATTGACGTTTTGGTCGAATCTTGACCATTCAAACAGAATATCAATTACAGAATATAAAATTAAATGTTTTTGTCATGTTTCTGTTCTAATAGGCAATACCAGGGGCCCATAACCCGGAGCGTTCAACTGCCATAAATTCGTGCAACGGCGTTTTTACAAGTGAGTTTATTTTTAGATAAGTTTTTCCCGCGAAAAATAACTGTTCCACGAGGTCAATTCCTGCATTTGATCGTCGTTTAGACTGTTAGTAGCTCGCTTGGACCTTTTCACAGTCGGCTATTTCGAAGATGATTTCGATTTAATTCCCCTTGCGTGTATTATGCGTTGTCATCGATGAAGTAGACGTCCTGACTAGGTTTTGCAAATCTTCTTTTGAACTGCTAGTTTCCGTGAAAATACTGAAATTGTCGTTTAAAGTACTGTCAGAAGACTCCTCTGAAGATTCCTCACGTGTGTCCACTATGTTTTTTTCAATGTGAAGGAGTTGTCCTAGTTACGTATTAAAAGTTTATCATTGGCGCAATTGCTAGTGATTGGCTTTTCGAAAGCAATTCGCGGGAAAAGCTTATCTAAAAATAAACCTACTTGTGAAAACGCCGTTGCATAGGCGCAGTATGGAAGTTACACGTTCCGGGTTATGGGCTCCTGGCAATACTTCTTTACATACACCAATGAAAATTCTTGGTTGAATTCTTTTCAATTACGAAATTTCACCCTGTATCTGAATTTCTCAATTAATAAACAACAAACAATTAACAACAACTTTAAATTTGTTTAGACACAACTATAGACCTGTGCTGCAGATTCTGACTGCAATATATGTCTCTCTTCAGGGTCTTCAGGGTTATACCAATACTCTACCAACACCTTCATATACTCCCTGAAAAACTATTACGGATATGGTTACTTTAAAAATGACGTGATCACCTATCAGTATGCCACATACAGCCACTATAACTATGGTCCAACCTTTGGAGGAGGTTTTGATATCCACATTGCAGATAATGCAAGATACAATTCTAACTCTTACTTTAATTGCCATTCGTATACTAGTCCCTATTGTGATAATAATATCTGGACCGGAGGTATGTACTTCAGCCCAGAGGAGGTGGAAGTTTACTACGAAATGCTTGTTTAAGTTCGATTACCTCGGAAAACAAAACAAAAAAATCACTCTTTTTTATTTACTAGATAAACTTATTACTGGCGATCTTTAAATTAAGTCGTTTGTACTTGTTTAAAGCTTTTTTCTTCGGTAGTGGTTGTGCGTTTGATTAACCGTCCCGGATTCTGCAAAATATCAGGTGAATGGGGGTTAACTAGTTTGTCTACAAAGCCAATCCACCATAAAAACCCGTTTATATGAAGAAAACTTGTCCCTGGTCGAAGATTAACTCGCCTACCCGTTGCGCGGGCGAGCCAACTTTTCCTACATTTCCTTACAAAACTTGACGAACCGCTTTTCGTGAAAAACAAAATGTTGGCTCGACGGCTAAAAGATTGACCCCCCCAACCCCCACCCAACCCCCCACCTAGGCGGGTCATCTCCTAAGGGGCCAACTTTTCTCCATATTTATGTTTACTTAACGCTTTGGCTTGCCCACTTGGGTCAACTCGGTCAAGGCAATACAATTAGGGCATGCGCGGGCGCTTATGGCTCGAGCAAAGGGGTCAGCTTTTTTCTCACATGAACGCTCGCTAAAGTTGACTACTGTATACAAATTCCAAGCTCGTTCAAGAACCTTATTTGATTTTCCGTGCGCGATCCGAATTGTAAATTATCTGAAAGAAGAAAAACGTAAACAAGGATTACTCTGGGGCGTGACAAAACCTAGAATATCTACCCTGCATAGGGGTAGGTTAACCTTTGTAAAATCTTTTGTTGTAGAAAACAAACTTATTCAGGAAACTGAAGCAGTCTCTCATGCTTTTGTCTGGAGTACGGTCAATCAAACGCACCTTTGAATTCTCGTATTCAGGTAGTTATTTTTTTTACATCTTTATAGCGTTTTTACCGTGGGTGCCAGAGACTTTTCATGCGCGGTTTTCGGTTTCAGACAACTCTTTAAATTGTGAGCCGCGTGACTGAAGATCGACCGGCCTTCGAGCGAAAATCTTCGGCCTCTGGCCGACACCGAAGCATCCAACCGCACGCGAGGAAAAAAAAACCCTCTGGTACCCAGGGTACAGTGAAGCTGGTTTTCCCATTTTATAAGGTGGCTCATTAACTAAAGAGATCTTTGTTATAATGTTCTCTAAATGAAAAAAATAAATGAATAATAATATAATAGTTCGCTCATCTTTGAAAATCATTCTAATGTGATACTGAAGCAATATTGATTTCAAAAACCATTAAAAGTGTTTCATTGGGTGTCCATTTCAATTTTTGTTCAGCTTTTCTTGTGGAATCCAGTGAACCCAAGCACGACTTTTTTAAATTACTTCCTCAACAAGTGGATTGTGTGGTAAGCAAACTCGGAAGTCCAAATATTGTAAAATTATTTTGGTATGTAGGATTTTTGAACTTGCAGGGATTTGGTTTGGTGGTAAGCAAACTCGGAAGTCCAAATATTGTAAAATTATTTTGGTATGTAGGATTTTTGAACTTGCAGGGATTTGGTGTTCAAATATAGGAACGATTGAACCTTAAGTGGCCTCAAAAAAGTTGAGAAACTCACAAAGAATCTTTGGAAAGTTGGATTTCAGCCCTCTAGATTTGCAAAACAAACGATGAAGTTTTGCTTTCAGTAGCTCCCGAAGAGATTCATCTCATCCTTAGCTTTGTGAAACCAAGCTTGCGTTTTTGAAGCGAACTCAGCTTTGTTTTTGGTATTCTTTTCTAGTTTTTCGGTTTATTTCCCATTCTTTATTACATGCTCATTAACTTGGGTTTAATCAATTTCCATCTTTTTTAGACGTTCGATGCCACGTACCGATCTGATTCTTTGTCATATATTTCAGCAGGATAAAAAATATTGCCATGATGTAAACATTGTAAATGAGGGGAATGAAATTCTTTTTAAAACGATGTTTCCTTTTTCAGTGCATCTACTTCCATCTCCCTTCATCCTAACCCTCTGAAATAGAACACGCAGTGACATTTGTGTCAAACGATACCTACTAGTTGTTTAACTTTTAGTAACTTAAAAGTTTGAAATAAATACGGGGGGTCCTCATCCTTTTTTAGGACCAGCTGCTCTTGTAATAATTCCTGAAAATATTAATATGATTATATTTACCCGTGCGTGCTTTGAATACGTTTCAGAAGAGCTCCGACAATAAAGCAAAAGCCGCCATATTTTTTATGCGTGCTAACCATGCACGAAATGCGCAGTAAGCCGGAATGTGCAATGCGATACTTAAGGAGTAACCTTGATGTATGCTCAATGGATTTATTTTTTGTTGCCTCAGACTAATTGCTTATTAGAAGAGAATAGGGATAAGAGACTGGAGGATCGATAAAGGAAAGATAAACAGGATTAAGTTTGGATCCAAATGTACCCTGAGGAAGAAGAGGACCGACGAATTCGAATCGCCTGGCCCCCATTTCATGAGAAAGAAATTTTGCCGGAGTTATTGAAGTAAACTTCCAATTGCGTTTTTCTTCGTCTCCTCTGAGTCTACAGTCCTGCTCTTCCTGTAGACTCGGAGGAGACGAAGAAAAATGCAATTGGAAGGTTACTTCAATAACTCCGGCAAAATTTCTTTCTCATGAAATGGGGGCCAGGCGATTCGAATTCAGCGGTCCTCGTCTTTCTGCGATATTTTAAGGAATATTGTTGACTACAGGACATTAAAATAATAATAATAATAATAATAATAATAATAATAATAATAATAATAAAATGGGTCTTTGTATGGAATTATTAAAGGCTGTTTAAAGGACACGATGGCATCCTTTGACAAAAATTACCTCACATCACTGCATATACCCCCGCAATTTTGGAACTTCATAGCTCTATATCACGTTGAAAACGTACCACAGTAAGTTTGATCAAGAATAGTTTAAATGAAACTATAAAATAATGCAAAGAGTTTCTTCGAATAAAGCCTCTCTGGAACCTTAATTTGTAGGGTCTATTTCCTCACGATAAGCGTGGATTAGTTCTGAGTTAGTTCTGGAGAATACATTTACACAAACAATTCAAATTTTCTTTGTCACTGAGTGATGGCTGAAAAATTGTATCCCAGTTTTTAAGTAGCTCGTCCCTAGTGTGATTTAAATAGTGAAAAACAACTTAAACACGAGTCTTGAACCTGAGTCCAATCTGGTCATCGTGTAATAAAGAATTGCTAGGAGAGTCTTACGGATGCAGAAGAGAGCTGCACGCATTATATTGGACGCCGAAAGAACAACACGCACATTAACTATGTTTAATGCACTTAACTGGATGCCAGTTTTTATCGAGGCATACATAAGTAGATGTTCTATAGCCTCAAAGGGAATAGAGGGTACAACTCATTTTCAAAAACAACTTGTATACGAATTTGATCGCTAAGCAAAAAGAGACAGGTAATTTTGAATATTTTTTAAATAGTTTTGAATATCTTTTAAATATTAAGTTTGTAAAATAACTTGTTTTAGATAGTAAATAGTTTTCAAATAGTTAAAATTTCTAAATAAGACTCTAGATAGTTTTCTAAATACTATTTTTGTTTGTTTTTAAATTGAGTCTTTTAATGGTAGTTTCTATCTTTTTATAGTGATAATGTAAAATTATTTTAATAATAATTTTGTTTTTTTGTTTTATAGAGGGCCCCAAGTTTATCAGTTTTTTCATAACTATCACGTGTTTAACTTCTTTAAATAAAGGCGTTACCTTACCTTACCTTACACGACGATGAGATGACTATGATCTATGATAACCATGAAACTCTCCCAAGCATACTTTTGATAAGTTATGTATGGAATGATATTTAATATGTATCCCGTCAGACTCCTTTGTTTTATGTTTTTGTGGACCGGACGGCGCACATTTAAATAGCATTCCTATTATCTTGATCATATTGACCAATACAAACGTCGCAAGAGCTTCCAACATAAACTACAAGACCGTGGTTTTTATCTTTGATGTTTGCCTCCATTCACAGCCAGTCTCCTCTTCTTACTATGGTTAAGTCGGCCCGCTTTCACTTTAAAATACTTGTCCTAGCATGATTGGGGAGAATAATATGAAAACGAAAATATACGTGTATACCCGGTGACCCAAAAATTTATATGTAAATGGACTTTCACCTTTTGAGTCGCTTGACGTGTTCATTCGTCTTTTGCTTCTTTGAGCGTGTCATTTGGCTCAAGTCTCTTGCTCAAATTCTTTTATCAGTCAGAATTACTTTCTTGCAAATGAAGAGAAATGAAACAGACAAATATCAGTTGGCCTGTCACAAAAGTTAAAGAGACTTCATCTACGGGCTTAGAAATTTACAACGCAGTGCGAATTATTATCGCCTTCTCTCTCTCTCTTTTTTTTTTTTACACAATCGTGGAAATTGGCCGGGTGAATATGAAATTTTAAAAACCCAAAAACGTCGCTTTAGCCAGATTACCTTTATTCTTATTTGACATTGAGCAAGCACTCTTCAATTTTAACGTAATTTTCAAGAGCACATCACATACTGCAGTAGTGTCTGATATTGCTGTTGTTGTTGTTGTTAAGGAACTGGTCATTATTTATCGCCCGGTGGAGGTGGGGGGAGAGGGCGAAGGATTTTAGGGGGGATCACTTAATTTTTGGGAGAACAAAAGGGAGGATGGGAGGATCATTCGTAACTAAGAACCTAAAAGGGGGATCGCTAAATATTTTCTAAGGATTCAGAGGAGGGACCACTAAAATTTATTTGGAAAATGAAGACATGGATTGGGGGGGATCGCAAAAGTCGTCAAAAGTTGTTAGGGGGGATCACTTAAGTGAATTAACATTCAAAGGAGGGATCGGCTAAATTTCACCTTGTTTAGCCCCAAATCCTCCGAAATGGTCGCGGCTCTGGTCAAGGTATTCCTTCTACATGATTTCACGATCGTTCTGCAAAATCGCGCAAAACTGAAATCTTTCAAAACAAGGGATGGGGTAGCCGGCTTAACCCATGTATATGACCGTATTGGTCTGTACTGCGTAAAAAGGAATAGCCGTTGCTGTAAAAAAAATCGTGTAACTATGTTTAAAACAAACTTTTATTTTCAATTTTGTGATATAATGAGACTAAAAGTTGTATTTGATTCATTGTGTTAGTATATTGCAGCGAGGGCATATCATTCCTGACAAACATATGTTCATAATATCCTTTCTTTCGGACATAATTCTGTTTCTTTGAAGAAACGAATGCTTAAGTCGATTTTGCCTTAACTTTGGAACTATATGTGTATTTGAATACATGTAAACTGTACATTTTTCTCTGTAATCCGTTGAAATCAAAACAAAAAGCTCACTTTTGCTTTTGTTTGGGTCTGACAGCGGAGTATAGCTACTAGCATCATCAAAAAAGACAATGCTACTCAGATTTTGTAAAAAAGCATTCAGGGCTTTGATAGGCCTGTTATGTAGCCGAGCGTTGAGCGCCTCACTCGAGAATTCGAATCCACAACACCTGCGTCTTCCTTTTTCAGTTGAGTCGGGAATTCAAATGTGGTTGCCTGGCAACAACTCGAATAAGATCAATGTCCAGTGTGAATAGAACCCAGTGTGATAGTCGTCACGAGGGTAGAAAATCACCCACGTAAAGTCGAATCTGATTATAATTGGACATGCTATTCCGAAGACGGCGGCATCAGAAAATCCACCGACTTGAAAGACCATTTCTACTGCATTATAAATAATATGCTCTTTTTTGACAATGCTTAAGGGCCCCGTGAACGATGGAAAAGGCGAATGCATAACTTTAGTTTCTGTAATTTCCTTACTGTCGTTAACAATCGTAGTCGGTCATGCACTGATGCTGATAATTTTGTGGAAAGATCCTTTCAAGCGGTTTCGAACACCACCTACGTTTTTGGTTTGCGGAATGGTATTGGCCAACTTCACTAGCGGGCTAAGCGCCGGCCCTCTTTTTTGCTATTATGTCATTTCTTCATGTTCGGCACTGAGACCTCCATATTTAGAACTGCTGTGGAACGCTGCCAGCTTTATGCTGTACTGGACAACAAGTGTGTCTTATTTATCAATGCTCGGATTATCATTGTGCCAGTACATTGGGGTGAAGTTACCTCACAAGCACTCTGGGTTAGTCACTAAAAAGACTACTGCAAGCTTCCTTGGAATTATTACTTTCATCTCATTTCTAATACCGGGTCTGCTTCCTCTTGGTGTTTCCCCAATCATAGTGGAAAAACTACAACTACACGTAACGTTTCAACTGAGTACGTTTATCCTCTGTGCCTTATATGCAGCTCTCGGCGTGGAATATTTACAGCAGGTTAAACGAGCTAGGGAAAGCAGCAACAATGCAGTTAAGGGAATGACCTGCGTTCGTGTTAGAGACAGAAATTTCACTAGAGCCAATCTAATGTTGCTCGCTTGTGTTACACTTTTAAGCTTGCCAATAATGATAACATGGCACTTATCAATGTACGGAGAAAAATTATTCTCCTCCAAAACAGGCCAAACGGCATCTGGAGCTGTAACAATCACCTTATTCATGATGAAAATAACTCTTGACCCCTTTATATATTGCATGCGGCTTACGATACACCGCAAAGCGTTTAAACGCATTTTCAAGTGGAGAAATCGACAGGTTGCGCATGCCGGCTCCTCGTAAACAAGACGCAGTTACTGGAAAGAGAGTCTATGGTCTTACAGACACTGGGACTTTCAAGCAGGAGTTTACATAATTGTCCGAATAATGTTTACCAACATCAAGTTTAACTCCTTCAATGACACATGGACATTTGAGTATGAACATCATCTAGGCATACATAAAAGAAAAAAAAACTTATTAAAAAGAAAGGGACGACATGTTTCCAAACATCGAAAGTATTAAACACGGAAACTCGAGTTGAGGATTTACACTCATCCCCAGTAGTAATGGATGCCTTCAGCTAATGGACAGTCTTCTTAAAAGTAATTGCAAGAAAACCCATAAGCTTGGCCTCCATTTTTAATATGCTTACCATTAACTAAAAGTGGTAAAATTTGGACAAAATGCGGCAACGGAAACTAAATAAAAAAATGAACAAATATAAATCAAATGTAGTTTAAATCATATCGTACTTTGACTTTGCGTGCCACATTGAATAAAGATCAATAAACGCAGTTGTTTAGACGAGCCGGACAAGAGCCGGATGTGTGGATTACAGTGATTTTCTTCTCAGTTTTGCATATTTTATGATTTTCTTACATGTTCAAATTACTTCTTCAAATTTGTCATTTACAATTCATTGTCTCATGGTGGCGGTATTACGTTTATAACCTTTCTGGGATATGTCTATCGTAAAGGTATTGATTCACACTTATATTGAAAGAGTGCATGCTTTCATCAAGCTTGGTTTTATTTTACCTTATTGCCATTAAGATGAAATAAATTAACAGCGAGGAAAGAAATAGATTGAAATTTGAATATTAAATACAATTTCTTGCTGGAAAATTTGCGCGAATGGGCCGCGCGAATGTTTGTTGCATTGACAACTGCCGAATGCTGAGAAACAGGGCTCGCAGTATAAAAGATCTTAATTCTGTGGTCTAAGTCATTTGATAATTTTTAGCTTAATTAACGTACATTATATTTAAAGCACTGAAAACGAGGGGACTTTCATTGCATTCTTAAATGGATTTGGGAATTGTTAACTAAGCGATCGATATTTCAACCGAGCTATATCGACTGAAAAATTGCCATAACTACATCATTCAGAAAAGAGGAAAGTAAATATTTACCGTTATGTCCACCCAGCAATGCTGTTGGATAGAGAATTGAAAGCTGCCTGTCTTCTTGGGCAAATATACTGAATTGTGGGCAAAACTATAAGCCAAATAGCGTTCCTGGCCTGCTGAGCATCCGAAACGATTTTCGACTCATCGGTAGTTCCTTCGTTTCTGGTTAGGAAAGCTTGGTGAACGAAACGGGCATCTGTGGCGAAAACAGCCGTCGTGTACGAAAGAACTCACGAAAAGAACTCAGGAGATGCTGTTCGCCGATTGGGCACAATAATACAAAGCATTTTTTGTGCCCAATCAGGAACCAGCATTCTCTTGACCGTGTGGAAATGTTCCGGTTAGAGTCGGTACCCAGGGGCTTTTCCGCCCATGCTTGAAAACTTTCGTCGCGCCTTTTAACCCGGCCCGACTGACTGCCCCTGGGTCTCCGAGGATGCTGATCAGGGAGCGGGGTTCTTTCATAGAGCGGCTTTTCAGCCTTAACAAAATATGCCACCTGCTGAAGTCGCGCATTTAAACTGTCCTCGTCATTTCCCCAATAAATTCTAAACCGAAACTTTAGGGTTCACTAGTGTGTTGTGTTGTCACATGAACGCAATCCGCCATTTTTAAACCTTGTTTTTTAATCAAATTTTACACTTTTTGTCAGAAGGGGAGATATTCCTAAAAAAAAGTATTATTTAATACAAAAAATAGGAGAAAGAAACTTGTACGGTCAAGGGCTAAATTTGACAGTCGCGTTCAGACACCTGACCACGATCCGATGTCCTATGAGCGTCCCCATCATGTGAAAATTTTTTTTATTTCAAATTTTACACATGCCATTCTCCCAATCATCTTTTCTGTGGATACTTAATAATTGCCAAATAAACTTTATTACTGTACATGTTATGAATGTATTTTTTTAACAGGGAAAATTTACGTCTACACCAACGGTCCTGGTTTCAGCAGAACATATAAGTGCAGACTTTAAGCATGATGCCGCAAGCTTGTAGGTGGAAAACGCAACCAGTTCCTCCTTTTACATTTGTCTTCGAGAACTACAGAATTATGGTCTACATGAAGATATCTTTGTGGTATATGTTTTCTCCTTTATAAATATACCTGTCTGGAGTTTGCTGAATCGTGGCTAAAGAAATTTCAAGTGCATTTTTAAAACAATTTGATATCTAAGTCGAATGGAAAGTAGTTACAAAATACTAGCTGACAACTTTATTACTGGCAACAGACGGTAAATTTCTCTCTCAGAAGTAACAGGATTTTGGAATAAAATAAACAACATTTAAAACGTCCAGAAATTATAACCTTTTAGTCAGCCAAACCATGAGGCCCATAGCCAAATGTCTGCTGAAAACAGATTAAGAAGCCACAATCTTTGAGCACGGAATAGGCTTTCTAAGACAAAATCACCTAAACTAAATACTTGCGAAGCTTTTTTTTTATGCTTGGTACCGTAATGTGGTAACACCAGCTCAACCACATACCTGAGTTTTGTATGTCAACGCGTTCGGTAAATCGCACAATATTACTTTCGCGGCAGTCACAGAACTTCCAAAAACCACTCTTAATATTTCCACATTTAACACGGGCGAATCATCGTCAAATTACTCAAAAAAACTGTCGCATTCTGCACATAAATCGTCGATGGAAACTTTTCTCAACTCACACAGTCGATTTATTCAAGATCCTGGATGTAAACCAGCGGCTGAAAAGGAGAGATGGAGCCCCCGCCTTCCAAACAATTTTTGACGAAGACGTCTTTGGCCTGGTCAGAGATCAGCAACAATTTCCATCCCGCCGAATAAATTTCACCCCTAGAACGTACTTTGTGAGGCCAAAGACTTTTTGCTGCCAACAACAAAGTTCGCAATATCCAATAATTTCTTCTCAAACTCGGGATCAGTCTTTCATCCGAGTAGCTAAATGGGACCGAATACGAGAAGACGTAGCAGACTTTGCCAATCGTGAGACTTGTTCCTTCGTAAGGCTTAATGATGCCTTCCGGAAAGCTTTGCTTAAGGCAACCGCAAAAAAAAAACTCTAAGAATGCCCACTAAGAGAGCCGTGTTCAGTCTAGAACGCGGGCTGACTTCAAACTGGCATACACAGCGAATTATATAGGAAGTTATGACAGGCGTTTTTTTAAGGGGGGGGTTGTAGGTTAATAGCCATTGAGAAACGCATGACAGTCTATCTAATGCAGCGTATTATTCAGCCAACAAATTCAACAATATGACGTTGTAATGACGTCAAATAATTTGATTGACGTCATTGTGTCAATCAAATTGTGCCTAGACGTTGGAAAATATTTTATTCTGTGTAATTTTGGTGGCATCTCGAGAGGTTTTAAAGTTATAGAGGGGAGCCTCCAAAGCCAACCCATCCCGGTCGCAGGGAGCAAAAGAAAAACGGTTCAATGATAAAATACGTGAGATGAGCTCTCGCAAGCACTGTGGATACAAGTTACAAATCGTTTTAGGGCACATAGCTCAATTATTTTTACACGGGATTTAGGTATGAGATAGCAATCCATTTTTGATTGCTATCCCTCTTTTTAGAGTTAGTTGGCCTTTGAAACAATCCACAGGCCCCTTTTCGCTGAGAGCTATCATGTGGATTTTCCAAACAACAATTCCGTTTCTACGAACTACAATGGTGCATTTTGCAAGGTAAGACGCAACTTTACTTTTAAGTAGAAGAAAGGTCTTTATCTTTTTAGATGGAACAGTAGACTTGCGGCAAGTCGACCTCTTAGCGAGGTCGGGACGAAGTCGCGAGAGGTCGACCTTCATCCCGCGCCTTATTAAATCCGACGAAGGACTTTTTTGAAAGTCTAATGGAACAGCAGAGAAAAGCGGCTGTCAGATAAGTACATTTAGGAATTTTAAATCATCTTTACGGCTGTAAAACTCCAGATTTTATCCCAACTTAATAAATGAGAGTAAAAATGAAGGAAGTCGACCATGACTGATCTCACATCTAGTTGCCATATCATGTCATATGATCTTTCAAAAGAAAAGAGATGAGACTAAGAAATGGACTTGTGTTTTGAAAGTTCATCAAAGCCGTCGGAAAATAATCTTGAACAAAGAAATGTTTTTCTTACTCAAAAATTACCTGTTCCTTCGAGTCAGCGCAGATATATTCCAGCCACCCATAGTATCACCATTCATTGATCAAAAATGGACGGTGATTCAAATGCTATATCAACAGCCTTATTTTTATGTTCTTAAGACGTCCCATTTGCAAAGAATTACGACAAAGAACCCATAGTATTAATAGCAGCCGGTCACAACTCAGAGGGCAACAATTTGAAGCCAATATACATGTCCGTAACCCCATGGATTGAGGTATTCTCAAGTTATTTAACTAACATACAACGCTCTTCAAAATAAGTAAGATCAAGCTGACAACCCTGTAGGAAATGTGCAAATGAGCTAAATTTCACCATGGTCTGTTCATGCAGCCTGTTTATCAGTCATAGTCGCGCAGCGAAAAGTACTATCTATTTGTCCATCTGTTATTCGAGGTCAGTTTCCCAATTTTTTTTTTGTTTAGATAGGAATTTAAAATGACTTAGTTACAGGCGTTTAAGCGAACGTCTCTAAAAGTTGAGCTATTACTGTTTGTTCTTGTAAGCGAAATATATGATGCTAGATGATATGCTTATTTTACAGCACATCAAGACCAGCGAATTTCGCATTTGTCTTAAGGAGTTGTTCGCTGACCAGCATGATCCTGTGACTGTGTCCTATACAGTACTGGCAGGTGTGTTAGTAAATGATAACAACAAATTTTCTTTGCGAAGACCTTCTCATGCCCAGCAAGCTTTGGTAGATGTCAAGTAAACTTAGAGGCTCCTTGTTTCATATCTCCTTTAAGTAATCACCAGTAAATGTATTTCTTAGTTCCTACGTTCTACAAGTAAAGGTTTCTATTTCCAAAAACTTCTCGGTCAGCTAAGGCCTAAGCCAAACGTAGAAGTTTGCATGGAACGAACCAAACTCTAATTTGAGTCGACCTAACTTAAGTTAATTAAGATCGGCTGCTTGGATAACACGTCGATCTTTATAGGGCGCGTGGAACCAATCAACTGAATCAGATCAGTAATAAAATTATTTTCTCCCGAACGATTTTATATAGATTAACGAACAATTTTTTTAAAATTATTAGTTTAGTTCCTCACATGTGAAGATCGACGTTTGTTCTGGAGACGATCTTCGGACGCTCTGTCCGTCGTAACGTGTTGGACGATCCAAACTCATTCAGCGAACTTAACTGAGCCAAACGTCGCTAAGAAGGTTTCATGAACTTAAATCACTAAGTTTGGTTTGTCTCATGAAAAGTTCGACGTTTGGCCTAGTCCTTGTTACGCACAATTTACTTCACACAAAATGTTTTGTATACTGCAGATGTTTGTAAGCCGGGCTGGTCATATTTTAATGGTATTTGCTACTCGACAAGCCATTCGTGCAAAAATTGGACCGAAGCTGAGAAAACCTGCCAAGCATACAGCGGCAACCTCATCACTGTGCGGAATAAAGAAGAAAACGTCTATATTCAGCATCGGCTGAATGGTGCCAAGGGCTGGATTGGGCTAAACGATAGGGTAATTGAGGGTACTTTCGACTGGGTAGATAATCAAACCAGTAACTTTTCATATTGGGCGAAGAACCAACCAAACAACTTTAACAATGAAGATTGCGTCCACACTTTGGGAGTCAGTCATAGTTTTATGTGGAATGATGTAAGCTGTGGTACTTGCCATAACTATACCTGCTCAGAAGGTTTGTGGGTGACTTACCTCTTTTATATACCAACTTTTGTACGCTATATACAGTTAAAATAGTGTGACGGGACGCGTGAGCGTAACCCGTTTACTATAGTGAGAACTTAGTGTAAAAATTTAAAAATATACATATACTATAATAAAAAAAAGCACTGTAAATAATGCTCCAAAAGAAAATAAAACTATTCAAGATATCTAGGATCTAAAATGATAATTATAAAGTCTTTAAAGTTCTCTTAAGTAAATTACTTATTCGGCTGTAAAAAAATTCATTGACGACTACTTCATACCCACAAAAGTCCAAAAGATGTTGAAGGAAGAGAGTTAATAATTTCGAAAGCGATAATCATTGTTCATGTTGCAACTTTAAACGTTCTAAAGTTGTTTAGTGTTCCCGAGAGTACAGAATTCTGCATGTTATATAAAAAAACTGCCTTACTCTTACTTTCGACCAACTGCTTAAGCTTGACTTCTAAGTCTGGGCACCACCCCCCAAGTACGTCCATTATGATATTATATTGTTTCACTTCATATCCTTGGTACTTCTGCTTTAACTCCGGTCCCAGCGGAGCGGTTCATATTGCGTGGTTTTCTCCTCCTCCTTTTTCTCCCGGCTTGTAACCCATGAGCAGCTCATCTCAAGCGTTATAACTTGCTTTAAATCGTGTTTGATAATGCGAGCATGAACTCTGTTGGCTTCAACTTCTTGGTGCTCCGCAAATAGGGGGACATCCCAGAACACTTGCGCATCGTTCGCCTCGTACACTGGCTTCGGTTTCAGTGGCGGGTACTAAGGTGGCATCGAGTCTTTGACAAGACCTAGGTCTTGCAGAGTCTCGAAGAAAAGTATCTTCAGGGCTGCATTATTATGTCGAGTAATGTACTTGTTCTGTGCAAGGGCAGTACAACAAGCCAGGACATGAGCGACACTTTCAGCGGCGTTATTACATAGCCTGCAGGTTACCTCACCCATCACATCCGTGTGCTTTTTCTGGCAGTCATACAACCTCGTAGGTATTATTATTATTATTATTATTATTATTATTATTATTATTATAATAAACGTTTTCAATGTTATCAGGAGCCGATATTATTAATTGCTTCCTACACTCTCCTAGAACCGGGGCCAATCCATGGTCCTGAGGTACCAGGGGAGTTTTATATTTGATGGACACTGAGAAACCTTCTCAGTATGTGCGCCGTTCCTAGCAGGATGATCTTTTGCAGCTCATTAATGCTACTGGCTCCAGGAATCTTACCTATATTCTGGCCCATTCCCTCTCTAATAAGTCCCAGTGCACCAACAATAACCGGCACAGTCTCTGTCCTCATTCCCCACATTTTCGTGGTTTCAATCTCAAGATGTTTGTATTTTGAAAGCTTTTCAATGACTTTCGTGGCGGTGTTTCGGCCGGATGGTAGCGATACGTCTATAAGTTTGCAACATTATTATTGTTATTGTTATTAATATTACTATTGTTATTATTCATTAGTTCCTATTCAAAAGCAATTTCCGATTTGCCCCAAGCCTGTTTCAAAAAGAGATTATAAAACTACTTCCTCATGGAAGGGTTTGCTCTTGACCTCATTTTGAAAGTGTGGGTTTTTAGAAATCGAAAATGGTCTATTTTAACTTTTCCAGGCGTTAAGAGTTATTTTTATTTATTTTATTTGTATTTTCAGAGAAGATCCTAATTTACTTTCACCAATTTACACCTCAATAACCAATAGGCCATTTGCACGATGCTGTCATTTACTGTATACTTCCAGAATCCCTCAGGGTATTGCTTTCTTATGCAAATTACGGCTTTTGTTGTGTAAACCTCACTGGCATTAGCAAATTTAAATATGAAAGAAAAAACGAAATGAATTCTGGTCCTAGTAGTAAAAAATCGTCATCGTGCAAGTGGCCCATTTCTTTGGCTTCTTAGGTTACAAAAAGTTTGAGTTTACTGTAAGGGGATGTTTACATGAGAAAACTCGCACCGGCGCGAGTTTCATACCAGGATGACTTTTTGATTTCTTATCGCGTTTACATGACGACTGGGCTTTTTCGTATCTCGTTAGTCGAAGGTACACGTCATGTTAATAAAATACACGTGTGATTCAAAATCGCAAACATAACGCATGCGCTACCCGTTTCAGTATACCGGCAGAGCGATTTCACACCGAAACGGGTGGTCGTTTCGCGCTTACATGATACCGTTGCGAGATTTCGTACCGGAGTGAAATTCTCGCCCCGGTACAAGAACCGGGGTGAACTCTCGCCGGGGTGACTCGCGCCGGCATGACATTTTGTGGTGGTATCATGTAAACAAATATAGAGCCATGAGAGGGAACCTGAGTGAACTCGCTCCGGGGCGAAAGTCGCCCCGGCTTCATGTAAACACCCCCCAAATCTGTTTGTTGCAGAAATAGTATAAATTAAAGGATTAGTCTACAAAGAAAAAAGAAAAGAAAATTAGACGTCACAAAAAGGATCCATAAGTGGGTGCTTTTAGCACTGCTTCACCCCTTCATACACAACAGTTTTCGTACTGATTGAATCATATGAGCAACGATTTTAATTTTTATTCTTTAGTTAAAAAAGTTGATTGATAATCAGTCGTTTCATTATTTGTTTTGCAGGTTGATTGACTGAACGATTGTTTTATATTCGTTTTTAAATTTAGATTATGGTGAATGTGGAGGAAACAATAACCATTGTCATCAGAACGCCATCTGCACAAACATCATTGGCTCCTATAGCTGCCGGTGCTCCGTAGGATATGCCGGTGATGGCTTGCTTTGCAGAGGTATTATGTTCAAAGCCCCAAGTTTTAGTTTTTCGTTTAATTCATGAAGCATAATTATCAAAGGAAACTCGTCCAATGGTAAACAGACATCTCTTCTGAGTTTAAGGCTAGCTACAACCCTGGTCAAAACGTCTTGGGACACTGGAGGAAATTTGGCACAAAGACGCACTTTGCTAAATTACCTCATATTCTACCTCTTAAAAAAGCTTGGGGATGTTGTTGTAAGAGGCTATTTCTGCTGTCCCCCTCTCCCCCAAGCAGTGTTGATTGTGTTGAATTAAAACTTGAATACATAACGTCAACACTGCACCCAGGGGGAAGGGTGGAGGGAAGATACCTCAATTTGACGAGCTATTGCGTTAGTGTCCCAAGAGTTTTGACCGGGATTGTAGAATAAAGTAGAATAAGCATGCTTTCACCGTAAAATTGCGCGAAAATGTATTTTTCAAAGAACTCGTTAGAGGGGTTTTAAATACTGAGCAGCGTATAATAGCTAGTAGTGAAATAAGCGTTTAAATATTGGCTGGAATAAATTAGGAGGGAAGTCTTCTCAGCAACTTTTTTTTCCAATTTCAGAGATGATAAAATTTGCACATTATTTCCTAATCTCTATGAATAACAGCAATAAAGTTGATTAACTATCCTTATTTTATAGTTCATAGGTATACAGACCATACTATAACTTTAAATACAGCCCAAAAAGAGAACTAATTAAAAGTTCATAGAATGAGAACATGTATGTACGGTTGTTGTATGTCCCTGCAATTTCAATATCTAAGCTCTTGTAGACTGAGTAGCTTAACGCTCTGGTTTCAACTTTCTCGACAAACCCGAGTGGGGTCGCTTGTTCCTCAGGCTAAAGCTTTCGGGGATTCATTACGAGAGGCTCTTTTTGTGTGCTGATGGGGCCAACACGCCGGAAGCTTCGGCAAAATCCTACGGTAATTTGAATTCCTTGAAACATTCCTAAAGAGTAACTTTTTTGCTTCAGATATCGACGAATGTTCTTCAGGTCACCAATGTGACAGCAGTGCGACATGTTACAATACAGATGGATCCTACACATGCACATGTAACAGCGGCTTCACGGGGGATGGACGAACCTGTCGAGGTACGAGCCTTTGAATAAATATGGAATACTGCAAACGACAGCTCTGTAAAGCTTTTCGATAAATTAGGTTGGCTGCTAATAGGTGATATCATACGTATAAGGAAACTTCTCATTCTACACAAAGTGAGTCAAGATCATTGTCCTGATTATTTCTGTCACGTCCTTTTTCAAACATGTACGTTCTTCACATGGTCATTAAAGAAAGTCAGGACTTAGCGTAGGAAGTTCGCAAGTGCTTGTCGTTTATAGAATAAGTTAGGTCACTCACACATAGAGACAGTTTTCGACGCAATGTTCAGAAAAACACTACAGGAAAAGTTTACCGATTAAGACAGCGCCTCATTAGCACATTTTAAGGTTTGCAGATCCTTTTAGACATTTATGGAAGTTGTAGAATTTTTCATTTTTATTTTAAATTTTTTTATAACTAACTGACCTGTTGTGTGGAGGTCCATTATAAAAACTTAACCCGGTGAACGGTAATGTTTGCACCCTCGTTATTCTTCTTGTTCTTCTCGTTCTTGTTCTTCCTCTTCTTCTACTGATGTCGTTTGAGAAGAAACAAAAAGCAAACTGCGGTGATAAACATAAGAAAATATAAACAGAAGAAAAAAAACTTTAACTTGACGTTTCGTATGTTCCAAACATACACTTTCAGCAGCGGCCCGTCCCCCTCCTTATTTTCAGGCTGAACTGAAGCCCTTAGGGTTAAGTAAAATCATTTTCTCAGCCGAGCCCTCTACTTACTTGCAGATCTGAATTTGGTACTGTTTACATGCATAGAATTACAATGCATCTCTTCTCAGAGGTCTACTACTGTTCTTGTTAGGTCTTGAAAAGTTTACTCCTATGACTATGACATTCGTTGACAAAAAAGAAGATCCAGCTTGAAATAAACAAAAGTCTTCTTATCTTCCAGATGTTGATGAATGCTCGCTCAACACCCATGACTGTCACTCCCATGCAATCTGCACTAACACAGAAGGGTCATTTACTTGCAAGTGCGACGTGAATGCGCATTACATTGGTGACGGGAAAACATGCACTCCTCATCGTAAGCCGAATTATATGTTTTACTTCGTTTTGTTCTCTTCGTTTTACCACTCTGCCAGTTGTTAACCTCTGTTTTGTGGGAAAAGTTATCCACCAATATTTATGTCGCCAAAGAGCAACCTCTCACCTGCCTGTCGATTATCTTGATTATGCTCTTGTCTAAGAATATACTCTTCAAATTTCAAATTTCAAATACACCGCAAGAGTGATTTTCTTGTTTATTTTTTTGGTTGCTTCTGACTTTCTTGGGTACTTTAATTTTGAATGTATTTTTTGGTTTGGTTTGTTTTGTTTTGTTTTGTTTGTTTTTTTTTTTTCCGGTATAGCACGCCTGGAGTCGTTGTCACTTTTCGAAATACAGAATCTTTTAAAAGGATGAATTTCTGATTTACTTTTTTTTTACCAGGTGGTCTCGATGACTCCGTTATTTTAGCGAATGATGCCAGCAAGATATCGCAGTTAAATACCTGGCTTCTTCCGCACTTGCAAAGTCCAGACAGAAGTTATTGGAAACTGTGTTATAGGGCCTCTAATCATGGCTGGAGTTCACAGACCTTTCACAGCTATTGCGATAACAAAGGACCCACTGTAACAATTGTTAGGGTCGGGATCTATATTTTTGGAGGCTACAACGACAATTCATGGCAGTGTAAGTCTTTGAAATAGCTAAGATACGAAGAAGGTATCGACCAGTTGAACTGAATTAAACCCGGGGGTTATTAACCCCAAATGTAAAAGGAAGGAGAGACTGGGCCTTTACAATTTTCGCAAATAGTTCAAAACAAGTCTAGTCTTGACTAGATTGTCATTAATCACTAGCAATACTGCCTATTGGAGAGGATTGTGTAGTAAGAGTTTAATCAAATACTCGCAACCTGACAATCTAATCCAAAGTCACAACATTGCTGAAGCATGAACTGCATTCTAAAAATTTGCCATCGTTATTATTGAGAAAAATAAATGACAACCAGTAGTTATGATTGGCACAATCTGGCACATTCTCCATGCATTATCGGTGATGACAACTGTTTTAGCCACTGGCTCCTCCTTGTACAACGGCTTGGCCGTGCGTTTTCTTGTACGATCGGGGATTAGACGTATCCAGATCTAGAAAAATAAATGTTTGTTCGGCTTAAAACGCTCGAACATGCCACCAAAAAACTGCGCTGAGTCCTCGGGCTGCTTTATTTATAATTTATTTATTATTATTTTTTTTTAACAAGCGCGTTTGAGGTGGTGTATGGGGTTTAGTGGAGAAGGTCGGGCTTAATACTGCTGTACTGCAGCTGGTTCTACCAGGTCTTTTTCTTGAAATCTGAGAGGGGTAGACCGCCATTTCTGTTAAATTTCTAATGGAAAAGCTCTGGGGACGAAATTGGTTGTAACTTGTGATGCTTCAATTCATGAGGATTTGAGCGTGATTTATGTGGTATTTCACGCATCGTATACTACGTCCCTGCTCTCAGTATTTACTAACCCACCACCGTTTCCTAAAAATACACCATTTTACAGCTGTGGGCTTAGTATCCTAGACTTCGAATGAGTGCAAGATTGAGGTTGACCATGATAAATAGATAGATAGATAGATAGATAGTTCCGAGCGTAGCGACTTTATAATCTTGTCGCGCGCGAAGAGCGCGCGCAGTCTCCTAACTGCGCGTGGTCTTAGCCAGCTGCGAAATTCGAGGCTTCATAAATAAATAAATAAATCTTTCTTTCTCTGAATGTATGCTTGGTATCCGCCAATGACGTCATGGAGGATTTTGCGTTTCCAGGCAACATAGACTTCGCCGCTGATGACCAAGGGGCATTTTGATGTGCTTATTCATCTTCTGTGATCAAAGTTTACCATCGGTGAATCACGAACAATTTCCCATGCAAATGACACACAAGCACAACAAGTGACTCCAAATCCTCGCCCAGGAAGATTTTCCACCGAAACTCTTCTGGAGCGAGAACGCCGACTTCCAATTCAGCGTGAACAACGAAGGAGAAGACGTCAAGAAGAAACCGTGGAGCAGAAGGAACATCGCCTAGCACATCGAAGGCAGCGCCGACAACAAGAGACAGAGGAACAGGAGATTGGAATCAGAGGCATTATGATCATTCACTGTCGAAAACCCATCCCCGCCGATATATGTAGACAGGAGCCCATCAATGTAGATCAAAGTCTGCAAAGTTTCAGCTCTGTATTACGGCCCGAACTATAATAATTTTCCGGCGAACTGCGCCGGGCCAGATTTGTTCTTTGTTTTTGTCTTTTTCTAAATCCGGGCGCCGAAATAATGCTAAATCTGCTTTTCAATACACTGTTAACAATAACACCACATAATACGCGAAAAAGAAGAAGAAGAAAAGAAAGAACAACGTATGGACCTTTAAGACGATATTCGCGGTTGGTCACCCATACAGTTCTTATCCCCGACCGGCAGGGCTTAACTTGAGTGCCGTTACCAAACCGAGTTTCGCGAGGCTTATTGCGAGATACGTATTTCTAGTTTAATTGCTGGGCTGCCCGGCAAGCCCAGTCATAAAATGGGTTTTCGGTCGTCGGTGTCAAAAAACGGTCATCCGGGGGAGGGAAAACACGAGGGTCTGGTACGTAGAAACGATGTTCTCACAAATGGTTTCATAGGATTTTCTCTTGCATGAACCCTTGCACAGATACTTTTTGTACCTCGTCTGCGCTCCCCCTGAAAAACCCACAAAGCGTTGCGAACCTAAAGAAGGCTATTTGCGTTGTTCGAAGCGATTCGATCATGGGAGTCACTCTATAATTTTATTATTGTTCGCGTTTAAGTCAGTTAGATGATATTGGCGCTGGGAAACTCAGAGAAATGCTCGCGTTGCATTCAAACCGACACGCCGTTCACGGTAGGTTCACACTAAAAGATGACTGTGAGCGTCATGTTTGGAACGCCGTGGCCGCTTCGTGAACTCAAAGAGAGAATTATCGATCGATGTAGTACATGAGCAATTAAGAAGCACAATTTGTGAGCAAGGTATTTCACCAGTTGACGACACTATGGCTGAAGACTTGATTGTAAGCCTTCGTAGTCAGTGAAGCGAACAACTCAGTTGCCGATGAATGGCACTACGCACGTCTATGAGCGAGGGACGTGACAACTTTGCCATGTTAGAAGACTGGCTTTTCCTTTAAATATTTCCTTCTATTTAATGCAACACACGTCACTTTGGAGGTCTAAATTTCGGATACTGAGGATAAAGAAGACACGGACAAAAATAGGGACTCTGAGAATTTCGCACACAAGTTTTTAAAAAGCTTCACCGGGACATCCCATCCGGGAGCTTCACAGAGAGCGACTTGAGGAAAATAGGAGCTATTACTGACAAGGTTTGGTGCATGAGTAGAGCATACAAGTGTAGCCCACGTCGAGGTTTCAGGGTGTTTGCTTTTGTTTGTATTTGTATCTTGCTAAGCTTTTATCATTAAATTTGTGCATGATCTTGTGATCACAATTCTGTGTTTTCGCCCATTCAGCAAGCACGCTATATTGATGTCAGCATTAGCGAGTTTCAGAAACATGCCTTTGACTGTTTTCAGCTCTCGTGATGTTTCTTGATATTTCTTCTACCATTTTATGGAGATGTAAACTGAAGTCACCGCAAAATGGAAACTTAAAAAAGCGTATAATCCATTTATCTCGAAACATAACACACATGACTTATACGACCTTTATTTTCGTAAAGGTGTTTTGAATACGAACGAACACAGTCATTGTGAGGGGTAAAAACAGCATTAATATAAATGAACCATAGGGTTTTAACTAAAATAAGGGTCAATTATTGTGCCGCCTCCCTTCAGAAAAAATAGCCCCTTTGCAGCCCAGCTAAAAATCGCCTTTCGGCGATTCTTGTTACCAATACTTTACAGCCCAAAGGTTGAATTGCGTATTTACAAATGATGCAATTGATAAAATTTGTATATAAAACTAATTACAGTAAAAAAAGTGTAAAAAATATGATAAAAAGTTTAAAAATCTACGTACAGGATCTAATAATAAAACTATTCCTAAAACGATCGGTCTTGCATTTAGGTACAATGAAGCGCCTTTTGTACCTTAGAGCATAACCATGTTTTGATACAAACCTCCTTTGTTTTCTTATGGAAATGATACTTAAAAAGTACCTAGTTAGAATTTAAAAAAAACAACACGATTTACATATTAAGAAAGCAGAAATGGTTGTATAAAAGCAAGGTCCACTCCAGCCTCGTTTCCATCCATAGTTGTAAAATGGTCTATTGAACTCCACTGAGTTACACTGAATCTCTAATTGTTTGTGTTCTGTTTTTTGTCTCTTCAGGGTCTGCTAGTTATCAATATTCGAGAAATACCTTCTTGTACTCACTGAAAAACTACAAAGGGTATGGATACTTCAAACAGGACATAACCAACTGCTGCTATGGCAGCGCCACTTACAGCCAATATAATTATGGTCCAACCTTTGGTGGGGGCCATGATATGCATATTGCGGACAATGCGGGAGGAAATACCAATTCTTACCTTAGATGTAACTCGTACCGCAGCGGTCCCTATTGCGACTATAGCATCTGGGTTGGAACACGATACGGGAATAATTTCCGCCCAGATGAGTTGGAGGTTTATTATGAAGTGCTTGCTTGAAACCGGGCGGCAACATAAAACAAAGAAAGCATAAAAAACAAACAAACAAACAGCGACAACAACAATCACAACAAAAACATCAACAGACCAACAAAAATAAGACACAGCAAAAAATAAATAAATAAATAAATAATCAGCTCTCCGCCTTTTACTATACCTTTGCTGAGAAAGAAAGCTACCATCTCTTTCATGATATTTTCAATGAAAGTAACGCCAATTATGACAAAAAAGGTGATTAGCAAGTAACATGTACAAATTATTATATTTGGAGCTTTCGCATTATCAATAGCAGAAGTTTCAACAACAAAATGAGGTGTTAAAGCACCAACAGCGGTTGGCTACAAGGGAGTGTTTTCGGTTGTTAGAACTTATCCTTGTAGGTATTCTTAGGAATCTCGAAGGCCACCTTGTATAGCAGTAGCGAGTAGAGCCCCTTTATTGTTCTGGCGTTCCTATATTTTATGACTCTCCTTAGGGACCAATTTGACTGCACCGGGGTTTAACAAATAACGGCAGGTTAGCTGGAGTTTTTAGTAATTTAGTAGCTCGACAGAAAGTCAAATCTGACAAATTCATGTGGGTATTGCATTGTTTTCTATTATATGTCGTTTGCTGCCACCCTCGTCCTTCACATGAATAATAGGGTGTCTAAGAAGGATATTTGCCCCGGCCCCATCTTCAACTTCCTTTAGCAAATGTTTGTGCGGATTCAAACTGTTAAGATATTCGTTAAATTCATGGAAACAATAATGGTCGTCCTCAGGTCCCAACGCCCTTCCAACGCGTCCGAAGTGATTTTGTTTTGAACTGATCAAACGGAGAAACCTTATTCGCGATAGAGGAAATCCCTTCCAAAAACGATTAAACACAGACAGATAGGCACAGGTAAGCTATAAATTAACGTTTGTAGATAGCTATAAAGAGTTTGCCTTCCCTGTAAAATATTCTTGTTTTCTCTTACTGAGCACAGATCAGTATTTTCTCAGTATGACGCTCTCGACTAGCTCTCTCTTTAATGATATAGATCCTTTTGTTTACAAGCGTGGCCACTTTATCCTTCTATGAGATTGACGCTATTCAGTAATACTATTTTATGCTATTATTGTTTTTTGTTTTTACCTTTTTAAAACAGCCAGTGGTTTGTTATGGGCAATGTCATTTATTCGTAATTAATTTAAATGCGAAGAAATAGAACTGAATTGTCTTAGCAGAGTAAAGAGCCTCTATGAGCATAGATGAGTATGGTGTTCAATCCCCGCCGAAACTCAGCTTAAGTAGCTAACATTAAGTTATAACCCCCAACTTTCAACTTCACGTTTCAACATTCAAAGTTGATAATTCAACTAACTACCAACATTTAACAGGATCACTCGTTCTTGAAAATTAAGCGCGCAGCATTCTACTTCTATACCCAACATGCATGTAAGTTGACTGCAACCAACATTCAACTTGAGAAACCAAAAACCAACAACTTTGCAATTCAGTTCAGTATTCAGTACTCGGCGTTATATATAAGTCTGATCATCTTTTTTGATAGTCCGATGTTAAAAAGATATTAAACTCGTATCAGACGCAATGGGTAGTGAATAATTGCCGTCACGGATTAAGCCTCATCGTTGCAAAATCTTGACCTCGCTGCACGGACAGCGTTGTCCGCCAAAATGTATCTTATGTCAAAGGCTGACGTAACAGGCCAACCACAGGGGTTTGTTATTTCCAAACTCCGGTCTCCGTATTCCCTGCTTTTGCACAACCTAGATAGCGGCGTCTGTTGCCAGCCACTGTGGAAAAGATATTTAGAGGAACATTTTCATTAAGTTCTCCTAAATCAATATGAGCAACAAGGAGCTCAACAACGTCAAAGACTGTTAATAGTGTCATTAAAAAAGCCAATTCGAAAGTTTTAATCAAGGGAGGAACTACGAACTCCAGTGCAACAGCAGAACAGGTCCAAAGCCTCACATTATCCTTAGAAAACAAGCTCAAGTTTTAAAATCATTATTGGTGATACTGGTCAGTGGATACCCTGTTTTGACAGCTGTCAATTGATCACAACATGGATGTGCAATATCAGGTTGCACCTGGACTCCCAAACTAGCTAGAAAGTGTGAGATTAAACATTGGTTGCCCTGTGGTGCGGACCGACGCTCGGTCGGTCGGTCGGAGTACGGTCACGTGATTACCTACTCCTCTCAATAATATTTGGAGACACGTAATAGGCCATTTGCACGATGGCGTTATTTTACTTCTACGACCAGAATCCTTTTCGTTTCTTCTTTCATATTTAAATTTGGTTATCCCAGTGAGGTTTGAATAACAAAAGCCCTCATTTGCACAAGAAAGCAAAACCTTGAGGGATTCTGGTCGTAATAGTAAAATGATGTCATAGCGCAAATGGCCTACTGGAAGATTTTTTCAATGCACCATGGACCTTAGGTTTTCAATGATTTGTAATCCAATAAAGCCTTGTTTTGAAGTCTACGGTTGTAAAGCGTGGTTTTCTTCTCTTTCTTCGGTGGAAATTTGCTATTACTGGGTCTAATCGGTGGGCAGATATACTTGCACACTCGTTAGAGCTCTCTTATTCAGCTTTCCCAGTTTATCAAAGTCGCTTGTGAGACAAAAGTGGCATAGAAAAATGAGCAGCTAAAGTTGTCCGACGCAAAGAGATATGAGAGGGGAAAACAGGCTTAAGATGAGGTCAAAGACTGGTCATGGCGATTTGGCACGACCCTAGACCAGTCGCAACAAAAATGCAGTGCTATTTTCTTAAGCCGAAATTCGTATCCGCTGAAATTCTTTCAGCTCTAGCCTATTCCCCTCATTATTTCCCTTTCAAGCATCATTACTTCCCTTTCGAATCGGTTAATTTATTCCGGACTTTGAACAGAGCGACAATTGGGCACTTACACGAAGGGGGAAGAACAAAATTTCCCACCCTCGGTGCACCCCCAGTGGTCTTATTGCCTAGTCTTTACCTCGGTTTCCGGGTAACGCCTGGACGATATTTTGTAAAATGGCGACCAATGATGATCAAGTGTGTGCGTATTTAAAGCAAGAAATTCATCGCAGGCTCCACAATCATTCTCTTTTCTCCTCTTTAGAGAGTTTTAATATCTGGACATGTGAATTGGAAAACCGAACGAGGATTTTATCGGCTGAACGGGCTGCGCGTCAACATTTTGGAGGGAAACAGTGGAATGTGCCAACTAGGTAAGTGGTCATATTTTGGCGTAAAGAGAAGAAAATTCTGTCTCGATCTCTTTCTCTCTTATAGCATATTGTTTACTACTAAATGAGTTTAAGTATATACGTTGTCGAAAATTTCGATAAAGCGAACTGAATTTCAAGGTCGGTCAGTATAAAAATGTAGAGCGCAAACTTTAGGCAGGATAAAAAAGGCAGTTGTATTGAAGGTAGTACCCTGGTCCCAGAGGTTTTCCTTGAAATGTTCTTCGTGAAAGAGAGAGCGAGCCGTGAAGCGGCGACAACGTGTCGCGAAGCGGCGAGGAGGGAGAGTAAAACCTCTTGTTACCTTACCTTCCTTTCATGCAGATGACAGGGTCAGGATCTGACCCTCTGGTGCTGATTGGTTGATATTTTTAGAAACATGCAAATCAATTTGATTGGTTCGTTTGACTGTAACTACTGAGGGGATGCTGAGGATATTTCTCACCTCCTTTCTTTTGGTAAATTTTGCCTCCCTCTACCAGGGAAGAAAATTGTTTGTAAAATAAGTGAAAACTGCAAGGGGTGACAGGCCGCACATCTTCACTGGCGTAAAACCTTTGAAAACCTTTTACATATTGCCTCAGTGAGGAGAACTCTTTCAGGGATTTTACACTTTAAACATTGAATGATGATATGGCTGGGGAGCAATGGTGGTGTAGTGGTGAGAGCACTCCCCTCCCACCAATGTGGCCTGGGTTCAGTTCCCAGGTCTGGTGCCATATGTGGGTTGAGTTCATTGTTGGTTCTCTCCCTTGCTCCAAGAGGTTTTTCTCCGGGTACTCTGGTTTTCCCCTCTCCTCAAAACCAACATTTCCAAATTCCAATTCGACCAGGAATCAGGTAGACGAAGAACCACTATGTGGATGTGCTACCTCCAAATCGTTATTTATTTATTTATTTTTTTTATATATTATGAGGTTTACACGATCTCAGAGTACAATGAGCGATGAGTAGCTCTGCTCAGCATGCATCCTTTAAATATATCCAGAACTGACACTGGTTTTGGGTATTTATCACGTCTTTGGTAGAAAAATGATTTAAATACCTTATGATGCTGTGTCCTTTGAATGTCAGTTGATAACCCAATCGCTTCAGTGTAAATGTTACTTCTGCTTTCTTCTGAAAGGCCTTAGCCTCTAAGACAAAGCATTTGAGACACAACATCTGGAGAATCTTTCATGCAGCACTTCTGTCATTTCCTGTGCAACTCTCTGCCAACCAAATTCTTAGGGCCTTGTTACATTTTTCCCAGAATTTTTCCAATTGCTCTAACACCCTCAAAAATTGCAAAACTTCTCGTTGGCACCTCTGGCAGATTATCTGCAATACTCCCATCGTATTCTGTTGTATAACATCGGACGACAGAACTGATGATAATGTTTTCAAAAACTCCTTGTTATTTTTTCCAAAAACGTTGATCTTAGATCGGCCACTGGTTTTAAAATCAATTCTGCAAATCCTGCAGAAGTCATTGAGAACAATGCTGGTTTCTTTTAGCGAAGTTTTTATTCCTGGACTCTTGCTGCAAATTACCTGGCAAATTCCATGCTTGACCCCGATTAATGCTATCAACAAGATCAAGTGACATCTTATCACTCTTCACTACCCAAGTGGAGATGGATTGTTGATACAATATTAATTTCCCCGGGTCAACTCCTGCTCACATGTTTGTTAAATTGCCATATTTGGTCACTTTTTTATTAGCAGTTTGACGCGTTTGACAGCTGTCATCTGCATGTCATCTGCATGAAAGTGAGATTTGAGGCCAAGCCAAGAACCAGAGGTTTTCTCTCTCCCCCCTCTCCTCTTCACAACCCATTGTTGCCATTTCACGTCTCGCTCTCTCTTTGGCCAAGAAAAATTTCAAGAAAACCTCTAGGATCAGGGTATTAACTAAGGTAGGTGTTAAAATTCCTCTTCCTTTCTCTTTTTGTTTTTAGGTGATAAATTTTCAACTATGGTTTGCCCCTAAGCACAGCTGATTCAGCTGAGTTTCGCATCTCAGTGAATAGTAGTAGCCTGTTAGTAGTAACAGGCCTCTGTCTTCCATTTCCTACACTAACACTGATAATTCAACGGTCTGCACATTAATGCACAAGGGCTAGGAGTGTACAGTGAAAACTGTTTTATGCACTCAGTCAATTCCAATTTTATTGAGTTAATTAATGAATGTCTTTGTGAGGATGTTGAGACACTAGGAAAAAGGTTATTATTTTTGTAAAATCTTATGCTTGATATATTCATTTTTCTGTGTGGACAAAGATGCTTAAGGTAACTTTTCCTTTGCTGACTTCAGTTCTGTGCTCACATCAAATGTATGTATACTGTACACATGTAGTTAAGAAATATTGAAACAATGGCCTCAGTTGCTTGGTTTGACTCTGACAGTGGAGTAAAGCCAGTAGATTATATTTTCTTAGAGAAAAGACAATGCAATGCTGACTTCATGTAACAAACTGTGCTTTGAGCACAAAGGCAATTCTTTCTAGAAAAATGATTTTAGCAGGACGTGAAGAGCATATTAAAATTAGGTGCCCTGTAAAGCTTCAGCTGTGTGTTTCAAAAGTATGTAGTGACTGCGGCAGTCAGTGAAAGTTAGAAGGATTTGCCTGTATGGGGACATGGGGACAACTGTTGCTCCTCAGTCACAGTGGAGTGTTTTTCCATACAAATCCTTGTACATATTGTACGTTTTTAAACTTTTTAACTGTCATAAAACCTTTCCCTTATGCATTATAGGCCTAAAATTTTCGTATGTCCGTGACAGAAAAGCCCTCTAAAGCCTCTAATTTTCTTTTTGTTTTTGTTTTTTTAAAAAGCCGTTTCATAAAATAATCTCAGGAAGTGATGGCAGCAGTATTTTTCTATATTTGGGGTGAAACTTCTAACAAATAGCAGGGCTTCCGATAGGTCGGGGAAGAAAAAGTCAAATTTCGCGGGATTTTTGGAGACAAATTCGCGGAAAAATCGGCCGATTCAGCGGGAATTTCGCGGGAGTTTTTGGGGCAAACCTCAACAAAAAGGAATCGTTAAAAAAGGGCCGATTTTGTGGTTATTTTCATCGCAAATTTCGCTAGAAATCGATCAGTTTTGGGCTGATCAGACCAGCATTTTTAACGTTTTTCAACAATACGGTCCCGAAATGCACCAATGGCAAGGCCTTTAACATCATGGCTAGTGGCCAGTTTTTCGCAACATACTTGACGCCTGGTAGTTTCGGGACGTTGTTTGCAGTGACGAATTCCAAGATAAATTTGCAAGTTTACGGCAAGTAAATAGCCCCTATAGCTGAAATAAGTTTCAAATATGTTGTACAGACATGTATTTGATAAGATTTCTACCGAATGTCGCGGTATTTTTCGTGTTTTTGTGGATTTACCTGAATTTCGTGGCTCCGCGACCGCGCGAAATATCAGAAGCCCTGAAATACCCACCTTTTCCTGGGTTGGTGGAGGTGGGGTTTACATTACCTCCTGTGTAACAGGTTATCAATAACAATGACTTTTAAGTTTTTTTTAATCGAATTTGAAGATGCAAGGGAATACAACCTAAGTCACATTCTTTACTCTTGTGTGACTGCAGCTGAAAGTTGGTTTGAGGACAATAGTCTGGTTTTACCCAATTCTATTTTTGTGTTTTTTTAAGTGAAAGCCAACTACCAATGTACTTCACTCTCAGTCTGTTGCCATAGTATGTGTTTAAGTGAAAGCCAACTACAAAGATGAATGTATTTCACTCTCAGTCTGTTGCCATAACATGATAAATTTAAGAAATCAGTTGGCTCACATACAAATCCCCAAGCAAAATCCCTACCCCAAGGACTGATGAACAAAACATGAAAACTTAGGCGAAAAACTAAATAGCAAAGCACTAAGAAAAAAAAACATGGGAGACCGATTACTTTCTTCAGGAGGATTTGCGTAGAAAGCTTAAGAGGTGAATGGTCCTTAAACTCGCTTCAGCGCGAAAATATGCACAGACATTATGGGCTCCTGCAAATACCAAGAGAAGGTCATGTTATCTTTCATAATGTGCCCTCGATTATGTAAAAGGGTTCTAATGCACCTAAACAAAAAGATAACCCGAACAAGGTTTCCACGTTTTGATTTACTTTTGAATCCTGGTTACGGTGTGTCCATTTTCTTAACAAACAGTAGTCGTGCGCCATATATTAGCATGTAACTCGAATAGCGCCGTGACGTCAGTTTGAGGTCCTTGAGCCTTGGTAGATAAATCGTAGAGGAAGGAATTTTAAGTATTGTTAGCTCCGCAAGTATAGTTATTTAAATCAAAGATAGTGGAGGAATACTTTCACTAAAAAGTGGCGGTACGTTCAGATTGTTAAGAAGAATCAATTTATAGGGAATGCGCATTTAGTAAAACAACACTTTATCTGGGACTGATTTTTCTTCTTGTTTTTGTAAGGTTTGCATACATGTAAGCACATAAGCTGTATTGGGAGTTTTAAGTGGTGACTGCTCCTTAACCTCGCTTTAGAATGGAAATGTGCAGCTGCCAAGAGAAAATTAACTTTTCACGAAATCTGTGCTCGATGTTGTAAAGGGGATTTAATGTGCCTAAACAAAAACGGGATGCTGAGAGAAAGTTCTCTTCTGAATCCTGGTTTAAAGGTTTGTTTATTTTCTTAGCAAGAAGTTGTCGTGCACCGTGTGTTTACATGAAATTCCAAAAAGAAACCTGACGTCAACTTATACCTTTCTTAAACCTTTTTAGACGTAACTTTCAATTTTACGTATTTGAAACTCCCGGCAGGCTTAGAATTTTTGATTAAAACTGTATCACTTCCCTAAAAAATGACATTCATTAGCAGCAATTTATGGGTGTCTACAAACTGTAGCTGAGACAGATAGTCAGTTTCTCTCGGAAGATTTGCGTGAAGCTGATCGAGAAGCTGTATTGAGATTTTTAGAGGTGACTCTCTCTTGACCTCGTTTGAGCAACGAAATGCCGATGTCTACAGAAGATTTTTATTTTTCACGACACTTCTTCTGGATTATCTTAAGGGTTTAAATAATCTGAAACAAATTAAAATGATTGTTAGACGAAGTGATCCACATTTTATTTTTTATTGTGATGTTGAATTTTTGTTACGCAGCGTCTATTTTCTTAACAAGAAGTTGTCGTTATGTACTGTTATTTTTACATGTAACTCAAATAATACCAACGTGACGTCAGTTTTGAAGTCCTAATGAACCTAGTCAAAAAAGTGCCGACCATTTTACGCATTGTGAACTCCCGGCAAGTGTAGTAATTTAAAACAAACCTAAGCACGTTCCCTAAAAAGTGAAAGTGCACTGTTCAGTAGCACCAATTTATAGTGTGATCTGCGTTCAAAAATGAAACTGTAGCTGAGACTGATTGTTTTCTTTCGGAAGACAGAACTTTAGTGTAAGTTTTAAGAGGCCGGAGTGGCCCTTAACCTCGCTTTAGTGCGGAAATACATGTATGCAGGTGTATAGAACCCAAGAAGACCATCCTTTCACGAAACCTGTCCTCTCGATTATTTAAATGGGTTTAGGTGTTACTGAACAATAAACGATTTTTAGAGGACGTTTTCCATGTGTTTTCTTTCTTTTCTTTTTTCCATTTTACTTTCTTTTTTCTGTCTTTATTTGACTCCTGATTACGCTGGGCCAGCTTTCACCACAAGAAGTTGTCATACACCGTTATATAATTCCAACACAATATAGTATCAATGTGACGTCAGTTTACTGTTCTCGAACTTCGCTAGACGAAAACTTGATACTTAAAATTTAACGTATTGTGAGCAGGCAGGTATAATAGTTTAAATCAAAACTAGTCGGTAAGGTATAGGGTCCCTAAAAAGTGCCTGTGCATTCGGTGGCTATAGCACAAATTTACAGTGTATACGCAATACAAAGACACTGTGGACCAATTGTTTCGTGAGGGAGATTTGCGTTAAGCACAGAAGCTGATTGAATGTTTAAAGAGGCTGGACTGGCCTTTAACCTCGCTTGAGCGCGGAAATGTGCTGTTCCAACGGAGGATCATATTTTCTCGAAATCTGATTTTAAAGATTTGTGTGCTTGAAAGAAAAAAGAAAGAAAGAAAGAAAATAGTCTTGCATATTATGATTTTATTTATTTGTTATTTATGTTTTCAATTACCCTTTTTTTTTTTTGCAGATCAGCAATTTTGTTCATTGCTTTTCTTGTTTTTGGTACGCGATCGTACGCAATGTACCAAGTTGAAAAATTTGTGTCATTGGTTAGGAAGAGTTCACGTTCGTTGTATTATTTTAAAGAAGATGTATTGGAATCCTTGTTAGACTTGTGCGATGCGGTAAGAATTGTAAATCGTGTTAGATTGTTTCCTTTACTGAGAAGCTTGATGTGGTAAATAGTGCGCTGGTCTTACGACGGGGAACACTCTCTTTTAACTCAATTGTTATTCCCTCCTGCTAAATCATAAAATAACATATTAAGGAGCTAATCTCACTGTTCAGCGCTGAAACGTCTGATTTGAATCTGATTAACTTATTTTCAACCCCGTTATGCAGAGAGGTTTCAAATATAGAAAAACTTCCTTATTCCAAAACCAGTCGACTTTAAATAGAGCTGCAAAACACACCCACCAAGTATTTGCCGAAGAGGTAAGATACAGCAAGTAAAGCACAGTCAAGAGTGAAGACAATGTTTGCGAAGCAAGTCTTCGGTTACTTCGCTTTTCAGGTGTTATTTTTGCAGCTCACTACAGGTAAATGTCTAAGCTATTGAATGATTCTTGACTACTGATTTCTTACAGTTTCTGCAAGAGAAGAAACATTTTGTAAAACAACTTGATTATTTATTCACGTTGCAGTTAAAAAATGTTCAGGGAGGTTCTATCTTTTTGAACTGTCAGAAATGACCGCGAACCCACAAATTTAAGAAAGTAGATGATAGTGAAAAATGTCTTAACTTTATGTGTGTATCCGTTCTTAAATACAAATGATTCCTTGGTAAAGGTTTGTGTTAAGGTCCATTTCATTTCATTTATGAACTGGGACATGAAGCAATCCCTTGGAGTCAATATGGAGTGGTTACAATTAGGTATATTTGTCTGTGCAATGACTGTATACAAGGTCGATGAAAGGGAACGCATACAGATGACAGGGTATTACTTCAATGCAATTAAATAATATTTAACTTTAAAATACTTTTAACTTCTTTTGCATGTATGGTATTCAAGCGTATGTCTTTCAAACTGGGAAGGTGAATATTTCTGACACATCCCAAAACAACCATGGCTGCCAGACCGTTTCTTTCAATACTCAGTTCCAGGGTTCTGGAGACGTAAAGGTGTTTGCAACGCTTAGCCACGGAAGCGAACATGTCAAAATCCACGACCCAGCGTCTGTTTGGGTGAAGTCAGTGTCCACATCTGGTTTTGATGCCTGCGTTCGTGAAGCAGGAAGTGGTTCTGGAGGCGGGTCTGTGATCAACTGGCTTGCATTTCAAGGCTCGCACCAAGGCATTGATTCAGGAATCGTTGAATTTGATGAATTCACCTCAAGAACCCAGTGCAAGAAGATATCGCTTAGTATTCAGAATAAGGTGAGATGGTAAAGTAGGTGCATTCAGTCAGTCATTTTAAGATACTTAGAGGTGACAAACAACCCATTCTCACTTGCGCAAAATCGATCAGGCATGGAAGAAGAGGTCTTGAGCCTAAAGCTACAATCGAGAATTCGGAAGTCCTATGCTTTGCTGTCATGATTTGTCGCTTAGAAGGAAATTTGGAAAGTGTCACATCAGGGTTATGTAGAATCCAAGACCGTACATTTTCATTCTTCTTTTTTTTTCTGTGTCATAGATAATTGTTCTTTTGTTACTCTGTCTTACTTAGGCGAGACCCCAGGTGTTTGTGACTGTTCTACATAAACATTCCGACCGACTATTTGACGCCATGAATATTTGGCTAGAAGACGTCAAAAAGGATGGTTTTGTGGTTTGCTTGCGGGAGTTTATGAGCTTCGACGGCATCCATTCGGGTCTCAAAGTGGTAAGTTGAAATTAGAGAAGTCTGATGTTCACTAGCCTTTATTGCTCTTTTCGCGAATTTACCACACAGGTTTTGCGTGGCAAAGAAGTCTACCTTGGGGTAACTAAAGGGTGTTCCAGTTCATGTGGCATGACACACTACACTACTATGTATATCAAATTCTGTATCTTGCTCCTTCTTCAAGTTGTATTACAAAAATTAATATATCAAAAACAACAGTGACAACAAGGAAATCGTTTCAGTTAAGTCTTAAAAGCACTTAAAAGTGCTAGTTTATTTAGGTTAGATATACCTGTTCCCAATGCTTTTTGCAGCACTTCTGTCTGTGGGAGATTCCTACCTCAGGACGAAGAATAATGATAATAATCCTCCGCAAATCTGCAAATAAATGTGTGTATATTCTGTTTATTTTATTTATTTATTTTTTTATTATTATTTTTTTTTTCGTGAAAGAACTGGCTTGCGTATGATGTGCTCCCGGCGTCTTGGAATATTACTGAAAGAGGAAAGCTTCATTTTTCTGGACTTGGTGCACCAAAGAAAGGAAACAACTATGCTTTTTGTCAGGTTGGAAAGACTAACGGTCTTTTATATGTATTTGATGAGCCTCTGTTTAGTTTAGTTCAGCTCAAGCGAAAACGTGTATCGCCCATTTCCGAGAGACACTATAGCGGTCCGTTTCTATAATGAATGTACGGTTATCAGTGACAAAATAGGGTTTATCGTATCGTTGATCTTGATTTCCGTTGCCCACTATACTTGAATTGTACAATAGTGCATCCAATAGCAGTCTTTATAAACCTTGATGTTGCACTATAATCTCTTTTATTTATATCTTTTGGAAAACTTGCAAAACTTTAAGAGGAAAAACACTTTTACCTATTGTTATAGGCAAGTTAAATAGGAACTGTCTTACATAACAACGACAGCAACAAACAAAAACGTTATTGACAGCAATGAAACCCATAACACATACACACTACCTACATTAGCAAAAGCTATTGGAGTCAGGCATTGTACATGAACTGATGCCTTTTTAAATGTCTTAAATGTTAAAACAAAGAAAAAGACAGAAAGGCCTTTGAATTATAATAGTTTTTCTTAAACCGAGGTCGGAATAAAAAGGTGATAAGCTTTGAATAAGGCTTTAACTATGCATTTTTGTGTAATAATGGTTCTCAGGATTATAAATTCGAAAATCCATCTTACGAGCCTCCCAGTGTCCTCGCGTCTGCCAGACATGACAACGACACCAGTGCTCTGTGGATGAAGGCTGATGGTCGTTTTAGCAACGCTTTAAATGTTTGGATCGAGGTAAGTAATTTTCTAGACCATATACAGCCATTTATCTTTCCTCATTTATTGAAACTGATTTTAGGGTTCTGTTTTCAATTACCTCCACACTCCAAGTAACTGAGTAAAAATAAATTAAGCGCTCGAAATGGCTGCACCGCTTTTAAATTTGACTTGAGTCAAATTCCTCAGTCATTACTGTCGTTTCAACCACGGTTTTGTACCAAGCAATTTTTTAATATTTTTTATTTAATGTCAAATGTGGGCTGGAAAAAAACTGGCGAATAAAAGAACTTCATTCAATTTCAGTAAAATTGAGTCAGTCGAAAAAATTGACTTAGATAATTCTAAAAGGTTATTTTCTACACATACTTTTCTTGCGTTTGGAATTCTCACCCCACAATAGAAATACCCACTCTTTAAAAATCTAGGAACTAGGAACCTACTTAAGACGCAGAAAGCTTCACTTTTTTTCTCATTTTACTTGGATAGACTAAGGAAATTTTTGAACTGCCAGATATTTAATTATAAATTTAATACCTACAATCGGCGACAAAATGAGTTGAGACACTTCGCCCAAAATTAGGCTTTTTTACGTTTTATGAACTTCAAAAGGAGGAAATATAGCTTTCCTCCCCCATCCCCTCCGTACAATGTTGTGCCCTTGTTCTAGCTACCTATAGAAAACAACAAACACCCCAACTTTGAATGGAGGGGACAGGGGAGGGTGCGGATTCGTTTGTTCTCCGAAGTCACCCTATTTAAGTACAATGTCTCAACAATTTTGTCGCCGATTGTAGTTCATTGTTTAGGAATTCTATAAATGTTTTATACTTCAGTTTGACTAGAGTAGTAAATTGATCGAACTGAACAGTATTTCTCGCTAAATTTGTAGCAGTTATACCTGAATGAATTTGTTGTCTTCTAGGAAATCACTCGTTTGTCTTTCAAATTGTGCATCAAGGACAGCCAGGGAATAAGCAAGTCTCACGATCCAGTTACAGTGGACTATGCAATTGTGGGAGGTAATTTGTTGTTTGCATTGCATCCAAAAGAAGAAACTTTAGTCAAGATAACAAGCAATTTTTAAAACCGAAAAAAGAAAAGAAAAACGAAAAAGGACAAGTTTTTTGGACATATACACATGTAGTGAAGCTCTTAAAAAACGTAGTCTTTTATAATTCTTCTGACTTAAGTCTCGCCCCGCATGCCGAATGGGGCAATATTTTTCCCAAAAATGTATTATTTTAAGCACTTTTTGCTTCAGGAAGATTTCCAATAGGAGTTGAGGGAAAAAATTGGTTAAATTCCTGTCGTAAGAAGTGATTTTGTATTTTGTCTCAAAGATATTGACCCGTGCACAAATGTTACTTGCGATTACCATGCCATCTGCAAAACTTTCTCTGCTTTTGATGCCCGATGCGTTTGTGATGACAATTGTCCGTCATATGAGGAGCCGGTGTGTTCATCCAACTCGACAACATTCAAGAACAAGTGCTTTTGTCTGCTGGACATTTGCCAACGCAAAAGCAACCACACCCTTTATCATCCTGGAAGCTGTACAGGTAGAATTCTTACTAGGCTTTTTTTACATTACTTCTTTTTTGCCTACTGCAAAGCATGAGACGATCCACTAGGCCTGGGTCAGAATTAAATATTGCTTTTGTTTCCGCCTTCTCAGCGCATGTCCCTCTTACTCCCTGCACACACATACTCCCCATCACCATAGATGAATTGACAGAGAAATTCATAACGGCCTTTTCTTTTATCATTAGCTCTTGATGTCTCTTTGGCTTACTTTGTTAATTTGTTAATCTAATGTGCTGGATACGAGCTACCTGGATGTATCACTTTACAGGGCATTTAATCCTGGCATTGAAGCAAAAACTCTTTCTTGTTCCTCTATCCTTATTTGCTTTAACTGTTTGCATTTGTATACTTCTTTAGGCTTTCCAGTTCAGACCGGGCGGGTTTCACTCATAAGACGGGTAAAATCAGCTGAGACGGCCTGTAAAGTGGTGAAATTTTCACCATTCTCCTTCTATCCAGACAAAGAAGTACACGTGCAAATAACGACCAATCACTGGAACATCAGCAGGTAAAATTTTATACATGATGCCACAGTTTCATGGGTGCACACCGTTAACTATGAAAATTTTGAGGTGAATATTAAAAATAATGCTTTAGTTTATCATAAAGGCCAGCGGTCTACCAAGTGGTAATAGTTGGTAATTCGGTAGGATTTAAAGATTTCCATTCTCGGCGTGTATGTTTTTATTTCTCTTAACCTTTTTATTGACGATTTGTAAAAAATCCATTTACTGTTCCTTAATTGCTAACGTAATCACTGTTTAATTACTGTTCTTTAATTCCTGTTCATAACTTGTACTACTTTTATCATTTTAATTGTGCTCATCCTGCATGTCTTGCTTATTCTGAAAAATTAATGTTATATAACATTTATAGCCTGTTCCAGGCGTTCAGATAGTAGGGAGCGGTGCGAAGTAAAGAGGAGCGCGAAAAAATAAAAGCGATGGAGGGGGAGAGGCACCTCTCTCCCCAGCCCCCCTCTACTTTTTATCGCTTTCTTTACTTCGCACCGTTCTCCACTATCTGAATGCTTGGAACAGGCTATAACATTTAAAACTTGACATCAGAGTTTTTCCCCTTATATGTATTTATGTGTGATTAATCCATCAAAAACTGCTCGAAATATTGGTGTGCTATTTGACTCGTCACTGTCTATGGAAGAACATATTAAGGCAACCTGTAAATCTGCTGTCTTCCATTTAAGTATCATAGCTCGAATACGAAAGCACTTGCTAGCACAAGCAGCAGAGACCTTGATCCATTCCCTTGTGACCTCAAAAGTGGATTTCTGCAATTCACTTCTTTATGGTGTTCCTAATCAACCGATACAAAAACTCCAAAGAGTTCAAAACTCAGCGGCCAGGCTATTAACTTATACCAACAAGCGGGAACACATTAAATCTGTGATAAAACAGTTTCACTGGCTACCTGTTGAGTTCAGGGTCCCGTATAAAATCCTACTCAGGACTTTGGTATTGTTTAAATGACACTGCTCTTGCTTATCTTAAAGATTCAATTCACCTGTATACGCCAAACCGCAGTCTGAGATGAACTCAAAAAACTACTTAGCTCATGAGCAATACCACCTGAAAAGTTATGATCCGGTTAGAGCCTTCACAATTGCAGCACCCATTCTCTGGAATGCATTCTCAGATAGGCTCAGAGACCATTCAAATTTTCTATATCTTCTTATAAGAAATAACTTAAAACACACTTTTTTAAAATAGCTTTTTAGCATGTGAATTTTCTACTGCTGATTTAATTATTCATTTTTTTTAAATAATTCCTTATTTTATTGTGAAGTGGTAATTAACTTTACGGAATTAGCGCTATATAAGTGTTACTTGGACACAGATAAAATCTCAATCAACCAAATAACTGTTGAATTTTATCTTTAGGTCTGCGTGACAGCAGCCGGAAGAAATGACCGCTCTATCCAAGAGTTTGCCACCGTGGACTGGATGGCTTACCAAGGAGCACCGGATGGTGGTGTGGCAGGAAAATCACGCATTTCACCGTGGTGGACTGGATCACAGTGTAAAGAAGTTAACCTTCCTCATGTAATTGTCTATTTTGTGTCTATTTTTCAGTGCAGTTGGAAATTTTTGGGGCGGCGGGTGGGGGTGGGGGGGACCTAAACGTGGCGAGAGGTTATGCCACCCTCCCATTAGTAATATCCATGATTACGAATCTTACAGTGTCAAAGTTTCGATGCTGCAGTAGGAAATTGTATCATTTTTTCAATTGCCGCCATACTGGATTGTTATTGTATTTGGTAGGTGACCAACTGTGACGCAATCACGTTATTGAGATATTTTGCATTTTAAAAACCACAAATTTTGTTTTGCATAAGCATGACTAATTCAACAAAAATCCGAGATATCTAAACAATGTGACCCACGGTCAGGTTGGACTCCTTTGCACAAAGTATGTTTTACGATTGAGGGACGTGGAGGTAGGGGGAGGGAGTCAGTTGATATTATGGAGGATGGAGGAAGGAAAAAATGTAAGATTTTTAGATGTTTGAAAAAGTAGAAGTTTGAAGTGAATAATTGATAGTAAAAGACCGATCCATCAGGCCCTGCTCCCTAGGAAGCTTATTCGCAGGCTAAACCCCTTAAAATTGTGAAAATAATCATTCATTCATGCACTAAATTTTGCATACATGGCAAATGTTTGTCTTCTGCCATGTCGGTTGTAAAGCATAAACGAACAGAAACTGAAACTATGAAACAAAACAGACAAAACCGGCCTTATACATATGAAGGTTAAACTCCTGGCGGCCAGGAACTTAACCACTATATGAAAAGGCAATGCATAAATCGAAAAAAGTCATTGACTACGAACATGCAGATCGTGTTTTATTTTTTATTCTGAGCTTTTTGTTTTGGATATGTTGTTAAGAAATTAACAACATTAATTTGTCTCGAGATACGGCTCACCTTTTTGATTTGCATTAACAATTGCTTTACAGGGAAAGTTTGCTACTGCGCCAACAGTCCTGGTTACAGCAGAGCATATTAGTGCAGCCTTCAAGCACGATGCCGCCAGTTTGTGGGTGGAGAACGCAACCAGTTCCTCCTTTTACATTTGTCTTCGAGAACTACAGAATTATGATGGTCTACATGAGGATATCTTTGTGGTATTTTGATTGTTATCATTTTTCTGATGGATGCACATTAAGAACCGTAGAGATAAAAAGCACATGTCAAAAAGTTTTGGCGAAACGTATGTAAAAGGGAAAATAATATATATATAAAAAGAAACTTCACATTGTAGCAAATAGTGATGATGAACATATCTCAGGTGGTCTAAAAACAGTGAGTATGTATATCATAGCATTTCAAGTTTCCAATTCCATGTTTATAAAGCGACAGATAAACGGTTCTTAATATATAGAATCGGATCATGTTAGTCATACCTTGCTTGGTATTTTTAATCTGTCAGTAATCAGCTCGCAATTAATATTGATCGATTAATCAATCACATAATTCTTCCAAATGGCTGTTTTTCGAGAGTAGACATTTTACAATTGTGAGCTTAGTATCCTAGCCTTTGAGTGAACGTGAGGCTGAGTTTGACCCTGTTTTGATACAAACATAAGAACGACATTATTTACATAACAAAACAGAAGGGGTTGAATCAAAATAAGGGGTGTTTACCATTTGGGTAACCCAGTCGATTCACAGTTTGGGTAAATGGTAAGCAAAACTCAGAACTGGTAAATTTCGTCTCGGAAAAGCGTTTACCATTTAAACAAGTCAGCTCTATTTTCCGAAAAACGGCCGCAAAGGCCTGAAACTTGTATCAAAGATGGCTTTGAAGAAATGGCACACGAATTTCCGTTTGGAGCATTCCGTTCACAAGAACAAGACTTCCTTTTCAGACGTTCTGTTGCCCCCGAAAATTTTCCGCTGGAACAACCTATGGAGTCGTGATCCATTTACTTTCCAAGCCAATTTTCCGGAAACGTTTTCGTAAATGGTAAACAACTAAGGTCAACTCCAGCCTCGTTTCCACTAGTGTAACTGTAAAATTGACTATTTACGAGACGGCTTCTAACATAATGACTGGTTTTTGAATTAAGAACAGCATTTCCGTATAAAATGCTAGATATATACCATCGGACGATTCCTTTGAAACTCAATCACTCTCCACTGCTGAACATTACTTTTTCAGAATTGGATGGTCTTTGAAACAATCCACCGGCCCCTTTTTGCCGAGAGCAAACAAGTGCATTTCCCAAACAACAACCCTGTTTCTGCGAACAACAATGGTGCGTTTTGTAAGGTAGGAAACACATGAAAGCGAAAACTAGCTCTGTGATTATTAAAGCTTGTGCAGTGAAATGTTAGCTGGTAGTCAGCAACTCCCTTTCCTTGTTTCTTTTTGTTGTTGCTGCTGTTGTTTTCTTGCTGCATCTGACTGTGAAACGCCTTAAGCAATCTCGGCCATGATCCTTTGACAAGCTGTGTTCTGAAGAAATTTTTCAGATATAGGAACCGGGTAAGGGAACGTTGTTTCACCTAATTTCTTGTTAAAAGAGGTGTTTTCCACTCCCTTCACTGTCTTCACGGCAGCACTGCGCCAGAAAAACATTGGATAGGTTTCGACACCTACACCTTACGTAGTATGAATTAACAACAAATGGTGTGCGTTGAATTTAATTTACTATATATTAATAGCCTATATTTTCTATCCCAAGGTCGTGCAGTTTGCTAGAAATTACGACAAAGAACCCATACTAGTGATAGCAGCCAGTCACAACTCAGAGGGCAACAACCTAAAACCAATACACATGTCTGTTGCTGCTTGGGTTGAGGTAAAGTACGACGGGAATGTTGTAAAGTCATATGATAAAAAGGTCAGAAGCAAAAGAAGACTTCTTTTTTATGTCAAGGAGTGAAAAGATCTATGTGGAAGTTGATTAGGCCCTGTTAAAACGCCACATTGCACATGTGCCGAGCCTACCGTAAATTAGCTAGAACAATATATCCTCCTCGTTGGCCACTTAAATTTAACGCAAAAGAAATGCGACGTTTAAACAGGGCCTAAAACAATGTACACGGCAATATTTACATAAAAGATCACTCTGTTGAACTTGAAAGTTTAAAATTATTAATTAAGTCTAAAACATCTTGCCTTTTGGGCTATTTTTTATACACTTTTCTTAAGTTCTGAAGTCAAAATTAATTGACGCCTTTAATCAAATTCTATTTTCAGACATTCCTATAGTACGGGCCTTATCAGCCTGATCAGGCGAAGTTCTCTAGTATATTTGACCTTTATACACGTACTCACATTAAGTTCTCACATTGTTATCTTTATTACTAAAATTGTTTGTAAGTAACACAATTTTTCGATATGATTGTCAAGAATTGAAAAGCAAGGTTTGTGACATCACACAATTTCACAACCTCTTCTTTTTGAATTTTTCGGCAGCCATCTACTAATAAAACAGACGGCTCAAAGAAGAGAAAACGTATATATCATCGAGAAAGTGTTTGTCATGGAAACGTCAATCACGATTACATGTAACAATTGAATGATATAGTAATTGCTTCCAATAAATTTCAAGAAAGCTCTGAAATTTGGCGGGTTTTTTGTTTAGGCGGTTCAAAATTAAAAATAATCAAAGTTAGCGCGGACACTTCTGCCCTACCCCAGGCTAATTACAGTTAACTATCGATTTGCTATGGTGCTGAGAAAGATTTTTGGGTTGGAAAGGAACTTTAGCTTGTTTTACAAAAGAAGATTATTTATTTTACAGCACATCAATACAAGCGAATTCCGCATTTGTCTCAAAGAGTTGTACGCTGACCAGCATGATCCTGTGAACGTATCATACGCTGTACTTGCAGGTGGGTTTGGCGACAACCACCCCTCTCCCTCTAGCCCATCCAACCCCCCCCCCCCCCCCCCCTTTGCAATTACAATAGCCAGGGACATTTTAAGTAACAAAAATTTAATTATATACGGCCTGTTTACAAGCCGGTGTTTTGATAGGGTCATTAAGCGTTAAGGTTTTTATACACTGTACTTCTGTCTATTTTTCTTCCGTTTTTAAAAGTTCAACTATGCTGCTATTTTCCGAGA